TGGCAAACAAAGCACATGAAGTGTGAAAATTTGCCGGGTTGCCTGTTTAATTACTCAGGGAACTCATTAAGAAGAGTGGCCTGCTTTTAATATAGGTTAATTAAAAATTTTATTTCCGAGTCTTGATAAGGCTGATGTAGTCATGCAAAGACAATAACACAAGCACGCACAAAATAGATAAACATGAACGGCTGGATGGAGAGTATAGGACCGTGGAGGATTAGATGTGGCCGGAATCTCTCTCTCTCTTTACCTATACTGAAGTAATCTCCTCCATCTTCTCTTCTGCTGGGCTCTGTACCTCACTGATTAACACAATGTCTAAGTGATTGACTGCAGTCATTATTTAAACGGACGTTACCTCACCAGGGAGGTTCAGATTTCTCTCAATCAGCAACTTCTTCACACAATCAGCGACTGTTTCACACCTGGAACACTCATGTGATGAAAGTACCGATCCACACCAATTATTTCTGCTAATCTGCTCCGGTAAGTGAGGACGATGCGGAATACTCAACTGACTGGAGAGTCTTATAGGGATTGTTTATCTATGAAAAACTTGTCATTGTTCACTTTCTTTTCATTCTTCCGTGGAACACAAAAGGAGATGTTTTACTGAAAGTTCAAGATGCTCTTTTCCATCTAATGAAAGCAGACAGTGTCCAACTCTAAAATGAACAAGCACACACCGTAGATACATAGTTCGAATGACTCTTGTAGTATGTCCTGGAGCAGACCCGGTTCCAGAATCAAATCACTGTGTAAAGTGCAGAAGACATTACTTCTTTTACCAATAATTGGAATAGAATTTCAAAGATATTTTGCTACGAATATTTTTCTATTAATCTATTAGTCTAGCTTTACATTGCTTTAATGCGTTACTGTTTTAACATCTCATATTTCTGTACCGTGCAGAGTGAATCCAGCATTTATATGTAGATCTCCAACTGTTTTGCCAATATAGTATTACAGTATCAACTGAGGGTGCTCTTGCTTGCGTTTGAGGGTGCTTAGCACATTCTAGCACCACCGTAGAACCAGGCCTGGCCTGGAGAGCTGGCGATTTCCAGCAACACGAGCAACAGCATGCCTGCGTGTCCAGCGATGCAAGAAAGTTGAGATTTATGACTTTTGGGAGCGACAAAGCCCCATTCACACTGCCAGAGACACACAATGCCAAAGTGACACGATCCCATTCATTTTCAATGAGGGCTGGTGACTTCCGGCAACACGAGCGACAGTGACCGTTGGCGACAGAATGTAGGCGTGTCAAGAAAGAATTCTGAAATGTTAACTTTATGCAAATGAGCAGCAAATTTCCAATAGGAGCCAATGGAACTCACATCACCGTCTCGAGTGAAGGCAAGGCAAGACAGAGTTCTGGAGCAATATCACTGTAATATGATTTAACTGTAGCCACATAGCCTACATGGACATAATAAAATGATGTGTGGAAAAGAAACTGTAGGTAGTGTTATGAGTTTTATTCATACATTGATAGTTTGCGTTGTTCATTAATTACATGATACATGCAGTGAGCTGTTTAGCATTATGTTGATTATTAGGGAGTCGGTGTGAACGGGGCTTAAGTCGGTGATCGGGAAAATGTCTCGTTTGAGATCAAGTCACTTCAACATGAATCAGCATTATCGGCAGTTTTGTGTGAGGGCGAAAAAGTTCCCCGCACAGATTTTGCTCATTTTCAAGTTGGTCACATGAATCGCCACGCTGACCAACAGCTGCTTGGTTTGACAAATCAAATGAGATTTGATAGCAATGGCTGAGGGGAAACCCATTGAGTGGCTTTGGAAGATGTGGAGTATATGGACCACTTTTATGGTGTTTTTTTGGCAGGTCCTGGTAACAATATGCTTTCATTGTATGTAAAAAGACCAGCATGAACATTTTGCCCAGCATCTCCTTAAGTGTTCCACAGAAGAAAGAAATAAAGTTGTATGGGATTGAAACAGGTAAAAAAAAGAAAGAAAAGAATTTCCAATTCTTCGTGAACTATTCCTTTAGCAAAACACTTCCTATCACTTAAAATATCATCACCCACCAACAGCAAGTCTTATATCAACACTGCAGTTCTCTTCTATTCCCTGAAACAAATGTCCAAATGAAATGGCCCATTTCCTCTGTCCAGATTACTCCTGACAAAACAAACACACAGACACAAACACAAGCAAACGAATACATAATGACCTGTTTGTGAGGTGGCAAAGAGTAAAATCAATGAGATGAGACATGTAGGACCTGGAAGATAAAACAACAAATTGACTTGGAAAAACACATTAATCTCATGTTCAGTGAAAGCAAACAGAAGCCCATCACCCTTGTTTATTTCCTTGGAGTGTGTTAGCAGTGGGTAACAGACTGCACAAATGCAATAAGATCTAGAACTCTTCCATCAAAAAGGCAAGAATTATCTAATCATACTGAAGAAAATAAATCATCCATACAGCATCAAAGCTGGACGATTCCCAACAGGTGATGTAATATGCTGAGGCAAAGAAGCCTTAATGCTTCCGTCCTTACTGATTAAAATCTATACAGTATCAGCATGAATACGCCTTGAGATGTTCTGCAAGGTCTAGAAGAAAAAATCCCCAGGTAATACTTTAGCAGATATTTCCCTTCAGCAGGTCGCCAGGCAACTGTGTCCTCATGATTCAGGTCCATGGTGAGAATAACACAATGAGGCAATGATCACAGATATGCTTCCTATATCTGGATCTTACACTGAGACCAACTAAATCCCCAAACATACCCCCCCCCCAAAGAAAAACCCGAGAGAGAGAAAAACATATCAGATCATCAAAAAGGCTACATTTAACGTTGGCCAACTATGGTTTGTGTAATTAACACTTAGAGAACCTTAAAAAAATTCTTTAACACATTTGCCTGTGAGGCGTACCATGTGATTACATAAAGAGACAGGCAATGCGCTCCACTGTGATGATTTTCCTAAGAGCTCAAAGCCACAAAATCCTGAGCCAATCAACAAAATTCACAGTATGAAGGGTGGTGGCTGTTGAACAATTCAGGCTTCCAGCTCCAACCGGGACTGGCTTAGGGCTGCACGTCACACTGGCTTTTTATAGAACGTGTACCACATTTCAGGACTGATACATTTTAGATTATGTTGCATCAATTATGTACGTGCTCTATTCTAGACTTCGTTCCTCAGTGCTGCGGTCACATTTTAATTAGGGAGACAAATCAAAGTGGTTATTAGAGGCTGTGTTTTAACATTTCTGTAAAATTGTACACCAGTAGACACCAGATGGTACACGCTCAAAAATATATATATTACGATACAGTACATATATTCGATACATACTACATACATACATGTATATACACTTAATATATATATTTAAAATATATTATATAAAAAGATATATCTTCAAAAATGATGTGTATAGTGTGTGTGTATATATAATTGTTTCATATATTTATCTAAAAACATATATTATTAAAAAAATCATCTCTTCAAAAATTATGTTTGACAAATAATGAGAAATTATATTTTTGCGTATACTTGTTATATATATGTATAATAAACCTTTAAAAATGTTTAATATTTCTCTAAAAATGTCTCTTCAAAAATAAGGTTTGAAAAACAATGACAAATATTGTTAGGTACATATACACAGTTTATATTATAGACTTTTTTCAAATATATATTATATAAAACACATAAATCATCTCTTCAAAAATTATGTTTGACAAATAATGAGAAATTATATTTTGCTTACGTGTATTATGTATATATAATAAACCTTGAAACATTTTAAATATATATTTCTAAAAATGTCTCTTCAAAAATGTGGTTCGAAAAACAATGACAAATATTTTTACCCTCTATATTAGAAATATTTCCCTAAAAATATATGATATATAATATAAAAAAATATCTGTTCAAATATGAAGTTGGAAAATTTAGAAATTCGATTTTAAATACTTAACGCATATAAAAAAGAATGTGTGTGTGAAAGAACGACAAAGTCAGTCAGTCCTTTGGCTGAATTTCAAAAGCCTGATTGCTAATCACAGCCGAATCGTTGGACCTGAGCTTACCTGCAGCACAAGAAAAGCGTAATGCACATGATTACTGATGCCAGGCCTTTCCAGAGTCTCCCACAGAGAGGTGGCCTGATTGTCTAGAACAAGGAACAGAGTTGCTGAGACACAGCCTTCGGTTTGCACTGAATTCAAAATATCAGGGAGGGAGCAGAAATGGCTCCTCTTTCATGTAGTCAGGCTGCTAGGTAGCTACAGTAGCGTGGGGTAAGACTGTCAGTTATCCGTGTTCTCCCCCTGCTGTTTGCACATGGTATTCCAAAAGAAACGGCTTGGAAATAAGGAACACCTTGGTGTTATATAACCGTATTTTTTTTGTTAATGCAATAATGCAAGCATCACGTGGTCTTTCCGTAATTAATGTTAAAGAGGTGAAGACAGTTAGCCAGCATACGTGGGGTTTAGAAAATAATACAAATGCTGGAACATCGATGTCTGTGTGAAACAGATTAACCGTCTATTCATAAAGGTATGACTCTATTCTGAAAGCAGCAGGGGACTGAGAGCATCACGCCGCAGCGACACGGATGATTTTAAATTAACAGCGAGCTTTTGATGGCGTGCTATGGGCATTCCTAAAAGGTAACATAAAATGTTAAATAAATAGTATGACCAAAGGCAGATAGTAGCATCTCTGAATGAGTGTGACTGCGTTGGGCAATTAACATTCGAAGAGAGTATGCGTCTTTGAGGCAGAGTGACCTTGGAGGCAGACAGAGTAGAGCCGCTGAGAGAGAGAGAAGATAACGAGGCAGACCAAAGACACGGAGCAGAGGTGAATTTCAACATCAACTCAGTATGAAGGCCAGCTGTGTAAGAAGGAAACAGAACAGTGAAGATAAATTGGTGAAATTCTTCATTTGTCCTCCCACATTTTCTAAATAGCAAGGTAATGAAAAGAGCCAGAGTCCAGCTTCATTTGAGCAGTCATTAAAATTTTATTAACATTATGTACAAAATACTGCAGTGGAACAAGTCAAGATAACTTAATTAGCCACGGATGACAGTCAGGCTGCTATGTGAGCAAGCCCGAGACGTCGCTGAACTGTAGGTAGTCCTGAAGCAGTGTGGGGACGGGCAGCTGTTGGATAAAGGAGGTCTTAGACAGAGCATCGCTGCCCACTGATGCCTGCACTGCCAGCCTGCACAGATGAGTGAGGGCAGGGACCGATTCTGGAACCAAGAGCAAAGGGTTACTGAGCTGTGGCCACTTACCACATCAGATGATACATATATAGAATGCAGTAGGATTGGACAATATGGTTATATATTTTTTTCAAAAATAAATTTATGAAATAAATTAATACTTTCATGCAGCAAATTACATTGATTAAAAGTGACACAGTTAAGCATTATTTTACAAAAGATTGCACTTTCAAATCTATGCTGTTCTTTTTAACTTTCTATTCATCAAAGAATCCTGGAAAAAATTGTTTTCAACATTGATAATAATGAGAAATATTTCTTGAGCACCAAATCAGTATATTAGAATGATTTCGGAAGGAGCAGGTGTCACTGAAGACTAGCACAGGAATACATTTTTACAAATTAAAAAAAATGTATATGCGTGTATATATTTATATATGCATTTGCTCATCTGTAAATTACTTAAATAGTAAAAACTTAATTCTTCTTAGTTTCTCGCTAAACATTTTAATACATAAACATTATGCAAACTAATTAGTGGGTTTTGAATTGTTTCATCAAAACAGTTTGAACGGATTACAAAAAAATGAACTGAACTTAAAAATTCCTACTTTTGTTTTGAAGGTCTCCTACAATAGGTTTACATGCATCCAAGGACAAAATAAGCGTTGCCTCTTTCCTCCCAGTGTCTGAAATGGTTCAATAAAGGATTCAGTCTCTCTAAACCCTGCCTTTTCGAGAGCTTCCTCTGCTCTGATTTGTCAGATGGTCGTGTCTGTTGTGATTGGTCTATCAGCGCGTGCTGGAAACTAAACTCACATTATCATATCTGAAATTCAACTCATGAGGCTTCCTCGGCACTTGTATACATAGTGATATGAACAGTCCTCATCCAATAAAGTGCATGCAAATTATATTTCCAGCAAAGAAAACAGCAACTTCTCAACCTGTCCACATGCTGCTACAACATGATGCTTCTCAGCTACAACTACAGTGTTTGAGGACGGGTCAAAGTAGACGTTGCTTGCGGGCAGCCGATGAAGACCATAACCTGGCATTATGAAAATTTGTTACAGACCTAAGTAGATTTGTTTCAGAAGTGAATAACTGATGATTCGTTTCAGCAGTTCAGAATCGATCCTTTCTTTTAGGAGACAATAACTTTATTTGTCGTGCACTTTGAGCTTTTAAACTTCGCAGACCTTTTACATGACAGCTGTGTGAATGAAAGGAATGAATATCAGCATGTCTTCAACTGTAATACAGAAACTCTTCAGGAAACTTAATGGACAAATAAATTCACTATTTAGCTTAATTTCACTTTACCAACAAAATAATGGTGAATGTACAGTACACATGCAATCTATTGTTGAAAAACACCTGATCAAAGTCATAAAACCCACACATACTGTACACAAGTGTACAGTTCATACCGAAATGCTTCCGTGGCGTCCAGGTGCCATCTGTTCGACGGTGAGAGAGAATCTGAAGCATTGCGGAGGGCAGAGTCTTCCAATTAATGAACTCCAGAAAGAAATTAAGCACTCTGTTCTCAGCTTCTTCAAGCCTGCACCCAATTACAGCATAACAGGCAGAAGAGAAGAGCTTAACACAGTGGTTTTGAACTCTGACGTTAATAAAGCACGATTATTTATTAAAAGCCATGCATGGTGAACCCACTCATGATTAAAATAAAAAAAAACCCGTGACACAACAACCGCAATGTTTTGCTTACATTTTGTCCAGTAGGAGCAGCATGGGGTCCATTCCTGCTTTGAGCAGCAGGGGGAGCCAAAAAGAGGCGCTCTGCAGCTCAGCAAGGGCTCTATTGGCCAGCTCTCCGAGTCGGTCACCCTGAGGGAGCCCAGCGTGCTCCAGGATCAAGGGCAGGTGCTCTGGTACATGGCCCTGTAACGCAAAGGCATATATGCCCATGCTCACATGGGCCCCTGCTGCCAAGAGCATCAGAGTGATCTCACGAGTCTGGTGACACTCGCTGTCCAAACTGAGAGACAAACGGGGGGGGAGGAGAAAAAGTCATACTGTCCAACTGATTGTGTTTAAAATGAAAAGCAGGACATGAGTGTACATCTATGTCATACTTCCAAGAGTTGCACCACAGAGCCATGTCCAAAGGGCAGCTGTATCCAAACTGTCGACAGCTCTGGGCGTCTGGACTGTAGCCCTTCTTTAGCAAGACCCGAAGGCTGTCCGCTTGCCCGCTAAGTACTGCCAAGTAAACTGGACTGACCTTTCCTTCTCCCCGGTCACATTCTCGCTTCGTTACCGGAATCAGCTTCTCTAAAATACTGCACAGAAAGACAAGAGATGAGCGGCCAAATTAATCCAGTGTAGCAAAAATGATTTCATAAAAGGCCAAAGTTACGCTCTCATTTAAAAAGTACAAAAGGTTAGCTTTCCAATGTTATTTATATTATACTAAGTAAATGTCACATTGTGGATTGTTTTTTAAAATGAGGTCTTCGTAAGCTCTAAACAGACCCAGTATGTAATTGACCAAAGCTGCCGTACCTTAGCCGACTGAACTGGGCCGCAGCATGGATGGGAAGCTGCCAGCAGTCCTCATTGCAGTACAGGTTAGGGTCAGCTCCATGGGCCAGTAAAACCTCCACACACCGTACGTGGCCCTCCTGAGCGGCAATGAGCAGCGGTGTGGCCAGATCGTTTGCTTGGCAGTTCACATTCGCCCCTGTGACAACGACAACCTGTACTTAGGTACACTTCCTGATTTTGCTGAGTTACGTAGTCACGTTCCTGGGTCAACATATTTTGTTGTTCTGAAAATGTAATCATAACCATAACCATCTCCCTATCCCTATCCCTAAACCTACCCATAAGTTATCCCTAAAATCAGAGGAAAATGATAGGTGAAAATTGATGTAGAAGCATCAAACCCTTAGCCTGACGTCATCATACTCAGATTCTAGTCAGAATGTGAGTCTGATACTGCTCTATTGGGCTGTGATTATGGGGCGTTTCAACCGAACCAGGAAAGAAAATGCCTCTGCACTCAATTGGATCGACAAATGCTTTGATCGCGGTTCTCTGTTCCTCTTTTAAAATTAATGCGCTGTCTACATCTCTCTATAAGCGTAGATGGCTGAATCTACACATCTAAATTCTCCAGCGGCAGCCATTCTTTGTTGTAAACTAATTCAACCCAAGTGCTCTTTGGTGACGTGGATGATTACGACTGGCGACTGGCATCCAGGCAACCAAACCCTGGTTGTAAGCCTAAACCTGACAAACTAAACCTCTCCCTCAAATCTGACTGGTTGATTGGAATGTTGTTCCAGGATCAACAAAGATGTTGATCCAAGAACATGTATTATTTGGTGAAATCAGGTTCTGCTGCTATGTTGTTCCAGAAATATAACAAAGGTGTTCATCCAGGAGCGTGTTGTGTTTGGTGTGGCTTTCTTTCTTTAATTTCTATTTAATAACCATTTAAGTTAAATAAGGGTGTTCACCATAACGAAAAATATAGTTCATGTCAAGTTCTTAGAACAACTTAGAACAAGTAAGAATGTACTCTTTGTATTAATGTTGGTTTCATATGACTTTTATAAACTTCTATATGATTTTCAAGATAATTTGATGACTATAAAATGTCAAGTAAAAAGTAAAACAATTTCCCTACAGATTTTACAAAACATGGGATAAAAATAAGTTGGCAATTAAGATTATTTAAATGTGATTTACTGTCAGCCAACAGTTTCATGTAAACAACAAAATCCATCCATGAATAAAATAACCAATGAACAGAATAAGAACAATAATCATAGTGTAGTGTTAAGAGTGTAGCGAGTGTACGGCTGGGCAAGGCTTAGCCTTTCCCTGGCCACGGATTTGAGACTTCTCTGTCTGCTGCTGCTGCTTATGATAGACCAGTTTGATATTTGCTAACAGCGATGATGTGTTTTGTGAGCAGAGTCTATCAGGTGGCAGAAAATAACAGTTCTGCAGTAGCAGGGAGCCACGGAATCAAAGAAAGAGTTTATATCCCGCAATTTTGAATTTTTCCCCTCAGAATTGAGATATAAACTCACAATTGCGAGTTATAAAGTCAGAATTTGGAGATATAAACTTTCAACTGTGACAAAAAAGTCAGAATTGTGAGGAATTTTTTTTTTTAAATAGTTTTAAATGTTACCCATGTAAAATGTTACAGTTTTAAATATTATTTTAATGCTGGAACTGTAGGGCTAATACAACAATAATAAAATGATGGTATTCTATAAAAATACCAACTTTTATTGCATTACCAATATGCTGAAATAATCTGAAATAGAAATGTTTTGTAACATTATAAATCTTCTATCTTTACTGTCACTTTTGATCAATTAAATGCATCCTTGCTGAATGGAAGTATAAAGTTATTTAATTTTTTAAATAAATATTAATAAGCAGCAAAGCAAGCAGCCAAACTTTTAATGAGGCTTTTTTCCCACTATGAAGACATATTTTTGACATGATACTTTTTTTTTTAACGTTATGCCACCCCTCCTAACCACCCAAAATGTGTGAACATGAATTTTAATTAATAAATTAAAAATGTGCTCATCATAGTGGACTGTATTCAGGTCTCTGTATGTCTATATTGAATTTGTTCTGCAATCATTGAATACATTCATAGATCTGAACAATTTTTTTCTTTTATTTACCCTTACATCAAACTGCTTATCTGTCTCAGGAGAATGTGTCACTGTAAATACCACGGTGGATACAGTAGTGATAGCTCTAATGTTGCAAGAGTTGACACTGAACATTGACCAAAGCATTTAGTGTACAAAAATAGAAGCACATGACTGGCTACATGCAGTTCATACTTCATACAGGATTAATCATTAAAGAAGTGTTCTCACCGGCATTTGCAAGAATCTCTAAGCATTGGTGATGTCCATATTGTGCAGCAACAAATAATGGTGTGATCCCATAGTCATCCACTGCCTCCAGAGAGCACATGCTCACCAGGAACCTCGCAATCTCAGTATGGCCCTGGAAGTGTTATTTACAGATATTTATTTATTCAACTTCTTGATGAAAGATTTTGATAACTGCCTCAGATGTAGGATTTAAAAGCTTGATTAAATTAGAACACACACAATGGCCCTGGGCTTTCATTTTTTGAAGATTAATTAAACATTTAGCCTAGAAGTATAAAACTTATTGATAGAGGTATAAATGCAAAAGAGTAATAACGGGCAACATAAATAATAATTTGATTGATGTTCTAAATAAGTAGTTGTTTTTTAATGATAACAATTTGCTGATAAGCCCTTACACTTCACGGTCAGTAAGAAGAGCTGCAGAACTTATATATAAGGTAGGTGAATGTAGTATTTGTCCAAATTTCAAAGTTTCCAAAACATAAAAGCTTCATAAATCATAAATTAGAATTGTAGTTTAAAGCTATAACCTTGTAAACGGCTTGATGGAGACAAGACCAGCCTGACACAGAGTGAGTCCCATTGACTTCTGCTCCATTTCGCACTAGCAGCTCCACAACATTTTTGTACCCACAATCTACAGCTAGGAACAAAAAAAAAAAAAAAGACAAATATATAACAAGACTCCAAAGAGGGAAAATACACATGGTAAACATGATCCGAGATGACCTAGGATCCTAGGTACTTTTGGGTTTACCTGCAAAGAGGGGACAGGAGAGCTCATTGGTTGTCCTGTTAATGTCCGCACCACCTTTGATTAGCCACTTCACCGCCCGGAGGTGTCCATTCCTCGCAGCAAAGTAAACAGGAGTCTCTGAGTTATGTGTCAAAGTGTTGACATAATCTTCACAATTCACTAAAGTAAAGAGGAAGATTGAGATACAATTAATGACCTGCACATTAAAGGCAAGGCAAGGCAAGGCAAGTTTATTTATATAGCACATTTCATACACAATGGCAATTCAAAGTGCTTTACATAGAAGAAATTAAAATAATCAAAACAAATAAGAATAATTAAAACAGTTTAGAATAAAAAAATCAAATAAAGTAGTACTGGTCCACCCCTATCTGAGATGGAAGAGATTGAGCCGGTTTACGGTGCCACTGGACCTCTAGCCCAGGGACCTTCAAAATCTCTTCCAGAGATTATAAAAATAAATAAATTAGAAAACAAACAAAGACAAAACCAGTACAGTAAAAACAGTCGGACGGACAGTGGCACAGTGCTCATTCAGTAAATGCATAGCTAAACAGATGTGTTTTGAGTCTGGATTTGAATGTGACTACTGTAGGAGCACATCTGATCTCCTCTGGAAGCTGGTTCCAGCTGCGGCTGGCATAATAGCTAAAAGCAGACTCTCCATGCTTAGAGCGAACCCTTGGTATTTCTAGCTGATGTGATCCTAATAATCTGAGTGATCTGTTAGGTTTATATTCAGTGAGCATATCTGCAATATATTGAGGTCCTAGCCCATTGAATGATTTATATACCAGTAATACTACTTTAAAATCAATCCTAAATGTAACTGGGAGCCAGTGTAAAGACCTGAGGACTGGTGTGATATGTTCATATTTTCTGGTTCTGCTCAGAATCCTGGCAGAAGCGTTCTGTATGAGCTGCAACTGTCTTATGGTTTTTTAGGAAGGCCAGTGAGGAGTCCATTACAATAATCCACCCTGCTGGTGATAAAAGCATGCACAAGTTTCTCTAAGTCTTGATTGGAAACAAAGCATCTAATTCTTGCAATATTTTTCAGATGATAGTATGCTGATTTAGTTATTGCTTTGACATACTGAAACTAAGGTCTGACTCTAGAGACACACCAAGATTCCTGACTTGATTTTTAGTTGTTAGACCCCTAGCGTCAAGGTATGCATCCACCTTGAGAACTTCATCTTTGTTTCCAAACGCAATGACTTCAGTTTTGTCTTTGTTTAACTGAAGAAAGTTTTGGCACATCCAAACGTTGACTTCATCAATGCATTGGCATAGGGAGTTAAAGAAAACATATCTTGAACAGTTTAATAGTTATACATTATACTAGTGTGTCAAAAGAGCTCTGATAGTTGGTCTTCAAGGTACAGTTCTTTAACTAAATCTGAATATGTGCATATTTAAATCACATGAATGAGATTTGAAAGCTACCCTGCCATACAAAAACAAAAATACAGTACTTAAACCAGCACTGGAACTGAAGAAACAAGAAAATACTGTCTCTCTCATGAGGGGAAGATTTGAAGGACTATAAAACAGAAATGGTTTCTCATTCAAAGCTTAGAATATGGTTCTCAAGTTGCACAGATAAATGTTTTCATACATGTATGTAATTTATCAAGATTGACAACCCCAGTCCCCAATCGTTTTTACTTAATGGAAAAGAGCAGCTTACACATTTTGCCCAATATTTCCTTTTGTGATTTATGCAAGAAAGAGATTCATACAGATTTGGAATCACTACAGGTAGCCTAAATGAAGCTAGAATTTCCATTTCTATGTACTATCCCTTCATTGCCTAAACAAGTAACTCTATTTGATGGTCCATAATGCATCTTTACTCAGCTGATTTAAGGCGGCTCAGTGCCTGCTCAAAATTCTGTGTAAAAAACGTAATGTTGCCTAAAAGCCAGACTAAACTCTGTCTGCTCTGACCCACATTAGGCCCTAGTATAAAAGTATACTATTAAAATGGCTGTGTAAATGAATTTATGCCAGATATAAGCAGCATTAAACAGTCTGCGTAAAGAGACATAATTGGCACTTCAGAAGCGCCTCTGTATGTAAGCTCTTACCGGCTGCAGGGAGGAGTAGCCGCACACACCCCGCTGATCCAGCCGCCGCGGCCTCATGCAAGGCGTTCCAGCCCCGGTTATCTTTCACGTCCACCGCGAAGCCTCTCTGGATGAGCTTCTGCACCCGCCGACCCTTCCCCTCCCGGGCTGCCAGCGCGACGGCTGAACAGGTGTCTCCATAGCACTCCGTGAAGTCCATCGATTTTTCCCTCCGCACAACACTAACTTTACCCCTCAAACATTACTGAAATAGTTCATACTAACGTTAGCAGCTATATCATTTACACACAGTGGCTCTTAACTGAGTGCACGTTGACAGTTCCAGATCTTGAATTACACCTGCCTTATACTGCAGTGTCACAGGTTAAATCTCTATAATACAGTGAAGTCAAGTGCACACTAGGTTACATGATAAGCAGGGCAGATAACGGTGCTTTGATTGCAAAATAACGAGTTAACCACTCCAAGTATGCTAGTAGTCTAGTTCATTTCCCCACTTTGAATCTTTAAGATGTCCACAAGACAACAAAAAGATCAAGTGAAATCATGTTGCGGTTCTAAACATCTGTAAACACATAAATTAATAATGACCAGAGCCGTTGTCTCTCTATGGCTCTGATAATGACAGAATCCACAAGCCAGACCGGATAAATTTAACGAAACTTCCGGCGATGCTGTTTTCTGATGGGCTGATTCAGGCCTCCGGCTAGAACAGACATTGTGTTACTTTGCGTTCCGTCTATAAATAATTAAGCGGAAATAATAATAATAGTAATAGTATTATATTAACAAAACAAAAACACGATTCCAATATTTCGTTTTACATATTTTCAATTGATCCACCCACTAAACCGAAACCGGACACCTCCTTAAAACAGAAAGGGAGACTGACAGTATCTAGCAACGTCATCATTCAAATATTTAACTAGATATAATTAAATAACATATGACAGCAACATATAAAACAAAGGCGATGCAAAGCATTGCTTGTCTATTGAACAAGCGCCAAGCGGTCAGAAAACCTAGAAATACCATTTTAATTTGTGTAATATAAAAGTAACTAATTAAAATAAAGGAATGGATGAATGAATAAACAAACAAATAAATAAATCACGATAATTTCGTGATTTATTCAGTATTGTATTTTTAACAGCTCTACATATTTAACTTATAAATAGCATAGGTTTCATCACAAATCCATTACAACAGCTATTGTTATTAGCGTAAGAATTCGAAAATTACTACTATACTGTATTAAATACTGTACTGACTTGTAATGTTGCCCGAATCATGCACTGTTCCTTCGTTGGCCAGAGGAGAACTGGACCCCCGACTGAGTCTGGTTTCTCCCAAGGTTTTTTTCTCCATTCTGTCACCTGATGGAGTTTTGGTTCCTTGCCACTGTTGCCTTGGCTTTTGGCTTGCTTAGTTGGGGACATTTAATATTCAATAATATTATTGATCTGCCTTACTTAAGGTGGACGTTGACGCAATTTTCTTTTAGAAACAAACTTTGTTATATTGTTTTCATGTTATCACTGTGAAGCGCTTTGATACAATCTGTATTGTAAAAAGCGCTATATAAATAAAGGTGACTTGACTTGACTTAAATATGTGTGTGGATATTCTGATTACCATGGTGATTTATTTTAAGGGTTTAATTTTAAAGCCGGTAAACTGGCTTTTATTTTGAAAAATTACATCTCCCATTATCCAGTTTAGTCTATGGTTTATACCTTCAACTAATGGCGTACAGATTTTAACGCTGTTTTATGGCAGCTTGTAAATTACGTTAGACGTCAAACGACGTCAAGAGAGGAAACTTGATGCGAGGTATCTTCGGCTAGAACTGTATCTGCCCTTGACAAGTAACGTTATGTGTTTCTTTTGTAATCTTCAGTAATACCAATAACACCTAATTTAACGATATGCCAACCCTGTCAACATACCTAACCAGACTCGTCAGTGGCACACACACAGGCCCTAAAAAAACACGTCCATCCACATATAAGTTGAGGCTGTTGAGCATGTGTTCAGCAGACACACCGTGAGCAGGCAGCAGCAAAGATGTGGGTTTTTGGTTACGGATCTTTGATTTGGAAAGTTGACTTTCCGTACGAGGAGAAACGAGTGGGTTTCGTCAAAGGTTTTAGTCGCAGGTTCTGGCAGGGAAGTACGGATCATCGCGGGGTGCCTGGAAAGGTATGGTCCCGATTATTCCCTATCAAAGTCATCAGTTGATCAACAGCAGGTGCCCAGTCATAGTGACCTTTAAGGATGACAGAGCACTTAACACAGGGCGATTAACACTCTTATTTCTTATTGATTTCATTTCAGCCTGGGCGAGTGGTGACATTAATAGAGGATCCTGAGGTAATGAAATACTGCTAACGTTACCTTTATACGGCCGAACTGAAGCCAATAAAATGCCGACATTCTACTTTTTCACCCATGACTTGTTTTTCTATTGCATTGGAGGCATTTTTTTTTTTAGACATTAGATATTTGATTAACATTATCTAGTGGTATTTATATAGAGTTATAATTCCCTAGCATTCAAATGTATCCAGTGCTGGGATGATTACTTGCAAATTGTAGTCCATTACTGAATGCAAATTAGCCTACATGATAAAAATTGTAGTTAGTAACTATTACATTACACATTTTAGGTAATATAATCAGACCACTTTTAGATTACTTTGGACCTTACTTGTTTATAACATTGTTTTGAATTTTGAAACATTACATTATGTCACAGTTTCCCAAATTAGGGGTTGGGAATGAACCCTAGTTATTTATTTTACCCTAGTTGAATAAATAAAGGGTTATTTATTCAAAATAAAATAAAAACAAACACTAACTAAAAAATTTACAATATTTTATTTGTTTATGCTGTGTGCAGTTTTCAATGCATTTAGGCACATGACTAGTCGGTCTGTGTGCCATTCCATAAAACTGGAAGACTTTCTCAACATAAGCAGTAGGCTTTTTAGAAAGGAAATTTTAAAAGAAAAGGAATAATTAGGGAGTCAATGAATTCTTAATAATTTAATGCCAATTTGTGAATATTAAGTAATCATGTAATCAATAAAAAAGTTACTGTGGTCTGAATATTTTAAAATGCAATATAATCTAATTACAAGTATTTAATTTTTGGAATCTGATTAGCGTATGTAATATAATCAGTTACTACCCGGCACTGACTGTATCTAGTTTTAAAAACCAATACATGTCTGTATCCCACCTTAAATGGTGATTATGCAGTTTTTTATACAATGAATAGTCTATTTTCTCATTTATGTTCTTTGGACCATTACAAATTATTTTTGCATCATGTAGTATTATTTTAATGACATTTAAGTATGCTTTCCCACCAAATTTTTTTAGTTTTGTTCTTACTCTATTGATTTTTAAATAGATTAATTATTAAACAACTTTTTATACATTGTGTCTTTAACTTAATTTTTTTTTTCATTCTTTTTAAATAAATTGTTTTATTTTGACCTCCTGAGGTTGACAATCAACATCTGAGATTTAAACGCACACTTTTACTTACCGTTTATTTCAAAATATAAATATTTAAAAGTTTCAGACCCTGTTTTGTACCATTTTCATGGGAAGTGCCTTTTTAAATTATATTTGTAATATTATCATTTAATGATAGCATTAGATATACATGCACGAATAATCCAAACTGTGTGTGTTCGTTCACTCTCCTCTTTTCTGTAGGGATGCGTATGGGGTGTTGCTTATAAGTTGCCATCAGGCCGAGAAAAGGAAGTGAAAGAGTATCTCGACTACAGAGAAAAAGGCGGGTATGGGGTGATCACAGTTACGTTTCATCCCAAAGATGAAGAACACCAACCAATGCAGGACACGTTGCTCTACATCGGATCCTATAACAACCCAGATTACCTTGGCCCAGCGCCTTTGGAGACAATTGCTCAGCAGATTGTGAAGTCTGTTGGTCCCAGTGGCAAGAATACAGATTACCTGTTTGAGCTCGCCAATGCCCTCAGGCAACTAGTTCCTGATGACTTCGATGATCACCTGTTCTCTTTGGAGCGCCTTGTGAAGGAGCTTCAGGAGCAGGAGATGGAGTGATCTGCTATTGTCTATGTTGTCCTTGATCTTCTGAAGAACTCAGGAATTTAGTTAATTTTTCCCTCATTTATCAACTGAGAGCTGATGCAAACTAAACCGTTACCTGGTAAAGCATTAGATAACCAGTACTTTTCTGTTCTTTAAATAGAATTATCCAAGGCAGTCTCTTTACTGAACACTTGATTTTATGACGTGACGTTTCACATTATTTGTCTTTTGTGTTGAACATTGAGATACATATCAGGTACTTAAATGGATTTCAGTGTATGCTGTAATATATACAAGTCATTGCGTCCATGGAAATGCAAAAGAAGTTGTTATTCTGCTGAGGAAACTTGAATATATTACAAAGCCATTTCTTATTTATTTCCTAGCTTCCTAAGTTCCTTACCTTCAAATAAACCATGGGAGGGTGAATCTCATAAACATGTTCGTCACTTAAAAAAACAAAACGATAATAATATATATACACATATGTAATTTATGAATTTGATAACATGAAACATGTTCTTGAGACCATTAAGAATTATTTTTGCTTCGTGTAACATTATTTGAATGGCATTTAGTTATGCTTTCCCACCAAATTCACATTAATATACTTTTTTTTTTTTGCACTCTTTTACTGTAACATGGGCAATTTTTCTGGTATGTGTGGGTTCATTATAATTATGATTATAATATTAGTGGGGGAAAAAACTCAATTTTGTTTTTCCTTTATAAAAACAATACCATTGGCCGGTTTCACAGACAATGGGGTGTTGCTTATAAGTTGCCATCAGGCCGAGAAAAGGAAGTAAAAGAGTATCTCGACTACAGAGAAAATCCAAGACTAAAATTCATGTTTGAGCTGTTTTAACTCAAAGCAATTTGCACATATCTTAAAATATATCAGTGTCATTGTTTTTTCTCAAGATGCGTATTTTTCTTCTTCTAAGGCTTGTTAATAAAATTGTATTATTTTATATTATTTAGGGCTGTCAAACGATTAATCACGATTAATCGCATCCAAAATAAAAGTTTGTGTTTACATAATATATGTGTGTGTACTGTGTATAATTATTTTGTATATAAATGCACACATATATATATTTAAGAAAAATGTTATTTATATATGAAAGGTTTATATTTATTTAAAATATACATTATATATAGGCTACATTCAGTCTATATACAGTATATACATGCAAATATTTCTTAAATACACATGCATGTGTGGTTGTTTATGTATTAAAAATAATTATACAGTACACACACATATATTATGTAAACACAAACTTTTATTTTGGATGCGATTAATCGTTTGACAGCCCTAATATTATTTAGTTAACTAATTTAACTAAGGCCTACCAGGCCTATATGGTGAAAACCTTTTGGAATGTTTCAAACAGAATTTATGAGATTCACCCAAGTTAATCACTTTATTTATTCAGGATACTTTGTCTGAATAGTTACAACTCCACTCTACCACATGTCTGTTGTTGTACCGATAACATCGTGTACTTGATCTTTGATGAATTTACTACAATGGTCCAAATGCTAAGTGTCTCCAAGAGTTTTTGTTTATAATAATTATACTAGTTAATAAGGACTTTGACATTGCGAGACCCAGCAAAAAAAAAAAAAAAAAAAAGTAGCAATATTGTGGGGAAAAAGAATGTTTGCATTTTTAATTTGTTAAAAACAACTCATTTATTGGCCTTGAGAGTAAAATGAAGCAAACATCTAAAAAAAAAAAGAAAAAGAAAAAAAGGAGAAAAATCACTGCAGTTTTGGCACTAAGCTAAATAATGTTTCTGTTATGTACACTCCCAAATGTAAAACAGAACTAACCATGGTAGAACCTGAAGCCCTTCCTGGCGCTGTGTGTGACAGAGAGAACAATCTTAAGTGATTTTGTACTGAGGCTGGAGTGAACTGTGACAGAAGAACAAAAACAATCCTGGAATCGGTCACTTGCCAATAAATAATGGCTCAAAACATCATCACCCCGCCATAATTTGGTCAAACTACAAACATGCACACTCAAACCAACATGCATGTATATCCCGCCGCCTTCCACAAACAATTCTCACACTAAATCTGGTCAGGCCGTTCTCGCTAGAAGACGTGTCATTCGTTTATGCATAGATAAATGCGTATGTACAATACACAAATGCATACATACACATATGAATACACAAACACATAGGACAAAACAAAACCCTGTTGTGATGGCAAGTGAGCAGAGAGCTACAGGACAATGTCAAACCTTCCTACAATAACGTCACAGTACTCAGACTTGCGTCCTCATGTAATGATAAAAAAATAGGAGGGCTCAGCCCCAATATATACTTCATCAAGTTACTGATGCCAGTCTAGCGTAGAGCAACAACAGCCAAAGAGGTGCATGCCGCATCCGATTACCACGGAGATTTAAGTCGAAAAGATGCTGTCTCTATGTCACTCAACCGAGAATCACATGCTCCTAGCTGTAAAAGGTTTAAAGAAAAAACAAAATGCTAAACGATGAAAAATATCCCAGTGTAATGGGGAAAAGTGGTTTTGACAATTCTAAACATGCTCGGATCACTGAGAACCTCAAGTCAAGAGAGCATGATGGGGGCTTTGGAGTTGGATTTATGGGGCAACCCATAGGCATTCTGTCCTTCATCACACTTTTAATGTCAACCCAGGATTAGAGGGGAGGGGTCGGGGGGATCATCTATCTGTACAACAACATTACAGACTGCAGGCAGTACATCCCTGCGCTGGTAAACCTTAAATATTAAGTATAGTTGAAATGCAAAAATATGGGCTAGATATATACATACAAACAGTACGTACAGAGTATATTTCTAAGTCGTTGAAACACATGTTCGTGTATGTGTACTCCATTCGACTCCTTCATGCCTATACGTGCCTCCTGCCCTCCTCTCATCATACTCATGGTTTAGTGGGCTCCTGGGTCTGGGTTCGAGAGGTTCTGCTACAGATGCTGAGATCCTGAGCGTCTGTGTCCTCCCGTCACATCCCCATGAATGCAGAAGATATTTTATTTGAATATAAAGTAAAAAAAAAAAAAAAAAAGAAATAACTAAAACCTGCAGAAACATTGTTTCAACCTGAAAAGAAACAGATAAAATATGATCAGGTCACAATCACGTAATTAAGCAGCTTTTATAGACTAAAACAGCATTCATTAATGAGTTACTTTGGCAACAGGACAGAACATTATTAGCAGAGTCAAAATCAGTATGGCTGTTTTAAAACCTAGTGAACTGCCAACCGTGACAGCATTTATTGGGCATCACAGGATTAACTTCAGGATTTGCTTAAATGAGTGTCTTTGTAACATACCCAATCTATGCATAGTAGCAAGGTGACACGAGAAGGTCTGTGAGCACCACGAGCTGGTCGTCCGTGAACTGCTGCTTGTGCTCCAGCCAGTTGTCGTGATGAGTGCGGCGGAAATTAGACAGAGTCTTTTTCACAGTCATCTAAATCAGACGGAGAGAGGCTTGTATTGATTTTTGTTAGATTTAATGGGCCCTAAGAGCGAAGCGCACGAGAGGGAGACAGAAAGCAATTGTGTTTGTAGTGACGAGCCGTGTACCTCGATCGGCTGCGTGTCGTTGAGGTGAGCGCTGAGGTCCATGAGGAGCTGAGGCATCCAGGTCGGGACATCATACGGGCTGGATAGGATGCAAGCGCTGAGTCCCAGCACTCCAGCGTGACGCCGCACCAGATCTGAGGAAAAATTAACATATTTTTTTCCAAATAAAAGTATTGCACAACGACCAAATCGTCATCAATTGACCAAAAGTGACAGTAAAGACTTTTACTTTAGATTTCTTATACAAATAAATGCTGTTCTTTTGAACATTTTATTCATCAAAGAAAAATGCATCATGGTTTCCACAAAAACATCAAGCAGCTCAACATGTTTCAACATCGATGAATAGAAGAAATGTTTCTTGAGCACCAAATCAGCAAATTAGAATGATTCCTGAATGATCATGTGACACTGAAGACTAGAGTAATGATGCTGAAAAATCAGCTTTGCCATCACAGGAATTAATCAAAAAATATGTACATAAAAATTAAGGCTGTCAAATGATTAATCACGATTAATCACATCCAAAATAAAAGTTTTTTTTTTACATAATATATGTGGGCTCACTGTGTATAATTATTTTCTATATATATATATAAATACACACACATGCATGTATATTTAAGAAAAAAAAATATTTATATATAAAATATTTATATATAATATAAATTATATATAAATCTATATACAGTATATACATGAAAATATTTCTTAAATATATACAAGCATGTGTGTGTATTTATATATATAAAATAATTATGCACAGTGCACCCACATATATTATGTAAAAAAAAACTTTTATTTTGGATGTGATTAATCACGATTAATCATTTGACAGCCCTAATAAAAATATAACTTAAAAAAAAGAGAATAATTTATTGTTTTTATTTACAGGCGTTTTGTGCCTTTTTGTAGCAGGATAAGACAGACTGGACTCAGATCGGACTTGTACTTAAATGATTTTGGCTCTTAAATTCTGTGGGCATAAAAGCTACTGTTGTGCCACGGTTACGACCCAAACAGTTACAGCACTGCATGTGATTAAAGTGTGATCATACCAACTGAAGGAATGGTATCCACCACAGAGCCCAAGTCTCTTTTCCTCTTTTTGGGCAATCTGGTTTTGCATAGAGCCTCAAAGTGAGTCTGCATGGAGGCATCCATTGCCAAGAAGTTACACTGCAGGAAGCCGCTGAGAGTGGTGGCAGCCATCTCTCTCACCTAAGGCACAGAGATGCAAAGAGATGAAGGTTTAATGAACAAGGGTGCATAAACTGGCATGCTGGCATCATCATTTATTCAGTGTTGCCCAGAAGGTACCTCCAGCTGCTCATCCTCCAGTAGCCTGATGACCAGTGTTCTTACATCCTGAACAGCCTGCTCGGTGCTCAGTATGGTGAACAGATTATAGAACACCATTATCTGGAGGTATGTTAGCACTGAGAATCGTGCATGCCAAGAGCTGCTGCCAGCGATCTGAAAATATAACAAGAATCTTATGATTCCACAGCAAACAGTACTCACTAGAACTGGGTAAGGAACTATAAAAAAAATAAATGTATAGATAAATGACATAATAAAATTGTCATTATTTTTTTTCATAATAATTACAAATATGGCTGCAAGCAGCAATTAGCAGGGCCAAGCGCAAAGACGACAAGACATGCCAACATGGCTGAAAGTGTCAGACCAACTGCAGCAATGAGCAATTAAAGACATTTTAAAGAGCCCCTATTATGGATTTTTGAAAATGACCTTTCATGTAGTGTGTAACATAGCTCTGAGTGAATGAAAACATGCAAAGCTTTAAATCTGAAAGTGAACCGTATATAAAGTTATTGTCTTTCAAAAGTAAGAGTCGACTGAGTCAACTAAATGAATTTTCAAACGAGTCATACGCCTTTTCTTTGTGACGAAACATTAGCATATTTCCTGCCCACTTATTGTGCTCGCAGACACCAGGGAAAACTTGAACACCCTCAAACCGGCAGCTGATTCCTGTGGATACTGGACAGCATCATGTCGAGAAGACGCTGTGCTCTACAATGTGAAGGTAAAGCCAGTTTTTTTCACTGCCCAAGGACGAGCATGTGAAGAATCAGTGGGTAAAATTAATCTTTACCACGATACCACAGCAGTATAATCCTAAACCTTTGCGGTGTTAACTTTATTTTACTGACGACTGCTTCTCAAATATCGGAGTTCAGTGCAGGATTCGCAAAACGCTTGCTCTTGAAAGATGGAGTTCAAAATACTTAGTTTTGAGTTTTATATTGTGTAACATTAGGTCTCCTGCTAACTGGTTAACTCACATTATTACTGTCTAACTGAAATACTTCTGCTGATCTGTTGTGGGCCACTATTACCTTAAACTGTGTCTATTAATGCAGATTGCCTGTCGTTCTCACTAGTTTGAGGAAAGATTAAGCATGGAGCAAGATTTGTTTTACCAACGTTTACGTTACATCAGTCATTCACACTAGAGCTCGGCTAATGTATGCACTGTTATTGATACAGTTTCCACGTGTTCACCGCAACAAATTTGAAAAATACTCTGTAAATAAATAAGTACAAGTAAAATAATCGGTTTATTGATGGACATGTCCTTGTTAGTGTTGATGGTGAGGAATTACAGTTGCAACATTTCATAATGTAGGCTACCTCAAACTGAGTAGAGTAACGTCCTGCTCGAGTCGTCCTTGCGATGGAGGTTCGGGTTGAATGAATAGTTCTTCCAATGTTTCCTCTTCGGATTTGCGCTCGGATTGATATGGTAAAATCGATGTCATTGTTCGTTACTGTGTTTAGTTTACGGTGTAGGAAGCCTCAGGACAAGCAGAGCTGACGTTGTTATTGCAATGGGCGTTTTTGTTTTTGACGCGCGCTGTACGCGGTGCCCAATCACAACAGACTGAGCTGTCTGGCCAATCAGAGCAGAGTAGCTCGCAGAAAGGAGGGATTTAGAGAGACTGATTCATCTGACTAGTCGTTTGAGAATCATTGAAAATGTGGTGATGTGCAAATGTATATTATGAGGAAATTCAAACAGTTTTTTGACCTTTGATGCATGTAAACCTGTTGTAGGAGACTCCAAAACAACATTTGGAAACTTTAAAATAGTATAATAGGGGCACTTTAAGAGGATTTTAGGGGGACTTTAAGAGGGGTGGTGAGAGACCCGGGTTCGAATCCACTGTGAGACACCAATGTGTCCCTGAGCAAGACACTTAACCCCTAGTTGCTCCAGAGGCGTGCGACCTCTGAAATATAGGAATTGTAAGTCGCTTTGGATAAAAAGTGTCAGCTAAATGAATAAATGTAAATGTACATTAAGCAATAATCATATATACAGTCACTTATAATATGATTCAACACTATCACTTTCAACCAATAGGTGGCGCAATTATGAAATTGATGTGGTGTGGTCAGAGTGAGGTGACAATAACACATACAAACTTTTGGTGTCAATATATCAAAGCATTGCAGAGATAAAGCCTGAATAGTCATTTTGGCATCATGCCTCAAATTTGCTGCTGCGGTATACGAAAATGGTTTCGTCTATCGACACGAAATCCATAACATTTTGTCGGCAAATTTCCATCACCATCTGGAGATGATACGATTCGATTTGGGTGAAAATCTGACAAACAGTCTAGGAGAAGTTCGAAAAAGTAGGTTTTAAAAGGAAATAAACATGGCGGACAGGAAGTTTGGCTGACTACGGCAAAATTGGTATCTATGTCGGCACAACCCAAAGAATCCATTAAAGGGTTAGTTCACCCAAAAGTTCTGTCAGTAATTACTCATCCTCATGTCGTTCCAACCCCGTAAGGAACACAATTTATGATATTTTTGATGAAATCTGAGAGCTGTCTCAGTCCTTCATAGGCTTCTAGATAATTTAATCTGCCGGCCCAGAAAAGTTAGGAAAAACATCGTTAAAATAGTCCAAGTGACTACAGTGGCTGAACCTTAAGTATATCAAGCGACGAGAATACTGTTTGTTCTCAAAAAACAAAACTAACAACTTTATTCAACTATTAATTTTCTTCTGTGTGGGCCTCTGACGTGAGTTCACGAGAGCGCCACGACACATGCGCGAGAACTGAGAATATGACGCTCATGATAATTTGATGGGAAAGTGTGAAAGGCAAGCCATTCATTTTGCAGCATTGGTTAGACACTTTTACGTTTTCTCGTTGGTTTCTCACGATTCGGTCATCCAGGAAATGCACACTTTAGAACCATTTTAAACACTACATCGAGACCCATCTGCATCATCTTCTCAGTTCTCGCACATGCGTCGTGGCCCTCACAGAAGAAAATTAATAGTTGAATAAAGTCATTAGTTTTGTTTTGTTTTTTGCGCACAAAAAGTATTCTCGTCACTTGATAAGTTTAAGGTTGAGCCACTGTAGTCACTTTACAGTGTTTTCACTATTTTAACAATGTTTTTACTAACTATTTTGGACCGGCAGAATGAAATTACCTAGAAGCCTATGAAGGAGTGAGACAGCTCTCAGATTTCATCAAAAATATCTTAATTTGTGTTCCGAAGATGAATGAAAGTCTTACGGGGGTTGGAACAGGGTGAGTAATTACTGACAGAATTTTCATTTTTGGAAACTAACCCTTTAAGACCAGCGTCATTACAATAGGCAAATTTATTCAAGTTATTAGCATTTTTGGAAATTTTGTTGTAACTTTTTTACCACAAGGTGGCGCTGCCCAGAAAATTTGTGTAAAGGCATGGTGCCGATGACTCATACCAAGTTTCGTAACGATACGCTAATGCGTTCATAAAGTATAGTATTTTATATCACATAACTCTATTAAAGCTGCTGTAGGTAACTTTTGTAAACAAATATTTTTTGTTAAAACTGTCATTATGTCCTGACAGTAGAATATGAGACCGATAATCTGTGAAAAAAATCAAGCTCCTCTGGCTCCTCCCAGTGGTCCTATTGCAATTTGCAGAAATACACGCTCCCGGTCAGAAACAACCAATCAGAGCCAGGAGGAATGTCTTAGCAGTGTCAATCACACTCGTGTACGCGCTGATCACACCCCTCTCTTGCACAGCGCGAGCCGTCGTTCAAACCAAACTCAAGATTGCGGGTGTGCTGCAACTGTGCTAATGGCGGAGAAACAACCTAAACTGCCAATTTCTCGAGTGACACCTGCTCATAAAACAAAGACGGGTAAAAGGAAAAAAAATGATGACGATAAACAAGCGAAAAAGAAAGAATTAGACAGAGCCCATTGACTCGGTGTCAAAACTCGAGCCGCGTGACATGTAGATAAAATGTCACCACTGTGCAAAGCAACAATTGAAACCTGCTAATTCACTGGCTTGTCATGTTGCTGAAATAATATTATGGCGAGCAGGACGAGGCCGATGGACAGGGACGAGAGAGCGGCGCGAGGCCGGTGGCGTGAGTGATAATGAACGACACCTGTGAGACGCACCGGTCTCGCATCTCTCACGGAGAAGCGGAAGCATAAAGGAGGAGCGACGACAGTGGAGAGAGGAACAGGCCTGATTTTACATGTGATTTTATGTTCTGTTTTGTGTGCCAGCAGTCGTCCGTGAGGGACTGCTGGCTTATACTTCCATTTTGTAATCGTTTATTTATTATTAAACTTGTTGAACGTTCGCCGGTTCCCGCCTCCTTCTTCCCATAACAACTGAACCCCCGTTACAAATGTACTAGCAAACCTTATCTAACATTAGGCTTACATATATAATATAATTCAAGTAATTATTCTAGCGATATGTTACGTTAGTTACCGTTATATTATCTTACTAGCGATTTATAACTTAAGGGTGCAACGTTATAAAGTTACATTACATGTATTGCAAAATACATAATGATTTGAGGACCAAGTTTGTAGTCAAAGTATGGGCAGGCCTTAGTCAATGTAAAGCATATTGTTGATGTTTAATACGGCCCTGCTTACTAGCCTGCGCGTTCACGGCAGGCTCCGCTGTGGGGAGGATCTGTGGAGGGAGGGCGTTAGCGCAGCAGAGAGCAAGGGGGTGGGACCTGTAAGTTGTGCTTGTTCAAATTTTCAGGCTAAGTCAACGTTTTCTCAAAACTCCCTACTGCAGCTTTAAAGTCAATGGCAATTTCATGTTTTGTTTAATTATAGCACCACCAAGTGGCGCAGTTCCACCGTTTTTTTTGTGTACTCAGAGTGAGCCCATACATGTGTCAAATTTGGTGAAAATATCTCATTTCGCTTTGGAGTAATAGACATTTATATGTATAATTACATAAAAAAAATGACTCACACCTGACTTTGTTTGCATTTTCTTGCCACTTACTATTAAAGGGGTCATATAATGGTACATGCACTTTTTCAAGTTGATTGTACTGAAATGTGTGTTGGCAGTGCCTGTACACAACCATCATATAATGATAAAAATCCATCCAGTGGTTTTGTTTTAATCTCCTTATATGTTTTCCCCTGCCTCAAATCGAGCCGTTCGTTTTTGTGACGTCAATAAAACGGACGCCCCTCCCGCGATTGTTGATTGATAGGCGCGTTTCAACACAGACCCGCCCTCGCTCGTGAGAGCTGTCAATCATAGTCCACGCGGACCGGCGCGGTCATTGTTGATATGCTGGAGCACTGTCTATGAGCAGAATGGCGTCTAAGCGATTGTGGTGTTCTGTTCTTGGGTAATAACGAACACAGCAGTCATTTTAATGTTCCTAAATCCGAACCGCTGAAGACGCAGTGGCTGAGTTCTGTTTTCGAAGGGAATATTCCCCACGAGCAACGTCAATGCTTTCATGTTTGCGCGAATCATTTCTCAGCAGACTGCTTTATAAACGAGGATCAGTATAAAGCTGGTTTTGCTAAGAAGCTGATCATGAATAAAGAATCGGTACCAGATATTCGTGTTCCTGCTGAACCTCTAGAACAACTGAAGTGAGTGTAACGTTTTATTAAACTTTATATTAATATTTATATCTTTGCAAATCGCTTCACGATGAATGAGTCTAAGGTTTACACTCAGGGTACATTACTGCATGTTTTCTATGTACGACGTTCTCCATATAATTCATAATCCCACGTTTATAATGAACAACACGTTATGGTATTGTGTTACAAACGTGTACGCACAGAACAGAGAGGCGGGGTGAGCAAAGCTCATTATCATTTAAAGTCATATGCACTGAAACGGCGTGCTGAAAACAGAGCTGTTTTTGACCAGGTAAAATAAGTGTTTTCTTACAATACTAATGAGAATTTTTAATTAAAGTATATTACAAACTTTTAATTTAGACCCTAAAGAATCATATTAGCTTGTACAAAAATGGCATTATATGACCCCTTTAATATTTAGACATTTGGACATTAGCATATGGCCAACGACCTATGTTTCCAAACTTCCTACGGTGGTTTCGTCTCATTCGGTCTAACGGTTTCGAAGATATTGGCAAATGTTTTTTAAGCGCTTAATCACAAATCGTAAGGCGAAACCTAGCATGTTCGGTATCGTTGGACTCGGCAAGGATTCGGGAATCTAAGGAGACGACTCCCGTGAAAATAAGTCAACCACACCCATAGTTATAAGCATTTGGGGCATCGTATTGATACGTTCATAAAATACAGCATTTTGGTCTGTTTTCTTATTAAAATATATCAAATACGTTTTTTCATTTTATTAACATTACCAGTATTTTTTTGATATTATAACTATTCATATTTTTAATTAGCTTTTATTTTCATATTTTCAGTTCTTCATTTTAGTGTAAGTTGTAGTGATTTTTTTATGTGCATTTGTCATTTCTATACATTTTTTTATATTTCTGTATAACTTTAATTTTTACTTCAGTTTTAGTTTCAGTAATTTTAGTAGCTACTTCTACTGCAACTATTTATTTAGTGTTTTTAAGATTGAATCAAATATTAATATTTTATTTCCATGTTACTTCAATTTACTGACAACCGTTTTTCAATAGTTTTAGTTTTTTTATTTAACAATAACACTGATAACAACTTGAGTGAAAAATGAGTCAAGGTCAAATTCGGCCTTGAATTGTTGTCCTGTTATGTGTCTGGCACGGCTGAGGCCTCACCTCATGTAGCACCTTCAGTACCAGAGGGATCTGCTGAGGATAGAGGAGACCCTGAGACACGAGAGACAGACACGTCTTTGCATCTCTCTTCAGCTCATCATAGCTGTCATCGTTTTCTACGGGAGCGATCTGTAGATGGCACAGACCAGCACAGAGTGAAAGTCAGCATTCCACTTAAGAGCACTCCACACAAATGGATAAAAGATGAGCATACGCTAAGATAGAGATAGAGAGAGAGTATCCGAAACCTTAAAAAGCAGGGGCAGCAGCTGTAGTTGCTGAGGTACTGGTGTAGAGAAGGAGCGCCCCGCACTGGCCATCAGCCACTTCAGAACTGTTTTGAAGAGTTTAATGGCCTGGGTCCTCTCGTCCTGCTCTCCCACTCCGTTCTCTTCCACCACGTGGTTCTGAATCTCTTCGTCCCCCTCAATCAGGGGCTTCAGCTGAGACAAGATCCTTTCGGTAAACTCAGCGATGTGTGGGGACTTAGTAGGCAGAGTACACGGCAGGTTGACATCAATCATGAAAATGTACGTCAGCACACTGCAAGTAAAGAAATCATGACAACAAAGAATCAGTGGAACTGCTAGTATATTTTTAGATAACAGTGACGGCTCTAACCGCAGACCTACCTGCCGATGCGCTCTCTCACATTCTTATAAACCTGAGTGAGTTTGGGCTCCAGGTAACTAAGCAATCTGTGTAGCAGCTCTGGGACCCTCCACTCCTGCTGTGCCAGACCACCCTGCAGCACATACAGGTGGCTACGAGAGAGAGAGAGAGAGATCAGGGTAAATATCAGGTATGCATTTAAAGTCTGAATGATGTCAGAATTGGCCCGTGAATCTAAACACAATATACACTTACCAGGCATCTACAAATGATCCACCTTCCCCGCTGAGAGGACACTCCATCAGCATCTCGAGAAGCCAGTGGAGCTTTCGTGGATCTCGGCTCTCCTGAAAACATCAAACACCAACAGTTAGTTGTTCTCATAGCTTCTATAGCAATTAAAGAATCACATAAATTGTTTTATATGTATTAGAGAGAGAAAGAGGGAGGGACAGCAATTGTTTGATATACGTGTGTATATATATATATATATATATATATATATATATATATATATACACACACCCACACATCAAATGAATACTCAATTGTTTTATTTATATATATACACACAGTACTGTGCAAAAGTCTTAGAAATGATATTTTCACAAAAACAGAAATAGCTTTGAGACAGTTATTTATAACTTTTGCTGTAGTGTGTCAGTAGGGAATATAAGTTTACAAAAAAATTTCCAACAATTAAATTTTTTTGCCATTAACTGTAATAATCCAGTGAAATTTTTGTATGCACAAGGAGGCTAACAACAACAGCCGGACCGGTGCTACACAGAGATCTGATCTCACCATCATCAAGTCTGTCTGTGCTCACATGAATAAACAGAAAAAACTGAGACAGACTAATATCCAGAAGAACTGTGGCAACGTCTTCAAGAGACTTGAAGAAACCTTACCGGCTGTTGTCAGACTCCTTGTGCATACAAGAATCACTCACTGGATTATTAAAATAAATGGCAAAAGGAATGTTTGGAAATGTAAACTGATATTTCCTACTGACACACTACAGCAAAATATATAAATAACTATTTTGTAAAAAAAAAAAAAAAAAAAAAAAAAAAAAAATTATATATATATATATATATATATATATATATATATATATATATATATATATATATATATATATATATATATTTTTTTTTTTTTTTGGTCATATACATTCATACATACATACTCACCAAGGCTGCAAAAATACAGTAAAAACAGTAATATTTTGAAGTATTACAATTTGAAACTTTTTATTTTAATATATTTAGCATTTTTATTTATTCAAATAATGGCAAAGCTGAATTTTCACATGATCCTTCAAAAAAATCATTCTAATATGCAGATTTGGTGCTCAAAAAAACACATTTCGTATCAATGTTGAAAACAATTGTGCTACTTAAAATGTTTGTGCAAAATAAATATTTTTTCCAGGATGTTTTGATTAATACAAAGTTCAAAAGTTAGAATGTAAAAGTCTTTAGTGTCACTTTTGATCAATTTAACGTAACCTTGCTGAATAAAAGCATTCATTTATTTTTATAAATGCAATATTATTGACCTAGACTTTGAAACAGTGCTTTAAAGATATTCAAATGTGAATTTAGATAATTTAAATGTTAAATCTAAATTATATTAATATTTAAATATATAATATTTATATAGAGTTTTTCTCGTTTGCCCCTGAAGTCCATTTATAATGTTTTCACGATCATTTACTGTTGGTTCAGGTAGTGAATTATGTAGCATAAATTTCAACATAGTAAAGATAGATGACATACACAGGCAGTGGCCACACAGGTACCCCAGTCAGCGTAGGTCTCAACAGTAATCTTGGACAGTGCTGTTCGCATCAAAGGAATAAGGAATGTCCATAATGCCTCCACCTATGTGTGTGTGAGAGAGAGAGGGGTTTCAAACATGAATATGGTTAAACATCTCAGTTGCTCCCTAATTTTAGCCCTCAAACTTGCAGCGGGGCTCACCTTGCCAAAGCTCCAGTGCTTGCTGCCTCTAACCAGGCCTGCGATGATCTCAGCCACACAGCGCTGGGTGCTCTCATGAGAGTCATCTGCCAGCCGCTCCATATGAGGCTTTAGAACAGGCAGGAAGGCATCACTGTAGTTCCGGAAAAGTCCCTGTGGGGGTTGAATGAGAAAGCAAGCCATCTGTATTTTGTAATAATTCGTACGGCAGGTGAGAGAGGCAGGATTATGAGCTGGTTAAAGTGCAGAGATTAGCAGAGATGAGGCTGGGAGCACAATTGTATTTACTGCTCTACACGAATCATTTATTAAATGCATCCTCAAATTCTGTGCGACCTCTCGGTTTGGGAATTACAGAAGGGGAAACTGCAACAAAACTGCTGAAATCAGTGAACATAAACAGGATGATAACGATCCAATAAATGCTACATTTTAAATTTTTTCTCTTTGCCGAGAACTACAAAAATAGAAGCCAGGTCAATTATGTAGGCATTGAAAATATCCTTTCAACTATCTTAATGTATGCACCCTAGTGCAGAGGACCCTAAGCAAATATAGGACAAACAGTGGCTTGTTAACAGGATGTACAGGCACATCTAAAAATAATTCTACAGCATACATCAAGGCCATTCAACGTATTTTAATTAGAGCCGGGTATGAAACGCATCACACAAGTCAACTCAATACACTGGAAAGCATCATAAGATAATTATTGGGTTGTGAATGAAACGGTGTCAAACATGTGAAAGAGAGAGTGAATATGCGTTGTTTAAATTGTCTCATGCTGTTCGCTTCACGTCTCTGACTTGCAGAGTTTACACATTTGTCTTAGGATGCTGGTACCTTGAAGAGACAGAAGCGACGAGGATTGAACTTGTCTTTGCCCTTTCTGTCCTCAAGGGACAGGAACTCGATGAGCTGTTTGATAAACACTGGGTCTGTGAAATGGTCATAGATGATGCGTTCCCTCTGTTGGAAAATAGTATACATAGTTACAAGTTCATCAGTAAAACAAAGTGTAGGGAAGTACGGTTGAGATCTGTCCCTGTATACCTCATTCATGTTCTCAGCAGCAAGATCCTTAGGCTGCTCTGCTTCAGGGGCATATAGCATCAACTTCCTATGAGCAAAGGAACAGAGAGAGTGAGGAAAAAAGGCTGGAAGCACAGATTTAGACTGAATCATACAGTGATCAGAGGCTGAGAGGGTTTACTTTGGCCAGCAGTAGTATCCCCAGTGTGTCTTTTCTACAAAGCAGAAATTGTCCCAGTCCTGCTGGGTTTTCGGCAGGCTGTCACCATGGTACTGCAGCCAGTCGTTCCCCGGCCTGTCTCCTGCCACCAGCCCCTCCGGCTCGGTTACACTACCTGCAAAGCACCACATGTGTAATTGCTCCTTCCACAGATACTGAAACCTTGCAGATGGACCAACAGATGGATGTGAAGAGTAATTTAATCATCTCATTTCATTGTACTATTTATTTGTTTTCACAGGGATGTTTACTCACTTATATCACAAGGAGTAACAGGTATTTTCTTGCGTGGTCTCTTCAGCTGTTTCAGTATGCCTGCCACAGCGGCAATCGCCATCTATACCAGTGAGCATGGGAAGCAAAACCAATTTATATACAATTTACACAATGGTTTTAAATATATAACAGACTACCATTCACTTCCATTCAAAAGTTTGGGGTAAGTAAGATTTGTTTTTGTTTTTTTTAAATAATACTTTTATTCAGCAAGATGCATTAAATTGATCAAAAGTGACAGAAAAAAAACATTTACAATGTTTCAAATTATTATTATTTTTTTTTTTTTAACTGTTCTTTTTATTCATCAAAGATTTCTGGGAAAAAAAAATTCCCCCAAAAAATTAAGCAGCACAACAATTTTCACCAATAAAAAGAAATTTATCAGCATAGTAGGATACGTTAACACGACAACGATGTGCTAAAAAGTTTTCGCATATAGACGACAACGTTTTCAAAATGATCCCCGTTCACACGACAAAAAAAACGACTATAAATGCTGTATTATGATCGTCAGGCCAGTAGTTGGCGATGTCACTTTGTAAAGAGAAACTACACGACTATAGACTGAACTCGTAATATGCATGACATCACCATTTTCACAAATTTGCCTTTTTGTAGTTTACATGGAGAGGATAAAAGTGATTGTTTTCAAAAACTTGCACTTTGAAACCCATTTTCAGGCCCCCAAATCAGCCAGTCGTGCAAATGAACGGCCCAAACACATAAAAAGTTGTGTGTCATGTAAACGGCCTCATTGGCCCCGTTCAGACTGCAGGCAAAAGTGGCCCAAATCCGATTTTTTGGGGGTCAAGTGACCAGGTCAGACTTCCTCAGAAGTAGTGTGAACACTCAAATCTGGCCCAGATCTGATTTTTTCAAATCAGATTAAGACCACTTCCATATGTGGTCCTGAATCAGATCCAGGTCTGATTTTTTTCAATACCGCCGCAGTGTGAACAACCAGGGCGGATTTGATGCGACTTTTACGTCAATCTACATCGACATTTGTCACAAATTATGCGCCAGCGAGTCAGACATTCTGTCAGTCGATCTCTGACAGAGATAATTAAAAGTTGCCCTCAACATCCAAAAGTTTTCGAAAAACAGCATCTCTGTGAAGCTATTCACATCACATTCCCACCACTCCTGGGGTCGGTGCAGGCTACTTTTGCGTCCATTCGTTTTTCCTTTAACTCCTAATTGAAAAACAAAAAACATGCTTTCTTCTTTATTAGTTTTTAGACTGGTGAAAAAATATTCACATACAAACTTATTTTCCTTATATAGCCTACATTGCTTATTTAATTGAACATCAAATAAATGACATAAGCTTTTTATTTTTATTTTTTTTACAAAAATAAGAAATTTGATTTCTGCATTTTATTTACGTTGATCCGGAACATGTAGATAATATGGAGCGTCTGTGAATTTTTTTTTTTTAATAATAATAATCCGTGACGACGGTTTTGCAATCCGTCCCCTCAAGTTTAAACCGTAGACCTACTCACGAATTCTTAAACTGTTCCCTCGATCGGTTAAACAAATCGTGCCCACGGATTAATAAACTGTAGGCATACCCACGATATCCTAATCCGCGCTCTCAGATTTGTAAATATCAGTTCTTTGTAATTTCTTAAATTTTTAAAAACAAAACGACATTTAGGTACTGTCTTAAGTGAACTCATTTATAATCGCAAATAATAATAATAATTATCATCATTATTATTACATTTATTAGGCTACATATCTAGAAGACGCTTTTATCCAAAAAAGGAACAAAGCAATTCGTCAAATGTCAGTCATAATACAGGTTAGACAATAATAATACAGGGCTAAGATTATCACAAATAAACACAAGATTGTGACGCATATCAAGTGTTTGTGTGGAGTGTGGAGCGCGCACTGCATGGCACGGAGGCGCGGGTACGAACACTTGCATTCTCCTATCAACAGTGGAAATAACTTACAATACTCTATCATTTCTGGTCATACAGAAAATAATAATACATAATCCGCAACTACCTACTACTTTTATTTGTGTAAACTCACAATAACAAGAAAACGTTCTTCTTTTGTAAAATAAAAGAAAACAATCAGGCGCGCTTTCATGATCTCCGTGAACCGGAACACGTCTCAAAAATGAACTGAAACAAAATATAGCCTACCTATATAAAGCTTGAAATGTCCACTTTTAAACGAACAAATTTGAATCGAAAGCAAATACCTTCTGATTATGTAATCCATATGAAGGTTTCTCTCTAAAGGTGCATCCGCTTTACAGCGGAGATGGAGATATGTTTGAAGCCGACACTGCTTTGAAAACACTAGTTTATTAATAAACAATTAAAATGGCTAATTTTTTCAGACACATTTATTATCATTAGCCTATTATCACCTATAAATCACCTCTCTGTGCTATGGTTCCAGAGACACGGCTCTTCTCATTCAGCACTGCGGGAAAAGTATCATCGGATTCTAATTTGGCCTTAGAAAACCAATAAAATCGACATTTGTTGCATATTAATTTGTGAATATTTAAAATGTTTAATAAAGGGGCAAAAAGTCATAAACAAAAATCTGAAAATTCGTCTATATTTCTTTCTTTTGCCCAGCATTTGGTGTGTGCAGTTCAAATTCAAATTTTGTTGTTCAACTTTGCGTTTTAAAAATACAACAACCGCTCATTTTTCGTTTTTCAATTACGGGTTAAAAAAGGAAAAACGAATGGACGCAAAAGTACACGGACCGTTTGGACAGAATACGAGACAAGAGTTCTTTATTAAATTCATAAAAGAAATACAGGAATACTGGATTCTAAACCTCAAAGAAATGCCACAATCAAGACCTTGGAGCAGAAATGAGGGAGAAACACCCAGAAACAGCTCATATGTGCCGTTCACAGCATGCCGTTAATGCTTGGATAACACGCCACGTCTCCTTCCATTAATAATAATAATAGCTAGTCCGTTGCCATGATTGTTGGAATGATTTAGAAAAAAATCGCAATACTTTTGCGCAAATCTGTAGCCTAATGGAAACGCGCGGTTATTGTTCTTTTGCGCATGCGGGTCAGTTCGAAACCGCAAACAGTTCACACTGGAATCTGATATAGGCCACATTTTAAAAGGTAATGTGAACAGCCAAACAAAAAATCGGATCTGAGCAAAAAATCAGAATTGAGCATTAAGACTTGCGGTGTGAACGGGGCCTTAGAATGATTTCTGAAGGATTGTGTGACACGTTATTGTGTTCAGTAATGATGCTGAAAATTTAGCTTTGCCATCACAGGAATTAATAAAAATTTTTAAATATATTTAAATATAAAACGTAAGAGACTTAAAAAAATTTTTTTTTTTACAAATCTTACCGACCCTAAACCTTTGAACGGTAGTGTATATTGGAAAAGGTCGGAAGAAAATTAACAAAATAACAGCATTCCACCAACCTTGCGAACAACTAGCGCATCGTGGTTGAGGCTCCGTATAAAGAAGAGCACCGCAGGAGCCGGGAGAGGATAGTCATCTCTTAGCAGTAGAGACAGGAAGCCAATAGCAATGTGCTCAAACTTCCAAGGCCTGATGACACGCAAAACAGCATATTCACAAATGAGTGATGTTTTTATGCATCTAGTTTTGTAAAAATGTAGCACTTTTAAACATCTATTTAATACTTACAGATCCCTGTCATTTAGACATTCCAACAGATCTTTCAAAAGCTTTTCATATTTCCTGGAAGAGGGAACAGCAAAGATTTACCACACCATGTTAAATGAGTAGTAAACGTTGTGAGTCTGTATCCGTGTAGCACTTACTGCTCTGCATCCTGGTTTTTGTCTTGTTGAAGTGCCAGCCCTTGCTCCAGCTCCTGGTCTACGGGAGTCCCAATGTATGGAGTGGGTTGCCTTGAATCGGTGATGCTCCGGCCAAGAAAAACCGCACTCTCAGGTACCTACAGATTCATCAAGGGAAACATGAGTCTTACAAAATAAGATTGCTGTCGTTTTACACCATACACATAGCCTAAAGGTGATAGCAAAATTTCTGCAAACTTTCGCAGTCAAAAAGTTCCATTGTCTATTGTCAATAGTGTTGCAATTTATGAAGCACCAACTTGAACCTGTTGTGAAACCCTGATGGGGAAATCTTTTTTCTTCAAATTTTTGCAGAACAGTAAATATGTCTGAATCTTAAGAGTCTGAATGACACACCGCAGTGGCAAAATATATATGTTTATGAGCAAAACAGGTGACGCTGCTCACAGTAAAATCGATGCCGATGGTTTCGTACTGTCGGTGGACTTTGTCTGCGAGGTCATCGAAGAGTCTGACGATGGACGGCTTCTCTAGGGACATAGCTGAGCTGAGGCCTGAACGCACTATGGCCGGCCATGTCTGACTGATGCAGTCCCAGTCATGCAAGTTAGCAAGGCACACTCCACTATGGTTCCCAAGCAAGCAGTACAACGCTCCCTAGAGCAAAATATGATTTTAAAAAAAATGGTATTGAGTCAATAAAATAAATTAACAAATGCAGCAGGTGCTAATTATAGAAAGTGAAAAGTATAGATTGCAGACCTTGAACTGTTGCTGGGTGACATCAGTTCGTGTGGGCTCCAGTAGCTCCAGGACACGAGGAGTAATGTCTCTGCAGCAGAAGTTATAGGTGCCCAAAGCTGTGAACAACACATTCTGGGCCTTGCTGCGGACCTGAGGGGCCAAAAATAAAATGGACATTAAGGAGTACATACAAAATAAAAAGGATTATTTTAATGTAAAATTTGGTGGATGTGGAATCAAGACCTGGCTGTAGGTGCTGGTAGAAAGACGCAAAAGGTCCCTCAACAGGTCCTGATGGACACTCTTGTATTCACACCCCTCGACCAACAACTTTCGCATCTAAAAGTGGAGAGCAGGGGGAAAATTTCTTACTTCCAAGTCCAACTAGGTGTGTTGCAATATACTGGTATTGACAATAATCATAATACTCAAAAAATAAAAAAATCGATCATGTTAAAGCACCAGTAACTATATGATAGTGACTCCAACACAGTAGGTGGCAGTATTGCACCTTAATGTTGGTTGCCACCCGATATAAAAGACAACAGCGCAATGTTTACAAAATTTGCTGCATTGGCCAAACAGCAGAACACACAAGATAAAGTTAAAGATGAATTTGACTGAAAAAAATATATCGTTTTTTTTATTTCCGAATATTGCAGATATCACCATAATAATGTTCTTGTGAAATATTTTGGCCACGATAATAGTGTAGAGAAAATCTGATATTGTGACAGCCCTACAATATCTATTATGTGCCAATTCCCTATGCCAGGTTATTAGCATTGGCTCCTACCTCATGCTGAAGAAGAACTCTGTCAATCAGAAGAGCTCGGATGTGCTGTTTCTTCCCATGAAGCTGGAGGGAATAAGAAGATTCGAAAGACAATTATACATTGCAAATATAAAATGCCACAGGAGATTTCTCAGGCCCAACTACACACCCTATTCTCCATAGACTTCTTCACCAGGGTGAAACTCTTCCAACGAGAGTCAAACTCGTGTTTGTGGGAACCTTTGAAGTGCATTAAGTCACTGATGATCTGAGGGAGACAAACAACTGTTAAACCAAGAGACTTTAACAGCTAATTATTGCTATATGATCCAATACAATTAACAGCCTTATAAACAATGATCAATTCATGTTGCTCAAATATCGACTGTGCTCACCTTGATAATGGCGAAAAGGGATTTGGTGTCATCCTCTGAGCGCTCCAGAATGTAATCTACAAAAGAGAATTAGAAGATGCATGGGCTGACTGTCTCAAGAATTATGGGTAATTATGGTGCAGTTTAAGTGAGTTTTGTGTGCAAGTAGGTGTGGTAAATGAGGAGCACTCACGAAGCAACTGTCTCATCACTTTACAGATGGCCTCACGGTAGTTCTCTCTGGACTTATCTGAAGAAAGAAAAAGCAAAGCCTTACTGAAAGGGTCTTAACTGTACATTCATCACAACAACATGAAACAACAGGTTTCATAAGCAGTTTCACTAAGAACTTGCTCAGTTGTGGCTTACCATAGTCAACACCAATGTACAGCTTTGTTTCCTCCAAACTAAGCAGGCTGGGAACACTACAAAGAAGAGAATGAAAAAAAGAAATCATATTCATACTTAAGTTCTACAGTTCGGGTCGGTAAGATTTTTTTACATGTTTTTGAAAGAAGTCTCATCAAGATGAAAGAAGTCTCATCATTTATTTGATCAAAAATACAGCACAAACAGTACTATTGTGACATTTGAAATCATGATTTTAATGTGTATAAAAATATAATTTATTCCTGTGAATAAACCATTAGGCTACTCCAGTCTTCAGTGTCAAATGATCCTTCAGAAATCATCCTAATTTGCTGATTTGGTGCATAAGAAACATTTCTTATCAATGTTAAAAACAGTTGTGCAGCTTAATATTTTGTGGAAACCTTGATACATTTTCTTTCAGGATTCTTTGATGAATGAAAAGTTCAAAAGAACAACATTTGCCTGACATAAAAAGACTTTCTAACATTTTAAATGTCTATTTTGACCAACTTTCTTGCAAAAAAAAAAAAATTCTTACCGACCTCAAACCTTTGAATGAACATTTTAAAATATACTTTCCCCCTGCTTTTAAGAATTAAATACAAAATATTAAATAATCATGATTTAATCAGAACTGTGTATTTCTTTGCACGTCCACTGCTTAGAAGGAACATTGTTCAATATCTCAGTGTGTTTTAGGACTTACAGGCCTGTGACTATGGTTCCATCAAGAGGGGGCAGCATGCTGCCAGCACCCAGCAAACAGTGCTGGACTATACACAGGCTCTGAAGAACATCATCTCTGTTTAAAAAGCAGAAATAAGTCTGAATTAGCAAAAACAATTGAAAAAAATTCAACATCAATACAATACTGAAATGCATGTTTTTTTTGTTTGTCACATCATTACAGAGTGCACTTTTGACCTCTGACCTGCTCATGTCCTGTTCTCCCTGTGCATATCTCTGCAGGCGCTGGAGCTCGGGCTGCAGCAACAGGTCCAGAACATAGAACACAAATGCTGTCTCCTCTGCGCTGGGCACGTGCCACTGGATCTCCAGATGCCACAGATCCCCTGGACGACCCCAGTCCTGCCATAAGAACAAGAAAGGAGGAAGAGAAAACTTATGGGATCTACAATGATCCAATACATTTGAGAAAACAAAAAAGACTTACATACTTACACAAGTCTACACAAAAATTGGATACATTCGCAGTACCTTGATGGGCAAGTACTCTTGCAGGGGTTTGTTGAAGCCGCCGGGCACACTGCAGTAGTCTGTGGGGTAGGTGAGCGCTGTGGAACGCAGGATATGGTGCAGCAGGTTGCAGGCCAGAGTGTAGCCCTGTTTACAGCGCATGCGCAGGGTCAGCTGCAGAGTCTGAACCAGCTGTGTGCGGTACGGGAGGAGCTTTTCCCCATCCACACGAGTCACCTGAAGAGCAGTGAGAGGGGGTGGCAATGTGAGACACAACAATCCTTGTCAAGTGTCTAAACTAATCTGGTCTTGTAAGGGGACTGATTTGAAACACTTTTTATAGGCATTGTCTCCATTATGCTCCTAATGGAAAGTGCATGTGAGACAAACTTGATAGTTGAGTCTAGTTTAAATGGAAAGTCCACCCAAAAATGAAAATTCTGTCATCATTTACTCATCCTCGTGTTGTTTCAAAGCTGTATGACTTTCTTCTGCCAAATATAAAATATATTTTGAAGAATATTGGTAACCAAACGGTTTTCTGTTCCCATTGAAGTCTTTTATATGGATAAAAATACAATGGAAGTCGTTGGGAACCGAAACAATTTGGTTACCAACATTCTTCAAAATATATTTTATATTCGGCAGAAGAAAGTAAGTCACATGTTTGGAATGACAAGAAGGCGAGTAATGCCAATGACAATGCTAATGACTTAATCTAATAAGCATAAAATACAAATATTACAGAAATATTGGGTGAAATTGTACTTTAATTAGATTATTTCACATTAGTATTTAACACAAGCATACATAACATGCATACATAACTTGTATTTGTAATTTTTTAGATTTTGATGAAAACTTTGCAATGCATTATATGATTGATTTATTCACTTATCCATGAAGAACATATGTAAATGTGATGCTGATCCAAATGATCTTAACCCTCTGGGGTCCTTCATTTCAGAGTCACACTCAGGACCTTCGGGTCCAAATGGGTGGGATTAATATTTATAAAAAAAAAATCATTTTTTCTTGTTTTTTATAATATTCTTTCTTTTCTTTTTTGGTGTTTTGAGATAATTTCAAAAATAAAAATGATTTAGAATTAATATTAATGCAATAATTATGACCCATTTTTTCCCCATTGAATATAATAGAATTTTTTTTTTTTTTTAAAGCTGTATTTCATTTTAGAGTCAAGCCTAGGCCTCATGAAAGCAATTTTTGAAATGAGATGGATGCCATCTGGTGGACAAACTGAGCATATAAAAAATTCAAAACCCATATGTAATCTGAATTTATTAGTGTGTATGTGTATAAAAGTGTGTTTGTGTGTGTGTGTGTGTGGATGTGTCTGTTTTGCACTCTTGATGTTTTATAGATTCACCCCTTCACTGTTGTGTGCTTTTTTTCTGGATCGTGGCTGATTTGTAGATTGTACGCACAAAAAAACTCTGTATTTTCACATTTTTGCCAATTTCCCATTCATTTCCTATGCGGGTCCATTTGGACCCGAAGGTCCTGAGTGTGACTTTTTTTTACAACCACTTAGACTATTCAAATACTGTCCCCACTTTTTTTGGGTGTTCATATACCAAGTACCAATAAAGTCACCAAATTTCAGACCATTCCGATAAAGCTATGATTTTTAAAAATATATATATTTAAATGCTTCGGGTCCATTTGGGCCGAAGGACCCCAGAGGGTTAACAAGGTATATAGTATTAATGCCAACTGTTTAGAATAGCCTAAGTGTCAGGACAGAGGCTATGATGCCTAAAAATGTTGCCTAGATAGGAATCCATCATGATTTTGGAACACAGCTTAAGATCTTTTGTGTAGTGGTATGATATAGTGTTGTGTTCACCTCAGACAGCAGCTGAAGGCTCCAGAGCAGTTCTTTATCCAGTTCTTCCTCATTCAAAACATCTTCATCTGAAATACACCAAAACTCAAGTAAGGATGGTGACACACTCAACATGACACAAACAGAGTTATTTTCTTGTACGCACTGGCAGTTAGATGAGTAATGGCGTTACAGCAGTGTGGTACAAACAGCCTGAGAGACTCAGCAGGGTGACACTGAAACAAAGCAGAGGACAGTTGAATCAATGCGGTCTCACAGTTGTGTATCTGTCTGCACAAATGGGGAAAGGGGAAGTATTACCTTAGCAGATGCTCTGCACATGTCTGCCACCATCCTGCCTGCGACACGAGTCTCAAAGATGTTGGTGGTGGCAAAATTGAAGACTTTCTCAAGAGCAACCTATAGACAGATAACAGAGTTTATTTGAAATAGAAATCTTGCGCAACATTACAAATGCCTTTACTGTCACTTTTGATAATATTTAATGCATCGCTGAATAAAGCATTAATTTCTTTAAAAAGAATAATAAAAATAAAAAAAATCCTGACTCCAATCTTTTGAACAGTAGTGTCACACAATACTTTCTAGCAGGGCTGCCAACTTTGAGGTTTAGCTTGGAGTGGTGGTGGGGGTTTTAAAAAACAAACTTACATCACAATAAGTGTATTGTGATTGTCAAAGTATTTGGTAACTAAACAGAATTTCATTAAGCTTGGTGACAACATGTGACAATGTATACATGGTACAATGACTGGTCGGCTACTGTTTTTATTAGTGCTTGACACAAATTTCACGATTTCAATTCATAAGCTTGCGTTTGGATTCCGATCTTGATTCAATGTCGATTCATTTGAATAAATATCAGGTACAGTAGCTACATGTTAATTTTTCACAGAAAAAAAAAAAAAAAAATCTCTCAACTAATGCTGTACACATTCAGGGAGCCTTGTCAGCTGGTATTATTATTAAAGGTTAAAATTAACAGCTCAAATTAATATAATGCTGTTTTCATAATAATAATAATGTTTTTTGAGTAAAAATACAATAATTATATAATATAGTGCATATATTTAGCGAAATACTCCTCTCTAGTTAATTTTTATAGCTAACTAACATGCTATGGTCATTAAATGGCTTTCCTGAGGTAAATGTCCATGACATTGTTCTCCAGCTATTTTACTGACCTCTTGAAACCAGTTGAAACACTGATTGGTCAATTACATGAGACATACCTTTCGGTAGGTTGTACTGCATCTTTCAACATACCTTGACATTATATAATGTTCATTCATGTTTATTTAGTATTAACTAGCAGTAAAAAGAAAGAGATGATCGGTTCACGTGCCACTTGAACTGAGGCGCTACAGCAATCTGTGTCAAGTCACATTTAAGAGCATCAAAACAGTATTTATTGTTTGAATTTCATAATAAAATTGATAGAATTTGAAAGCTGAGACTGTTTCATATCAAAAGTAACCTGCTCTGTCTTGACTGTTGGTGTCAGTGTCCTCTTTGCTTCGGGATTTTCCACTGTGTGAGAAAATGGATTTGTGAAGTGAGAGCATGAGAGCAGTGCCAATTGCGTGAGTCTCACGCTGAACGAGTGAGAGTTGGCAGCCCTGTATATAGACCATCAAAACAACTTTACATTGTGCTTTCATCACTGACTATATACAAATACAACAATGCAGTCTGTTGAGACAACTCGTGAATCAGTCTATGAAGTAGTCATCATAGAGTGACTGATTCCATCGGACAACTCAATTATTTTCTAAATTTCAGATTACTCACTGAGCCGCAGATTATTATAAGCCAAGAATGTTAAAAACAGAGCTTGAGACATCTGTTGACAAATGCTATTTTAATTTTTTTAAATCCATTTTAAAATTGGTAAGATTAGCAAAATTAGTCTAATTACTAAGATACGTTAAGATATGTAAAAAATGTAAATGTAAAAATCCTATTAAATATAATAAAAAACCTTGAATATCTCCATGGAGCACTGTGTCAGAATGGTGCTGAAAGTGGATGAAAGGCCCAGCTCCACCAGACTCTCTAAATGAGTCATTTTCTCTGTCTCCGTCTCCTCGCGCGTCTGCTCCAGAGTGCTGCTGTCAATCAATGCAAAACACCTACAGACACATAAAATAGGGCATAAGACACAGCAATACAGTGTTTTATACTGACGCACACAAGACTAAATGACTCACCTGTCCATAAACTGCAGAACAAAGTCTTCAAACTCAGCAGAAGCCGAACACAACTCTCTCTCCATCTAAAAAAAGCAAAAGACATTAGGATCAAATACAGAAAGAATAATAATGTAAAAACTCTGTAATAGGTGTTTTTATATAATATTTTCAGAGCCGTACCTCTGTCAAGTCATTCTTCTCATGGAGGGCTGATGAACAGTCCACTAAAGGCACTAGAGTAGTGAAAGTAGCAATGAACTGGAACGTGATCTAAGAAAAAAGAAAGAAATTCAAGACAAATATGAATAAATTCACATCTGAGAAAGCAACAACAAGGAATTAAAATTGTCATATTTTGAGTGCTTTATTTTATCAGTTGTTTCATGAACACCATTGTTAATGTTTATTTCACAGTTTACCCACCATGCATTTGCTGAAGTCATTAGGGTCAACACCAGGTAGTGCTCTCATTAGCAGGGGCAAGACGTGCGCAGGACCTTCGGGATAATGTCGGCCTCCACTGAGAAGACTGCGGGCCATGCCAATCATGCAGCTGAGAGTGGCAGTAAGCTGGTGCGGCTCCGTCAGTGTCTCCATAGCAGGATACGTCCTGCAGGGGGCAGCACATTCACACATTACACTCTGTGGCTTTTAGTTTGTTCCCCCTTTGGGAACAGTCCAGCTCCTTCTTTACAAGACAACTGCTTACAAAGCCTATTTACAAAGATTGGATTTGTAAATCCTGACAGTGAATAAAAGAAGCAACTCTAAGGGCTGATAAAACATTAAGACTTTCGCTTATTGATTTTTTTACTGCAAGTCATCTCCAATAACTATTTAAAGATACAAAAGTAAACATTTTAACATTTAATCAGCTCTGCATTATCATAATACATATACTAATACATTTAAGAGAATAGATTAAAAAAAGATTAAGAGTTGATTTTGTATGTGCGTATATCTTTGCTGGTATAGCATTTAAAGGTGCAATGTGTAACATTTTTGAGTATCTATTAACAGAAATGCAATATGACATCCATAACTATGTGTTCAGTGGTGTATAAAGAACTTACTTAATAAACCGTAATGTTTTTATTACCTTAGAATGAGGCATTTATATCTACATAGGCGCGGGAATCCCCTTCTATGAAGGTCGCCATATTGTGACGTCATGTTTCTACCGTAGCAGACAGCGAACAAACAGCGTTACAGAGCGCGTTTCTAGGAGGAGGAAGCTAGAAGAAGCTAGTCATAAACACCGTGAGTAGTGACTTTTCCCTTGTCAGTGGTGTAAATATGTAGTTGGATTGTTTCATGTAACTTAATTCTTCTCCCTCGCTGTGTTATGGCTTTGCTATGTGGGGATAAATGTGCTGGTTAAGTTCGTGAGACAGCTGATTAGTAGGCTACTCTTGTCATTGACCGTAAAACAGTTACAGGAATCACCAACCCGTCGATCTTGGAAGCATTTTAAGTCGATCGAGTTTCCAAAATCAGAGAAAAAAAGCCTATTGTGTGTAGTAAGTGGTGTCTAGGGGATGCGGAGGCGCGCGCGCTGTCACAATCACGTTATTTTTGCCGCACGCACCTTTGGGCTCATGCGGACGCGTCGAGTTTAAACAAGGCTTAACGCTTTAACCAGCTCAGCCACAGTAACAGCTCATATTAGCCAGCTAAACTTTTACTACCCTGTTAGAAAAAATATATAGTTGCATAGTTTCATGTGGTTCTTCTCCCTCGCTGTATTATGGGTTTGCTTTGTGGGGAGAATGTGCTGGTTACGTTCGTGAGACAATTAGCTGATTACTATTATTATATTATGTAAGGTGCATTGTGTAATATTTCTGAGGATCTATTGACAGAGATGCAATATAAAATCCATAACTATGTTTTCAGTGGTGTATAAAGACCTTACTTAATGAACCGTTATGTTTTTATTACCTTAGAATGAGACATTTATATCTACATAGGCGCGGGAATCCCCTTCTATGAAGGTCTGAAGGTATGTTTCTACCGTAGCCGAAAGCGAACAAACAGCGCTAAAGAAACCTCATTGCTTGACTTACTACTCTCTGCTGCTGACTCAGACGACGACATATTTTGTCTTACGTCGGCCACCGTAGCTTCTCATTCGAGTTTGAAAACCGAGGGATAGGCCGCGAGTGACTTGCTGTTTGCAATTTGCAAGTTTCACCACTAGATGCCGCTAAAAATCCCACACTGCACCTTTAAGTCATCGTCATTCTTTTCAACGCAACCTTTTTATGTAAATTAGTCAGTGCTATTTTCCTGATATTAGCGCCTACATGCCCTGAACATCTCCAGCAGTTCCACACACTCACTTCTCCAGCACAGGTGGGATGACCAGCTCTGGTCTCATCAGAGCGAGGTTCTGCAGGGCCTGAGCTGCGTCCATGCTGCCCGTCTTGCTGAACATGGCCATCAGAACCGGCTGCTTCATGCTCTCCACAAAGTCCGTCACATCCTGGTCAGTGAGTCTGTGACTGGTGGGAACAGGGGTGATCCAGCAGGGTTTCTTATAGCGCTCCCGATGTAGACGTCGAACCACACTGGCAGGCAGACGCTGTAGAAGCTTCATTAGCTTCATCTGGAGAAGAAAATAAGACAAACACATGAGCTTGGAATCACTAAGAAAGGTTGAATATTGTAACAATTTCAATAAGATTTTCAGCTAAAGTTTCGTCCCATGTTTTCTGTAGCAATAATTAATAGTAAATTAAAATGAATAGTAATAAGCTTGTAAATTAAGCTTATTCTTTGAAACCTTGTCTAAAATGTCAGCAGCACCCCAAAGTATTTGCTTCACTGTTGAAGATGAAAGTAACATTTGGCATGTACGGTTCAATTTCTGTTCAATTAGCTCAGTCCTGGTTTGCTGCCTTCTTCGTAGACAGTAGTGCTACTCATGCAAGGAACAGCCTTCAGAACAATAGACTAAAGGTTTTCTAGAAAAATGGGATTCTTCTTGGTCATTTTGAAACCTAAACTGGACTTCATGTGAAATTCATACACTAGCATCTGAAAAATAAACATTTGCACTGGGCTTTTCACTTCTTCAAATACCACAACTGTCTGCCAAAGTTTATGCTGGTACAAAGATTTAAGGAAAATGTTTAAATGACTGTAGAAACAGTTTAGCTAAAAATGTGACTTTTGTCATTTCACACAATTAATAATTAACAAAACTAAATTTTCTGAGTTACGCGTATTGCACATCATATAAAACAATGTTATTAATCTTAAGAGAAAACTAGTTTGCTTTTTTGAGCTATTTTCATCTTCCAGGATTAAATTCATCTTCATGTCAATGTCGCAGGATGTGACGTTTTCTTACACCATTATAGTACATTGATGACTCATTTGTGTCTCAAATTATTCATGAAACTGCATGTCCTTATCCTACGAGAAGACGTTTCACTTAATTGTTCACAACAGCACGCATTGATTTCATATGACAAGCACTTCAAACAGTGAGATCGCATACAGCAAGTGAGAGATGCATTAATGGATAAAAAATGAGTGTAAGAGTTTCTGCATCGCATAAGTTCTATAGATCTTGAGTCTTCGGCCCATATGCGATTCATCCACACTGTGAGTGCAACCGGTCTTTACGGCCCCATAACCAAAAGAGCATATAAAAACACGGCAAAATAAGCCTAAAAAGTTATTAAAGATGCAACTGCGTGTTCATATATATTTTCAATGTGGAGTACAAATATGAACGGCAATGCGGAGTACAAATGCATCACAGGATATGCATGTATTTGTGTAATTTATGGAGAGCTTACAAACCAAGTATAATAAATGTTACACAACGAAGGCATAAAATGGCTTAGTAATACTACTTTCTTCTCACATCAACACTCTTGACTAACATCTGGTTTCAAAGAGGAAAGGCTTTATTGCCACTGGGGGTTAAATAATTAACTTTGCTAACTACACATGATATTGTATGACACTTTACTGAGTCATGAGTGCAGGAAAAGGATGCATGTCAAGGATGACAGGTGGTCGATAACTAGAAAGTTGTTACTGGTGTTTTAGAAGTTTGAATGTTGAGTGACCTCACTCTGCCTGAGGACCATCTGTCACTGCATATCACACATGCACGCAAACAAAGCTCAGCTGACAACACACACCATAGATCGTTCTAGACTGGATTGTGGGCTGGACATTGGTGGGGAAAAGGGGAGCAAGATTTCACATTGCAACATAATGTTCTATTGTTCTTACCAGCCAGCGTCCGTTATTTGAAGGGTGGTAGAAGGATGCTATACTACTGAAGAGCCCATTAAGCTGTTTCTGGGCCTGGTTCTGTAGGCCGCCCTGAAAAAGATGACGAAGATTATTATAGAATGTGATCTGTAAAATAAATGCGCCCTTTAATAATTAACCTATTTATAGGAGTGTGACTCATGAAGCTTACCAGCATGGAGGAAATCCAGAGGACCACGTGACCGATATCATAGGAGTTGGTCAAGTATCTGGGAACGACCATTTGGCTGGTGCCAACAGGCAGATTAAAGCTACGTAGGATCCTGGTAAAGATCTGAAACCAGACAACAAAGTATTAGTATACAATGCTCCAATGTCTTTAGATTATCATCTATAGTAAGGCTCAAAAGTTTGGGGTCAGTAAGATTTTTTTTTTTTTTCTTGGAAATAAATTAATACTTTTATTAAACAAGGATTTCAAATAAATGCTATTCTTTTGAACTTTTTATTAGGCAAAGAATCCTAAAAAAATGTATCACGGTTTCTACAAAAACATTTAGCAGCAAAACTGTCTTTAACAATAACTATGTTTCCATTCAATATTGTGAATTTAACTTGTGCAAAATTGGAAAATCGCATTAAACATTTGCGAATAAAGCACTATTTCCATCCCATGAGTTTAAGAGAACAAAACCATAATTTCCGGAGAAATTGGCACAAAATATCTGTAATAAAAATGGAACAAAAACGTAATTTCCTGAGAAACTGGCACAAAATATCTGTTATAAAAATGGAAGTTGCTGCAATAAGGGAAGCCATTGTGGCTCTTTTTTCTTACATCATAAATGACTTGCGTCTCAGAGCACGCAGACAAAATGCAATAAACACGGTCATGTTATCTTGCATTCGGATGCCTGGTGTTTGGGAAGGCAATCATGTGAGATGCTTCTGGGAGGTCATTATACCAAATCATTCTGATGACAGACTTTGGTTCAGGCATTTCAGAATGATCAAGCCAACATTTGAGATGCTGTGCAATAAAATTGCTCCACTGGTTAGTTTAGTTTTCCAATCACATCCACTGTTGAGGTAAAGTCAACAGTTTTTCGTTGTTCATCAAGGGATTTATTTGGTAAATGTGTTTCCATCATAGTTTATACGCATGTCTTCTTATTGAATAAAAAAAAAGGTATCCGCCTCAATTGAGCGCATACATTTTTTATACGCATTTTTACAATTTATGTGCATCTTGGCGTTTCCATCCAGCCTTTTTTTAAATGCGATATCCCAAAACGCACATAAAAGTAGGTGGATGGAAACAGCTATTGATTATGTTTCTTGAGCACCAAATCAGCATATTAGAAAGATTTCTGAAGGATCATGTGACCTTGAAGACTGGGGTAATGATGCTGAAAATTCAGCTTCGCCATCACAGGAATAAAATACAATTTAAAAGATATTCAGAAACCCGTTAATTTGAAAAGTAATTATATTTCATTACCGTTTGAACTGTATTGAGTAAATGATTGCCTTGGTGAGCATAAGAGACTTCTTTCGACCCCAAAAAATATAAACGTAGTGTATATAAGCAGGACAGTACCTTGGGAATGTATGGATCCCAGTTCACATAGCCAATGTTGTCATTAGCCAGACGTGCAAAAAGATTCACTAGATTCTGCAAGGGAAACAGAGGATAAAAAAGCCGATGGTGACATAATATTTTGCACTTAACAAATGAATTCACGAATGAGAAGTACTTACACCCTCCCAAGCGGGCAGGTTTTGCACTGAGACCCAGAGATCCATCAGTTCATCAAACCATAACCTAAAACATGCACAAATACTCCCATTACCCCAGGGTCATACTTGTTGGCTGCACTTTATGAATGACGAGTAATTTGTAAATAGACTGCAATCCTCTTATTTCATTACTAGGTTGCAAAAGAGGGTCTTACTTGAAGCCTTTGTGATGCTGTTCTGGGGACATGATGGTGGGCAAGAAGAGCTCAAAGTACCCGATGGCCTTCTGCATAGTGACATCAAACGGACACAGTAACGGTCGCCACTCATCAAGCATCTCCTGTGTGGCAGACTCAGGGAAATAACTACACACACACACACACACACACAAACAAACAATCATTATGAGAACAAAATCACATGCCATTTTCTCAGATCCACGGTTATTTATTTGTTATGTGAGCTCTTGCAAAACGATGAAAAGTGCTTGTTATATGAACAAAATGGTATAATGTGTTAAGAGAGCTGTAATCGGCTCCGTGAAAGCTGTGGGCTTGACTAACAACGCCTGATTACATCTTTCAACAGCACAACGGAAAGGGGATTAACACAATGTGCAATTCTTTTGTGAAAGGGGTTGTACATTAGTGAATGACAGAGGATTGAAAGAGAACTCACAGTCTGCAGCTCTTTACTAGTGTCTTCAACACATTCTCAACCGAGCTAGAGGGAGAAAACATGGGAGAAACAGAAAGAAAAAAATAAGTGCATTAATATAATATGAAGACAAGGCTCATTTGAGGTTGAAGCAAAAGATGCAATTAGACCACGTGCAAAGCAGAAACCCAACTACGGTTCGTTTTGTGAAAGTGTAAATGAGAGATTCCCAACACCAGCGCCTGGGCACATGAGTGCAAAATGCCAGGTTATCAGGTTCTCCTCATGTACTTTTTATAACTGAGCTCAAAATCGCAGAGTACAGTCACACTGCATTAACAGCCAATTCAAAGCTAATCCTAAATACATATTTACCTTGTTAAAGTTGGCCAAGTTGTATAAAATTTTAGCTGTGGGTTATGACTTTAAGAATACAATAATGTTATTAAATGCTGTAAATAGGGAAAGGTCAGGACGGTTGACTAGTTCATTAGGATAGCTAGTTTTAGCTTTGGTATTTTGGGCTGTGGTGCTTTTAAGTCCATAGTATTTTTGTGAGGACTATGATAGTATTTTACTATAAAATGTTATAAATATTTAGCCAAATTATTTGTTCGATATCTATCAGTAACCCTATTGAAGGGATCTGTGTTTTTGAATTCATTCTGTGCCATTTTTTTACTGTTTTGGATTATGAAGGTTGCATTTTTAAGATAGCTAGTAAAGTTATGATTTGTTCAATCTGCAATCTGTTCCAGTCTTATGTGGTCGATCCAGCTGCTTTTTTGAATGCAAGAACACATCCTATATGATGAACGCCTCCTTAAAATGCATCTGATTGGGGTCTACTGGATCTTATTCATTGCTCACTTAAAAAGGATAGTTCACCCAAAAACGAAATTCAGTCATCATTTCCTCACCTGCAAGTCAATCCAAACCTGTATGACTGACTTTATTCACTGGCACAAAAAATATATATTTTGAGAAATATCTCGAAATTAATCCATTCAATGGAAATTACAACGTTGTTTGGTTCACAAAATTCTTCCAAAAATCTTTTTGTGTGTGTCTGTTCTTCCACAGGAATAAAGTCGTACAGATTTGCAACAACATGAGACAGAGTAAATATTAATGAAAGAATTTCAGTTTTGTGGACTATCCCTTTAAACAAGCTAGTCAACAAATGGTTCAGATAACCCACTGACTAGTTGATAATTAAAATATTGTCTTCCACATCCCTAGTTCTAAAAATACACCCCCAGTGAAACTTAGCAGCTGTTGATCTTCCTCTCAGTGCAAGTGTAAACAAACACCTCCCACATTCAGTGCACTATCATTTTGGACGATATTAAAATAGAACACAATGATTCCAGAACCCAAGGGGAAAATTGGCAAAAGTTGTGTGACCTTGTCCTCTAAAACAGCAAGCCAAAGTGATCCGACCCACATTTACAGCCTGACCTAAAAGAAACACGACTGACACCAGACTGTGTTACATTTCCCAAAAGCATTGTGAGCTTCACCCAAAATGTAGTATGACATTCTTTCTTCTTTGGAAAACACAAAAGGAGATAATAAAATGTGTTTTTTTTTTGTGTAGAAGTCAAAGGGCTCCAATGTTGTTTGGTTCCCAAACTTTAAAATATCTTCTTTTGTGTTTTATGTGAACTGTCCCACTATACCATTGGTACCAGTGATCTCTATAGAGTGCATTAGGGCCCATCCACTATTTCAGCAGTGTTGGCTCCAAAAGTAAATTTTTTAATTCATTTTTCCCATAGTGTTTTTTTTTTTTTTTAAGTATTTTTTAAGCGTCATAAGCCATGAACCAAACCAACCAGCTACGAGGTGAATCACAACATTGCAAAACATTTTTTGAAAATCTGACCAAAAAAAACAAAGGTATAAGACAGCTTTAGTGAGGAAAAGAACTAGAATCCCAAATGATAAAATCAAATTAAAATCGATGATGAAATATAAAACTATTCATTTAAAGTTGTTGACAATACATTAAGTTTATTGCAATATATGCATGTATGAAGGTACAAATATTTAAGTACTCTGATAGACCAACTTGACTACATCATTTGTGGTGCAAGCAAGCTTTTTGGCAGGATTTGCTCGCCACAACTCTATTTGGTGGAATTTTCTGTACAGCATCATGGGTAATGAGGTTTTTCACCATGAATTCAGCTGTTAAACATGATAATTAAAAAAATAAATTGAAATAATGCAAATGGATGGCTAACAAAACAACCTCGTAGCTCACAGTACGTCTGTCTTTAAAGGTTTATAAGTTATTGTTAAAAAACGATTTGCCTATGGAGAAAATGAATGTAGTTTTTACTTCCGGAACACAACTGTTGTATTCTAAAGGCTTACGATGCTTTTGGGAAACACAGCCCTGCATTTTCTTTAATATAAACCCTTCGCTCCCACCTGTGAAAACAATTAAAAGATTCTTAGATTAATAGAATAAAGTCACAGCAATGAGTCTAGCCCATTCCTGGAGGGGGTGTGCTGAAGAACAAAAAAAAAAAAAAAAAAAAGGTTTTTGTCATTGTGCAGCTACAGTTTGTCAGGAGAAATCTGTAGCCTAAATATAAAGAACGGACTGACACCTCTGAGCCACCAGGAATTGTGTTTGACAGACAAAGATGAATTATTAGAAACTTTAAAGGGAGCACCATTTCCTGGTCTGTTTGTGAAGCATGTTATTAAGTGGATACGACTAGGCAACTAAAAGAACAAAGATTATAAGTACAAACCCAGGTGTAAGCTGTGGTGGGATTTGTCATTTAGATGGTTGATTTGCTTTTAATTTTGGACACATGCAATTAAACATGAGCGACTGCCCTTGGAAAAGTACAGTGCAACATGTGAAACACGGGCTGTGCTTACCGCTTCCGCACAATACTAAGCATTTTTTGTTTAGTTGAGGCTTCTGCTCGATAACTGAATGTGAGAAAAGGAAAAATGCATAAGCCAACGCTACACATACCAATAGCATAAATCTTACAGTTGTAATTGTTTGACAGGTTCTTCTAAGAATACTGTGTGTTAAATGGATATGGTTGTGTTATGAGAGTCAGCAGTGCTCATTAAAAGGCTCGAACTAAAATTTGGAAAGATAAAAATAATACAAGCAAATTGCTAAATCTTAGGCAGCGTCAGGGTCCTCTTTTTCCTTGAACCAAACGTTGCACTGACAAGTCTTTTCCCCCCATGATCTCAACTTGCCCTGTACAATGAACCATGTGTGATATCCATGTTCACCATACAGAAAACACTTTCCATCTCTGCAAATATGATATGAAATATACTTGTATGTAGGGGTGTGCGATATCACGGTTTTTGATCGTGGACGATTAAAATGCCTCCACGATCTGCTTTTAAAGAAATATCGTAGTACAGTGCATTCTATCAGTTCAATTCTGGCGCCTCCGTCTCAACATACTGTAGTCTACAACGCGACGTATTCACATCACATGTTAACGCAGTGGTAGAGTTACACTCACGGGACACTGCAGTTAATAAAAGTTCATTATTTGCCTGTGCATTAAAGCTTTGCCGGTTAAACATTTCATTCGCGTGCTGTTGCGTGGTTCTAACTAACATGCGCTTTTCTGAGCACGTACACCCGAAGCACACACTAAAATGTCAAACAGCACCTGATTACTGGACTAAGTTATCTTTCAAGCCTTATTGCGCTAATACTGTCAAATACACACAAGGTTTACATAAACACAGCTGGTTATATGTCTAAAGTGAAAGCACACATTTGAGAGAAAATAGGATGCCTGTCATATGCGTGTCGGTCTTAAAGGAACACTCCGACTTTTTGGGACTTTAGCCTATTCACCTTATCCCCCAGAGTTAGATAAGTCCATACATACCTTTTTCATCTCCGTGCGTGCTATAAGTCTGTTTGACGCACCCACCGCTAGCCTAGCTTAGCACAAAGACTGGATGTAAATGGTTGCAGCTAGCATACTAATCCAAATAAGTGACAAAATAACGCAAACATTTTCCTATTTACATGTTGTGATTTGTATAGTCACAGAGTGTACAAAAAACTACGTCACATGAGACACAGACATATTTTAACAGTATAAATACTGGGAACTATATTCTCTGAAGGCGAAGCACTGCTACTTGGGCGGAGTAATAACCGCAGCACCTGAGACGCGCCGTGGTGAGGAGCAGAGAGTTCGTTCAGAGTTTGGGTACGGTACGTCTCAGGTGCTGCGGTTATCACTCCGCCCAAGTAGCAGTGCTTCGCCTTCAGAGAATATAGTTCCCAGTATTTATACTGTTAAAATATGTCTGTGTCTCATGTGATGTAGTTTTTTGTACACTCTGTGACTATACAAATCACAACATGTAAATAGGAAAATGTTTGCGTTATTTTGTCACTTATTTGGATTAGTATGCTAGCTGCAACCATTTACATCCAGTCTTTGTGCTAAGCTAGGCTAGCGGTGGGTGCGTCAAACAGACTTATAGCACGCACGGAGATGAAAAAGGTATGTATGAACTTATCTAACTCTGGGGGATACGGTGAATAGGCTAAAGTCCCAAAAAGTCGGAGTGTTCCTTTAAAGGACAAGTTCGGTATTTTACACTTAAAGCCCTGTTTTAAGATCGTTTCTGATGAAATAGAACGGTTAAGATAAAATGTGGACACATGCTGCTGTCCCGAGAATTTTCGGTTTCTGTGGTTGCACCACCCCACCTCCACAATGGTTGCATAGGTGCACTGGAACAATCCTTCATAAAACGCATTAAACTTTAGTTTACAAAGACGTGAAACTCACCGAGTGGTCTGGGGTGTTCACTGATATGCTCACACAAAAATCGCTGCAAATTATGCTTTCCAACAGGTTTTATCGTAGTTTTTGTCCAACTCCATTGACTTGACTTGGACAAAAACTACGATAAAACCTGTTGGAAAGCATCTAAAGTTTAATGCGTTTTATGAAGGATTGTTCCAGTGCACCTATGCAACCATTGTGGAGGTGGGGGGGACAGAAACCGAAAATTCTCGGGCCAGCAGCATGTATCCAAATTTCAATCTTAACCGTTCTATTTCATCAGAAACGATCTTAAAACAGGGCTTTAAGTGTAAAATACCGAACTTGTCCTTTAAAGTGACATTAGCCCAATAGTAAACATGCTGCCGCTTGTCCTTGAAGGGATAGTTCACCCAAAAATGAAAATTCAGAAATTATTTACTCACTCTAATGTTGTTCCAAACCTGTATTCATTTCTTTCTTGTGCTGAACAACAAAAAAAGAATATATTTTGAAGAATGTGGCTATCCAAACAGTTGCTGGTCCCCATTGATTTCCATAGGAAAAAATATACTATAGAAGTCACTGGGGACTAGCAACTGTTTGGTTACCCACATTCTTCAAAATAACTTTTATTTTCAACAGAAGAAAGAAACTTATTCGGGTTTAAAACAACTTGAGAGTAAATGACAATTTTCATTTTGGGGTCAAGTAATCTTTTATGTTAATAAAACAACAAAACAAAGAGAAAAATCACTCATTGCTCTTGACTGAGAACTTTAAAAGTATCATATTTTGTTACCTTGTAAGGCTTTGTTTTTAAAATAGGGAAATTAGTTTGGCTGTAATGCTCAGTCACTTGCAAAATAGTAAAACCAACATGAAAGAGAATCGTGATAAAATCGTGAATCGTGATTTTCCCAAAAAAAATCGTGATATGATATGTTTGCCATATCGCCCACCCCTACTTGTTTGCATATTTTTTGTTATGTTTTTTTTCCTGCTGAATAGGTTTAAATAAGGTAGATTACTACACTTTAACTGGTAGCTGAACTCAGAATCAAATTAGCTAAAATATCTAATAAACAAACTTTCAATTGTGGGTCAGGAATGTGTAAAACAGATTCCAAGTGGGCCTGATCACCAGGTACCATGCTATAAAAAGAGTATCCAGTCACATATAAAATGTTGTTCCATGGACATTAGACTTGTAAGCAAAGTTCACAACAAACTAGAATCAGTGAGAGATAGAAAGATGAAAAAAGAGAGAGGGACTTACTTTGGGAACCAGTTAAGACCAAGATGCTCTGTTTTGGAGTACAGGATACTCTCATAGAGATCGTACAAAGGCCTCCAAGGCAACTCCAAATCATCCCGGGACAGCAGTTCTTTCTTTCTGTACATTAGAAAAGAGTTTTCAGAAAACAGAAAAAAATTACATAACTAGGGCTGTCAATTTAAAACATTAGTACAAAACAAATATGCATTAACAGGGCTCTACACGTACATTTCTTTTTCTTTTAAAAAAATAATAAATTTAGGAGCACAGTCAAAAATGTATGAGCACCTTCTGATCAATGACAGAAATCAACCTTCCCATAATGAGCCGATATTTTACTCCTTAAAATGACTTGCCGGGGCATTTTTTATCCTTTGTAAGGGCATTTTTTCTAACCTTATTAAATGTGTCATCTTTTATGTCAAATTCATACATTTATATTTATAAATTGAGTTAAAATAATAATACACAATCAGGAAGAATAAGTTACCAATCAAATGAAAACAGTATCAACAAAATTCATCTTTGTACTGCAGAGGTGAACAAAGTAGAAGAACAAAAGTGGCATTTACGGTAGGTATATTTACAGACTGCTTAATAAAGTTCAGAAGTGGCATGAATGCATTTAAATGCATGATAACAATGCTAAGAGATTAATGTTTTAAATAGAAGGTTTTGAATATAGAAATATTAAATGATTTAAATAACTGAAATGATCGTTTAAAAAAATGAAACCAAAACCGCCAGTACGGGGCAGCAAGTCACTGTCTTTGTGACTGAATCATTAATTCAATTGATTCGTTTAAACGGCTGATTCATTCAGGAACAAAGCAAGCGACTGTTTATGAATGGGTCATTGAAACATTGACTTATTAGATTCGTTTGAAAACGCAGATTCATTCATAAACGAAACATCCGTGTTTACTCGGAGATATTCGCAGCAGCAAGTCACTTAATATAAACTTCATGTTTATTGAATTGTTGTATAAAATCAATATTACATTTGCAAATTCCCTTTATAATCATTAAAAAGCTGTCATTCGTCTTAGTTGATCGCGATCTCACAAACTTCCCTTATAATCAATGAAGTTGTTTACACTGCACCATGAATCTCTTATTTACATCGTGTCTGTACTTTGTTTGTTATAATGAGAGGATTCACGAGCTTGCATAACTCAGCACCAAACAAACTCCAGCGTTTTGAGCGGTGAGTGGATTTTAACTTAAACACCTGATTGGCCAATGTGTCTCAAGAAATCAACAGATATGTCTGTGATTGACTACATTGCTCAACGCTGCAAAAACACGTTCTCTCATCACGCTTTTCAGTGTGCAAACACAAATTGCACTGGCGCATTTGCAAAATCTGTTTGGCCAATATGCTGTTATTAGTTTCAACTGAGGGTGCACCCCCATAGAACCGGGCCTGATCAGGTCAGTCGCACTGGTGCTCCTAAATACTTTTTCACAGTTTTCAATCGGAAATGCGACTGATTTGGTTGCACTGTAGAGCCCTGATTAATCATGGTCTGAGGCTTGTGTTCAATTATGACAATGGTCAGGTGTTTGTTGGGGACACTTTCACATACTTCAGTAAGTTGATAAGGAGTCGTGCAAAGCTCTGCATCATGCTGATCTCCAGGTTGGGGATGGTGACCAGCTCGTACAGAAGCTTGATGAAGAGCACATGGTCCTCCTTGCTGAACTTCCTTCCGTACAGCCGAAGGTACCTATCAAGGGGCAGAGATCATGTCATACGAGTGGAAAACAGAGAACAGGAGAGGAAAAGCACGATTCACAAAACAAAAACTTGCATATTCTCTAGAGTACCGTACGTAGTCTACAGAAGGCACACTATTTCTAAAACAAATAATTAGGCTACATCATTTTAAGTTTTATCTTAAAATCATCACAATAAAGCAGTGATAAACAACAAAATATGAAAGTGAGCATCCACCACACTACAACAACACATTACAGGGAACGTTCAGAAAGCATTGGGGGAAAAAACCTTTGTTTGGGAGGGAAGCACAGATGGCCATCAGTTATCTGTTGGAGCAATTCTGACCTTATCACTAACCATGTACGCACGAAGGCATGATCATGAGAAAAACAGAGAGCGCTGTGTGTCTGAATAAAGCTGAGTCAGGCTAGCATGGCAAAAAAATGATTGCAACGGGTCATCAAAATAGATTATATAAGAGACGAGAGCCTTTGAAAACACTCAACTAAATGATAAAAGCTCGCACTTATTCCCATTTGAGCCTTTTTGTTGTATGGCATACAAAAATGTCCTTTTTAACTATTAAACTGTAGAGCCATGGCAAACAATATGTATGCTAGAGCAGGTGTGCGTGTGTATGTATAGATAGATAGAATCTATATACACAATACATAACCGTTAAAATTTTGAGGTCTATAAAAAAAACTTGTAATGCAAGTCTCATACTCAAATACAAAAATTCAGTAATATTAGTAATATTGTGAAATATTATTTAAAATAATATTATATTGTAATAAACTTTAAAAAGCATTTTATTCCTGTGGTGGCAAAGCTGAATTTTCAGCAGCCTACGCCAGTCTTCAGTGTCACATGATACTTTAGAAATCATTCTAATGTGTTGATTTCTTATTATTAGCCTTACTGCACATTTGGGTGTATATTAATATTAACTATGCATAAATAGGCCTAACAGACAACATTTTCGCCTTCTGCTCGCTCTGCACTCAAAAACGATCATGGGCTCATTGATGAATCACATTGACGAATCAATAATGAAGCAGAGGAGTCATCGGTCAGAATCAAACACGGACCACTCACTTATTCACTGAATCGGGTCGAATGACTCACTAAACTGTAGATTATATCCACTTAAACAACATGCCCGCCCTCGCTGCAAATACAAAGCCCTTTATGAAACACATTTTCACGGCCTTGAATTTAATCTGATGATGAGGTAAGAGGCCAAATGGATACGAAATTAGGTTTGTAAACATATTGCCCATTTAAGCAGAGATACTCTGTCAAGTATTTTGTATAATAATACAAACTCTACAAGGACTCTACAGCAGTCAGTGTAGGAGCAAAGCCACTGTAGTAATACACTTATACGTGTGATCATACACTAATCATACGAAGAGTCCCATTTAGGCTAAATGTTATGCAGCATGCACAAGAAACTCATGAAAGACTTTAAGTGTCATTAAATAATGACACAGATGAACAATTCATTACAATTTATTTCATTATGATATCGTCAAAAAATGAAACATAAAACGTAAGCATGCGGCATTTTAATAGAACAATATACCCTTTATCTGACCTTTAATCAGGGTCTTAAGTTAACCATAAAATAAGGTCCCAAATCCTTCTGTCTGTTGTTCAACACGGTGAAAACTGACCATGAATCACTTCAATTGTTAATAAGAAACATATTAAAATGCATTCAGATAAAGTATCTTTTTAAAGACTCCATATCCAACCACTAGTTGCAGTGATGCATGTGGCAGCTGCTTATCCAGCACTAATGTTAGCCTCCGTTAGCTGATTAGCTTAGAAATGAGCTTCCAACAGTCCCACATTTCCCGACTTTTTTTTATCGACTGAGGTCACTCTGACAAACTAGACCAACGAAATATTACACTCGATATTATGAAAGGTCATTATGGAGTGCTAGCAGGTGGATATGTGATGTTTACGTATAAGCAAGGACAGCTGAGTGACTCAGGTAGCGCTTAGCCTTTAGCTCGCGAGCTAACGGCTACAAGCTACCGGAGTCACTCAGCTGTCCCTGCTGTTTATTAACAAACCAGGTTCAATTGCCACATCAAAGCTTTTTTTTTAGTCTTGAATATACTCACGTGGATAGTTTCCGGGTCCAAAATAAAACTCCTGGCCATAACTCACGGAACTGGACAGCCCGACCCAAGTTCCCTTTAATCTGGGCCAAAATATCATTGGATTCGCGGTCTAGTTTATCTGCGTACGGGAGAAGTTTGTTGTAGACGATCTCTTTTTGAGGGACAAAACCTAATATCTCGGCCTGCTCCTTTTTCATATTACGATTCCCAAAATAAATATCCTCTTCTGACGTGTCCGGCTTATTTCCTTCCCCTCTTGACAGAAGTTCCCTTGACAAATCTTTGTTTTATTCACAAAATCCTCTACTTTCGCACAAGTGCCGTTATTGTGGAGCGGGATTCAGATCAAAACTTGTTACTTCGACAGATCTGTCTTTCTGACCTCTTATGTTAAACACATTAGCTTCAGTCACCTACATAGAGAAGTCTCCCCTCACTCTCTTGACACATATTACGAGTCACACGGACAGACACACACTCACATAAACACACGCTCAACCTCACATACATAACACACCAGCGGGTGCAACAATGAGCCATGGGCGGCGCGCCCCCTACTGGTGTTCAGCGGCACATTCAGCAGTCACAACACGGCCCGTGAAAATGTTCAAAAGCGTGAAATTAAATTAAGGGATAGGTCACCCAAAAACGAAAATTTTGTCTAGTTGTTCCAAACATGTAATAGTTTCTTTCTTCTATTAAACACAAAAGAAGATATTTTAAAGAATGTTGGTAATCGAACAGTTGACGGTAGCCATTGACTTCCATAGTAGGGAAAGAAATACTATGGAAGTCAATGTCTACCGTCGACTGTCTTACAAACATTATTTAAAATGTCTTCTTTTGTGTTCACCAGAAAAAAAAGAAACTCATACCGTTTTGGACCAACATGAGGGTGAGTAAATTTTCATTTTGGGGTAAAAGTTTTGATTAATGATTATTTCTTTTTAAATTTGGAAATGTAGTAGGCCTAAATATTTTTGTCTCTTCCCTCAGCTATTCTGCAAACAAAACCTGGCAATAATAGTTTTTTAAATATCTATATATAATCTAATCTAAATTGATATAAAAAAAAATCAAATTGTACATTTTTTCCACATAGTATTAATGTTTTTTTTAATATAAAAATATATAGCTGCATTTATATTTTAAGAAGGGGGGTTATAGTATACTATTTTGAGTCTTCGATATCAGAATTTTTTTTTGCATTTTTTACATTACCTCCTAGTGTATAGAGTATGTATCAAAAATAACTAAAGTTTTAGAGAGTGTCACTGTATAGTTGGGAAAACACATATCTTTTCTTGTTCTGTTTCTAAAATAAACATGTCATTTTACCAAAGAAATTCTGTGAACATTTACGCATGACACAAGCTTTGTTTGTATACTGGTCCCTTCACTTTGTTTAAACGGTTTATCCAAGGCAGTGATATTAACGAGATAACTTAAATCCGCTTTGGTTATTTCCTTGTGCACTGACCCAGTGCACTATTCACTTGACCTAGTGTCATGGCAGACGAAGGGAGGAGTGTTCTGTGCATTCACCCTTCAGCAGCTCTTTCTTAATTTGATCAAGCATTTGAATGAGTGCTCAGTTGTAGAGATGTGTGCATTTCTGTATCTCAGTGGGCCTTCAGTATCACAATTTAATTCAATTTGTCTCAAGTTTCATTTTGTGTTCAGCTCTCAAGTGATTTTCAGTTTCTCACAGATATTTAATCTCGATGGAGACCTCCAGTCAATGAAAAATGAGCATATACATGGCAGAGAAAATAAATAGATGTCACATTCCCACAGCTCCTTTGCACAACAGATTCCTCAAGGTCATTTATTTACCTATCAACCACACACCCTACGTCTTTCCCAACCAATTGGAAAATTCCATACAGAAATTCCAGCTAATCAGATGCAATGACCTTTTAGCATTCAGCCAATCAGATCCTTTGCCTGGAGGGTTATTTCATTCCAGGTAAAGCAGATTTGCATGGCCTGATCATGGGTGTTTGTTAATGAGATTCTGGATTAAAAGGCCCACTTGCAAGTCTCTAAAATATGGTGCTGTGTCAGATGTAACAGAGAATACAGCACCTGAAATGACCAGTGACCAGCAAAAGTGTTGATACAACTTATTTGCAACAATGACTATGTGCTTAAATCCAAATTGTTAGATGTAGATATGTCCTCAATGCTCAATAAGACAGACAGGAAGCGACTCCTTGGTCATACAACATGTTTAGCCCTGACTTTGATTGGATCATGTGACTTTTAAATCCCACTTGACCCAACAAATTCAAAGCCTTCACTCCCGGTGTCCCAATTGTGCTCTTGTGGACTTACATGGCAGAGCTCATTTGTTTTTTTTGTAACTACTTTCAGTTTGTGCCATTGATCATTTGCATTCCTAATATAAAAACAGTGATCGATAGAAGGAAACTTGACAAAATTTAGCTGTTGAGATGTTTTGGTGAAATTAAAATGACAATTTATTTATTCTAGAACAATTGGAAATGTATTTTTGTTCATGTGAACCAAGGTTTTAAACAGAAATATGTTAAATTGAAGAATAAAAAAAAGAATGCAAAAGTCTACTACACACTCACTTGTGGAACAACAGTGCCCTCTGCTGGTCTTTGTGTATGAATATCTAAAGTTTTTTTTTTTTTTTTTTTTCATTGAGTAGATACTTTATGACTATGTAAGTAGCAAATGAATGTATTTGAGAACAAGAACTCCAAGTTGGAAATTAAGATTACCACAAGAAAACATTTAGTTAAATAGTTTAAATAAACAGGTCTTCTACTCAAGGGCTTTTAATTCTTTCCAAACTATGTTTGTAGCACATATTGCCCGTGGAAAATCACAGAGTGCTTAAAGTGACATGGACATGGTGATGTAAAAATAGGAAAGACTTTGTTTTAAACTTTTGCGTTCCAATGATAAACGCTTGCACCACTGAGAAACTTTTTCGAGTGAACGTAAAGTATTGGACTATCATTTTTCTTTCCATTATGTCAATTTAGGGGACCCGTAGAAAAAAAACAAAATAGTGTAACTATTCATTTTAAATGAAAAGTGATTTAAAATAGCAGATTAAGCAAGAGACAAAGTATTTATTATCTACATAATACAGTGTTTATTTGTACCAATATTTATTTATATCACAAATATATTTTTAAAATGCAGACTAGCATCTGTCTTTATATAAACTGTACATGAAGGCAAGGCACTATACAACGCAGAATTGAAAGACATTTTCTCTTATTCCACGATTTCATTCAATCCTGTTTACACACACTGTATAGATTTACAAACAATCTCCCATGTACACACACATAGGGTTCTCAAGTTCAAGCATCTGTCTGGAAGGTTAAACACATCTTGAGGTCATTTATGAGAGCAGATATGAACGTACTTGCATAAAGTGCTCTTTTGAGCTTTCTTACATTCAGATAATAACTAAAAGGCTTTTTTTGAATTTATTGGGGTTTTGTGTTAAGCCGAGGGCTGCCTTGTGCGTGTTGGACGGTGAACGACCATGTGGACAGAGCAATGCAGAAAAATAAAAACGGGAGGAAAACAAGCTGGAAGCACTCAAAACAAAAAATTCACAGATAAAAACAAAAATGGAGAAAATGGGAAAGAAATGTGCTACAAGAGGCTGGTAAACCCTTGCCAATCTCAGTCTTTTCTTCTTCCTTCAGCTCCATTTCACTTCCCTGTGTGGTTTGACACAGGAAGATATTCACTTGCGCTTGTCCCGTCTTGATCAAAAGGAATGAGAAGGTCTTCACTTGCAGTCAGATTTCCTCTAAAACAATCCTTTGGCTTTCTTCACATTCACTTGCTTCCATCCTGGCAGTGCCTCATATTCACTTCTTGTCATCTCCAATGCTTTCTGTAGAGAACATATACACATATATACATTTAGGGAGAAGGATTTAATAAAAACACACAGATGACATACAAGTGTTAAATCACACTCAGGACTCTGAAATGCTGAAAAATGGATAAATAATCACACACAAACACAACAGCTGTAGGATATTGGTTACTGCCATTCACCAATCCAAAAATGGAAACATCCATTAGAGTACAAAGCATTTAAAGTAGGAATGCACAATTTATTAACACCATATTTGCTATAAGCTGATATTAAAATAAGGTATCCGTCAATGTTGGATATTTAATTGTTCATACTCGTTTCAAAAGGAATTTCCAATTTTTACACAGTACATTATAATGTTGTGATACCTACATTCACATGCAGGATTTAAAATATTTTATTAGTTTATTTTATTTAGACAAAATAGTATAGATTAGCCATTTACTGGTAATTGGCCATAACATAAAAATAATTACGGGCTTACTAATTTTACTATCAGTGCATGTTAAAACTGGAGAACATATACAGTCTGGTGTCAGTAAGATTTTTGTAATGTTTTTGAAAGAAGTCTGTTATGCTCACCAAGCACAAAGGCTGCATTTATTTGAGAAAAAAAAATCATATAAAAGATTTTTCTCTCTCAAATGTGCTGTCAAATCGATTAATCATGATTAATTGCATTGACAAAAGTATGGGTTTATGTAATATGTGTGTGTATTTGTATGTGTATATATACACTTTACACACGTATACACACACATACATATATATATATATATATATATTAAAATATAAACACACCTTTATGTCAGATGCAATTAATCGATTTGACAGCACTTAAACAAAAGTTTGGGTAGTAAAAGTAAAAGTATATGTTATTTGATGTTTTGATTTATTATGTGTGGCGGCAGTCATCCATGAGGGGCTACCATCTTTACTTTCATTTTGTATTTGTTTTATTTTGTTATTAAAATGTGTTGAGTGTTCGCCGGTTCCCGCCTCCTCCTTCCCACAACATCTGACCTTGTTACATATACAGTGCGTGCAGAATTTTTAGGCACGTTGATTTTCTGATTATATTTTTTTTACAGGCACATTTTACCAATTCCAAGCCACATTAATCTTAATAACTACTATTAATTTTGTATTTAATCATTTATAAGTGATATACGTGTTCATGAAGGCTGGAAATGAAAAACGCCTTATATTCAGGTGTGCTGAATTATTAGGCACGTTTTCTTTTACAGATAAAATAAGCCAAAAAAGAGATTTAACTCAGACTGAAAAGTCAAAAATTATTAAATGCCCATGAGAAGGATGCAATACTAATGCAATACTACAAATTGTAGTTAAGGCATTACCATTGGACAGTGAAATGCTCATTGGGTCAGCAGGTTCAGACAAATACAGGTGGAGAAGAAAAGATGCATGTTAACTGCAAAAGAATTAAGATGAAACCATCAGGAACCCTTTAGTCTCCAGCGCCACCATTTTCAAGAACTGCAACCTACCTGCAGTCTCCAGAAGTGCAAGGTATCAGGATCTCAGAGACTTAGGTTAGTTAGGTAAAGAATCCTAAAAAACGACCCCCTCTTAATAAGAATCACAAGCTGAAGTATATATACATGAAGACTGTTTTTTATAGGCTTTATAAACAGACAGATTGAAAGTGACTCTTGAGAGTTAAATCTCTTTTTTGGCTTATTTTATCTGTAAAAGAAAACATGCCTAATAATTCAGCACACCTGAATATAAGGCGTTTTTTCATTTCCAGCCTTCATGAACAATTATATATCACTTATAAGTGATTAAATACAAAATTAATAGTAGTTATTAAGAGTAATGTGGTTTGGAATTGGCAAAATGTGCCTGGAAAAAAAATATGATCAGAAAATCAACGTGCCTAATAATTCTGCATGCACCATGTATATATATATATATATAAATATATATATTTATTTTTTAAAACATTTGTAATAGTATATTTTAATAAAATATAATTTATTCCTGTGATGGCAAAGCTGAATTTTCACCATCATTACTCCAGTCTTCAATGTCACATGATCCTTCAGGAATTATTCTAATACGATGATTTGGTGCTCAAGAAACATTTCTTATCACAGTTGAAAACAGTTGTGCTACTGAATATTTTTGTGGAAACAGTGAAAAATCTTTTCAGAATTGTTTGTTGAATTGAAAGTAAAAAAAAAAAAAAAGATTTGAAATAGTTAATACATTTATAAATGTTACAAAATATTTCTGTCACTTTTAATCAATTTAATGCATCCTTTCTAAATAAAAGTATTCATTTATTTAAAAAAAAACACTTGAACCATAGTGTACATTATCCCGCATAAAATATTTACGTTACACTATAAATCTTAAAGTGAGACCTATCAGTGTGTGAACTATCAGTGGTGAACGGTGACCAACACAGCTAAATAAGGATGTGATACACAAGCACATGGTGATGCAGTTCACACAGTGAGGATGCAGCATTAGTGGGGAAAAAAAAACAGTGTTCCTCATAAAACAAAACTCACCTTCCCAGAAGCCCCTACACCCTGCCATGTGAAGGGAAAAATTTACCTCAGTCAGATGCAAGACTACACCAGCATAAAAGGGAAAAGCAGAAAGATGCAGGGAGAGACAGGTTAAGAGAGGCAGCTTAAAGACGACAGAGGGAGCAGAAAGAGAAATATGAAATCGATGAAGGGAAAAATGGAGAAATAAAACTAGATAGAACTGAGAAGATAGAACATATGAGCAAACACAGGCAGACAGATTTTACAGAACAGATACAGTTCAGTAATATCAGTGTCCAATGTCTGAAAATCGTACAATTCTTTAATGCGCCCAGAACGATAAAGTTAGGCTTATTTACACAACTTAGAAAATAACAAATGAACCTTAAACACTACCGTAATAATCAACTGAGTGAAACCTCAGTGTTAATGTGATTTTTCTCACCTCAAAGTCCTCATCTGATAGGTAGATCTCAAGACGTAGAGGGTCAACACCTTCTGGTAGGGGACGGGCTTGTATATCCGCCAACGGGTAAATGGTCTTGCAGAGTCTAGTCAAGACGTCTTCAACAAGAATGATCTGATTACATACTTCAGCCTCCTATAAATCACAGAACACAAAATAAAGATGATGTTTATTGATGTCCCCCATGACACCAGCAGCTAAAGTATCTTAAAGGGTTAATTCACATAAAAATAGAAAATTCTGTCATCATTTACTCACCCTCATGTCGTTCTAAATCCGTAAGACTTTAGTTCATCTTCAGGACACAAATTAAGATATTTGTAATGAAATCTGAGAGATTTCTGTCCCTCCATTGACAGTCTATGCAACTACCACTTTTTCGCTTCAAAAAGTTCATAAAGAGATTGTAAAAGTAATCCATATGAATTGAGCGGTTTAGTCAGAAGTTCAATTTTCTGAAGAGACATGATCGCTTTATGATTAACAGATTTAATTTAGGCCTTTAATCACACAAAAACTTTCATCAACTCACACATCAGATACGGTAAATGGAAGCACAAACATTTTCGCTTGATGTGTGAGCCAATGAGGTTTATTCTTGTGTAACGCAGCACGTGTGAGCTTCCGCAAGAACCAATGAGGTTTGTTCTCACGTGTCAAGCAGGTTTAGTTGAGCTTCTGTTTATGTTCACTGATCAATGTTTACATGTGAATAAAAGCCTAAATTAAAGAACAAAAGTTCTAAGTTCAATGGGTTTGTAAAGACATGAGGGTGGGTAAATGATGACAGAATGACGACAGTGGTACTCACCTGTAGGTGAGTACTACTAACAGTGTAATAAAGTGCTTGCAGATATTGTGTTCATTGAACCATATTATTATAACTCCAAAAAAAAAAAAAAAAAAACTTGGTATGTGCATTTAACTTTCTCTCTCACCTTCTCTGTGATCTCAGCGATGTCCTCTCTGTGTTCCCAGCTGGGAAACATGTTAGTGAAGGTAAGGGGCTCAAGCCCTGCGTGGATCAGGTATGCTTTGGGAGTTTTTTTCTCATTTTTTTCTAAAAATACAAAAGTAAAACCAATCTTGTTATTGCGACAGGAAACTAGAGAGTTTAAAATCATGATGTAACAGTAGTAGCAGCAGACAATCTCTTTCTTATTCAGACTTACATCTATACTTTACTTTATTTGTCCCTTTCAAGGGAAATTTGTTTTGGGCAATACAGATGAAGCTGCATAACAAGATACCCACATCATTAACTATCACACAGTCGTGTCCTTTGGCTACAAGACTGTTAGTGTTAAACTTTTTATAGAGGTATCTAAACTTTGGGGTACGAAAACTTCAACCAGATGGAAGTGGTTCGAATTCTGGATAAAGCACATGAGAAGGGTCCAGTCATTTTCCTTGCCTGTTTGAAAACAATTTAGTTGAATATAGACTCAACATGCGGGATAAACCCCCAGACCAACCAACTTCATTGCCGTATGCACCAAACGGTTCAACTGAGATCTAAGAGTAGATTACCAAACCAGGCCGCTATACCATACAGTAAGATGGATTCATTACAGGCATGATAATGCAGCAACATGACCCTCTGAGCAACTTCAAAAATGTACTTTTTACATTTATTATCAATAAGTATTTGTACGAAGCAACCTGTCTAATAGGCTCATTGTTAATCATATCGTTGTCAATCTCAGCAGTATAATGTTGAATGTCCTTATCCTTATGCAGAAGACCAAGAATGGCAGTATCATCTGAAAAAACCTGAGTGAAATAGATTACTGAAGACAAAAACATCTAGGATGGGAACTTGGTTCTCTCCATTGCTTGTTGATTGAATGGAGGCAGATATGACAAGAGCTTGCAGTCAGTTGTAAGAATGGGACAGGGTTTAAGCTGACTAAATGTTTAGACAAGTATAGCATTACACAATATCACTCGTTTCTTTCCTAAAAAGATCATTAAAGACAAGCATGTATTTTTTTAAGCCACCTTTGCTATATTGGAGTACAGTTTCCATGGCACACTTCCTGTCGGAGTCCCATCGTATGCGCGCTGAGCCCGTGCTCTCACTGTCCTGAGGCCACCAGCCCTGCCACAGGTAAACTTCATGGTGATTATCCACCAAAAACAGGGCTAAAAGACAATCAAACAGAAGAAGCAACATCATGATACTGCCACAACCATACCTCATGATTTTTCAATGAGTGTGAAGAATCAAATTTCCTTAATACATTATGCATGTAACGAGTGTAGGAAAGCCTAAATAAAATGCAACTGACACCCATCCAGAATAGCTAACAGTTAACAAGCAAGTTACACACCAAACAGAACTATTAACAGTGTTTAGCGAACATGAATTTGTCAAAAACCTGGCTGAGAAACTGTATACAAATCCTCTTGAAGGAAAGGCATCGAGTTGACCAAATTTGGTTCTCTGGATGGATATACAAATTCCACTGCCACAAACTCTCCTGAAGCACTGCTTAACTGGAACAGCCGAGGAGTGAAGTTGAACTTTCCCGGATCTGAGAAACAATACAAAACACATAAATCCAGGGTATCTGCAGAGTTTTTTAAAAAAAAAGTAAGACCTTTAAAGTTATTTTTTAAGACCTGCACAAATAAAATATTGTATGTCAAAACAAACACACCCTAACTCTCAAAATAAATCATATACATCAGATTCTTTAACATAAATAGGCACACATTAAATTGCAAAACATGGTAAATGCAAGTTTAAAATACTCAGGACATATAGTATATATGTATTTAAGTTAGGGCTGGTCTGAATACCATTTTTTGAGCTTTGAAGCTTCGGTAGTAATGAACATCGAATATTCGAAGCTTCGGAATCTCTATATGTCTGTCTGTCCGTTTGCATTTTGATTATTTCGAGAACCGTTCATCCAAACGACTTCACAAGGGAGTGCAGTGTCGTATTTGGTGCAATAAAGATAGACAGGCGAGACGCGACACGTTCAGAATTAATAAACTTTTAATAAACTACAGAACAGCGCGAGCGGGAAGCGGCGCGGCTCACGCGAGCAGAGCTTATATGCTCCAAGAACAGACACTGCACTAGTGATATAAAACACACACACACAGGTCTGTTAACTTAAGCAATATTTTTTATAAAGGTAGTCTAATATGTTTCTCACTAACAAATTACTGACAAAGTAGGGTAGATTTAAATAAAGAAGCAGCGTGCCTCTCGATCGTATTAGAAAAGGAATAAACCACTGCTCTCAATTGGATCAAAAATGTATTCGGATCGAGCTCAATTGGATCGATTAAGGTGTTTAAATGAAGGCTTTTCAGTCCAATCGAGCCGTCAATCCGATTACTAATGGATTATCTGGTTGCATGTAAACATAGCCCTTGCCTGTTATGTATATTGAAATATTGAAAATGTTTAAAAATCATATCACCGTTATTGAAAAAAATAAAATATCGCGATATATATTGATATTGAATTATTGTCCAGCCCTACAACCATCTGAAACATATTACAATATAAACACCAAAATAAACATGATCATAAATCATCAACAATAAATCATAAGCAATCGCTTGACATAAATGTGCAGTATGCAATGGTTGCGAACTCCTCTGAAACCGTGAGCCACGCTTTTACTTTGAAACTAGCAGTAGTTTATTTTATTTTATAAATAAAATAAAGTAAGTAAATAAAGTAAAGTAGCGGCGCTCACATTTATTTAAATAAATCAAAGCCTTATCGCGATTCCTGTTTTCAGGCTACAAATTTAAGACCTCTGAAAATAATATTTAAGACATCTGTTGTACCATTTAATACAATACAAGACTTTTTATGACCTTGAATTTGATCAAATTGAATTTCAAGTGCCTCTATTATGCTATTTCTACAATAGGATTACATGCATCCAAGGTATAAAAAAAATCCTTTAATTTCCTCATAATATACATTGCAAATCATCTAATTTCTCAGAGAGTCTGAAAACTGTTAGTTCTAAGATTCAGTCTCTCTAAACCCCTCCTTTCCGAGAGCTTCATCTGCTCTGATTGGTCAGATGGCCCAGTCTGTTGTGATTGGTCTACCACTTACAGCCAGTGTCGGAAACGAAGCCATGAAGACCATAGGCTGGTATTATGCAAATGTGTTACATTGTTATGTAGGTATACAGGAAGTGAGATGGAATTGCTGGTTACTCGTTTTGGCAGTTCAGAATCTATCCTTTCTTTTAGGAGACACTCGTCAGCCCACAGTACATGCACCCTCATTATGCGATTATAATGGGATTTTGGCAATATTGCGATTAAACTTTACCTCATGCAAATGCAATACTTCGATCAAACTAATGCGATTAAGCTCATAATAGGAAACAATCGCATTAAACTGTGGCGTATGCCAATTTTAAATTGCAATAAACACCTTAATTGCCTATCTGAGAGTGGTATAACCATACTTAACTTATTAGCCAATAATAAGAACAATTAAAATTGCATGTAAACTGGAGTGAAGAGTTCTGCTTGTGTCATGTAAATATCTTACTGCGATTAATACCCTACTCTGATTAGTAGAAATAAACGCATTATTGGTGCACATGTAAACGTAGTCAATAACTTTATTTGCGTTGCACGGTTTACTACGTGATCAGCTTAGGAGACTGACACAGAAGAGAAGAAAATGGCTGAATAAAGTCGTTATTTTTGTTCGTTTTTGCGCACAAAAAGTATTCTCGTTGCTTCATAACATCAAGGTTGAACCACTGTAGTCACATGGATTATTTTAACAATGTCTTTACTACCTTTCTGTGCATTGAAAGTTGCAATGACATTGCAGTCTATGGCTGGTTCAGAAACCTCTCGGATTTCATCAAAAATATCTTAATTTGTGTTCCGAAGATTAACAAAGGTCTTATGGGTTTGGAACGTCATGAGGGTGAGTAATTAATTACAGAAATTTCATTTTTGGATGATCTAACCCTTTAACTCACCCTGCAGCATGCAGTCATATGCCTTTCGATCTCTCCTTCCCAAGGCCTCCCAGAAGCCTTGTGGTTCAGCTCCCTCATCACACTCCTGGATGGACACTTTACTGCTGCTGTGAAGCCCCGCCTCCAGAGGACACCTGAAAACCAGAACGTCTATGTTAGGGGTCAGCCACATTTGATATCAAGTGCCGTTGGTTTGTTAGTATGAGTTGACTCACTGCTCTTTTATTTTGTTTGCAGCGGCACAGCCCACATCACGTGTGTGCATCTGAGCCTTGCAGCCGTGCCACAGGTACATGCTGGCTTTAGGGATGTTCAGGAGGATCAAAGAGGTGCGAGACCGTAGGCTGCTACAGTGGCACACCACCTCCAGCAGATGGCCCTCTATGGGTTTCTCTCCTCTCACACAGAATAAGCGCCAGTCATCTGCACATGAAGGAAATCGGGTCAATCCATACAAGTGGTCCTCACTGCAGAGCCAAATGGGTGGAGCTGGACCTAATCCAGCTCCACCTCTGTGGATCTAAGGGGTGGGGCTTAACTTAATTAGGTTTAGGGATAAGGTTATGGTTAGGTTGGACTTTCTAGCTCCACCGATTAGGTCTAGAGAAGGGGAACTGGATGCCATACAAGCTAGAACCGCCACTGCTCCACCCATTGGCTGGGTAGTGAGCAGTCTCTCAGTCCATATGTTCAAAATATGACTTTATGTATTTGTCTTTTGATTTAACTAAACTAAAAGGGTTATGGAAAAATAAATGTAAACTAAAAATGTGGCAAAGTTAGCAAAAGAGATTACTTTGTGTATTTTCTTCCTCCTCTTCTCTCTTTCCAGCATGAACAATCATTCCTCCATTGAAGCACTGCAGGAAACAAGGAGGCTCCTTTCCCTGCTGTACCTGGACCTGCAAAACACACAAATCATGTTAAACAGACCATTTATTGTTTTTATGCTAATATTTTAGATTTTTACATTACAGCTGAACTGATAAAAAGGACACTACCGTTCAAAAGGTTTAAGGTCATTAAGATGTTTTTTAAAGGGGTGGTATAATGCCCTTTTCATAAGATGTCAAATAAGTCTCTGATGTCCCCAGAGTGTGTATGCAAAGTTTTAGCAAAATACCCCACATATAATTTTATATAGCATGTTAAAATTGTCACTTTTTGAGGGTGAGCAAAAACACACCGTTTTTGTGTCTGTCCCTTTAAATGCAAATGAGCTGCTGCTCTGCACTGAGGGTGGAGCTACAACAGCTTGTGCCCTTTTACCTCACACACACATGCACTGAAAATTTCAAAAACGTCCATAAATAGTTTTTTATATTCAAACCGGAGTCAGACAATGATGGAGAGACTCAAGAAAAAGTGACAACATGTAGAAGCAACAGGACATTTCTGAATGGTTAGTTGATGAATTGATGTAGCTAATGTGTAGTTATCATCTAGTCATTGATAAGCATATTCTGTCATGATAATCTATAAATCGTGTTCCCGGGCGCGGGTTTATGTAAATTTTAGGGTTAGTGATGTCACTAACCCGGTAGGAATGACAACAAACCAGCCGTTTGTTGTAGTCCTTAAAAAGCAATTTCTGTAAAAGAAAATATCTCCCTTTGCTTTGAACTTTGAGCGTTGTAACTTTACAGATGTTGTTTAAGCTCAAACAGCAACATTACACACTAACTAAAGTAAAGTGTGTAAAACAGTAACAACATGATGTTACATATGTTACATTTTAAAAAACATTTATAATGTTTATAATGTTATAACGAAACATTATAAATGTATATATTTCGTTATAACATTATAAATGTATATATTATCCATTTCAAATAAATGCTATTTTTTGAGCTTTCAATTCAAAGAATAAAGTATCCCAGTGTCCACAACAATATTAAGCAGCACAACTGTTTTCAACACTGATAATAATAAGAAATGTTTCTTGAGCAGCAAATCAGCATATTAGGATGATTTCTGAAGGATCATGTGACACTGAAGACTGGAGTAATTCAGCTTTGCCATCGCAGGAATACATAATATTTTAAAATATATTAAAATAGAAAAACTATTTTTATTAAACTATATATATATATAAAAAAAAATAACATAAAAAATCTTACAGACTTAAAACCTTTAAATGGTAGTGCAGGAAATGCTTAATAACATCCTTTTTGTTTTTAATAAAATAATAAGTATTAAATAATCCATAGCAAGTACCTGAGCACCTCTCTCCTCATCCAGCTCTACAGTCATCAGTGCTGAGGTTCCCTTTTCATTCACCGTGGAGTTACGACCCTGCCAGAAGAAATAACAACATTTCTCCTTCCCTGGACCGATGATCCGTTCTGAATGCAGCCTCTTGCCAACTGCACAAAAAAAAGCAGAGAATTAGGCAAACTAACAGCCCAGAAACAACATGTTCAGACACACTGTATCTTATGGTTTTACACAGTGATCATGTGAGAGTTGCTGGTTTATGGCTGTTTATAGATAATTGTATGGTGGGGAGACAGTGTGGAATCAGACCTTGGAAAAGCAGTTTACTTTATAATGAGCATAAAATATTAAAATGGTGGAAATAAAGTGTCCAGGGGATTGAAGTGACAGACAGTCCTCTCTCCTGTGCATCAGAGTTATTTTTAGTATTATTTATAAACTACTAGTATTTATTAACATTTCTAATCAACGTTTATTTGTACATTCTAATTTTAGCTTAAGTTTGAGTAATTTTGTTGTGCTTTTGTCATTTTTATTAGCTTTTTATAATTCTCAATTTAATTTATTTTTATTTCAGTTTTAGCGATTTAAGTAATTTCATTTAGTTGCCAAAGCAAGTTTATTTATTTTTTAATCTAAAATCTCTCTCTCTCTCTTCTTGATAAAACTATTTTGAATAGTTTTAGTTAACAAAAACAACACTGCTACGCACACCTTCAACATACAACTCACCTGCTGTGCTGATCATGTACTTCCATTTGACCACGTACGTGTCCCCCTCATGGAACTGGCCAATGCTCAGTTTAGGTAATCGACTAAAACAAGCAAGAGAATGTTTGTACATAAAAATCCATTCATTTAATAGTTTTACCATAAAAATAATTCATCCTACCTGTAGTCAAACTCTAGAATGTGCCAGACATCAACAGATAATGTGCTGATCTCAAAATTACGCCGCTCATCACCTTCCACCAGTCCATAACCTCGTCCCACATCGACTCCATCCAGAACGGTCTTGACTGGCGTCCATACTGTTGACAACATCAGTGACGCATCATAGGGCCGACATTCTCCGCTCCGAAGCTCCTAAAGAAATTAACAAACCAATTGCATTTCAAGATTAACTATATTTTTAAATATAATCAGGAGTATCTAATGTATTAATACTTGCTTTTCAGAAAAGAGGTACAGATACAACTTATTCTGTGAAAAATGTACCTTGTTTTCAACTAAAGTCGAGTCACCATTCTTCTTAGAGGATTTCTTGGTGTCACTCCAGTCCAAAAACTTCTCTTTAAAAAGAGTAGTCTCATTGTGCTGAGTTAACCTGCCAAACACAGCCCAGTCTGGTCGTCCCTGGCCTTTCCTATTAATAACAGGTTCAGCAAAGACAATAATTATTTTAATTTCATATAGATTTCATAAAAAGCAAGGATATAACTTTGTGAGAACAGAACAAACCCATGAGACATGAACACAGCACTCATTTATTTTAGGAGTGACGCATCAGGCCTGCTGGTAACCCAAGTCTGCTTATACGAACACTGAGATACTAAGCTATTGTTTTGACAGGTGTAGTAAGTTAAGCAACGATACACTTCTGACCTGAGAGGCCTCTTTGAACGAGCTTTTAAAGGTCACAAGTGCCAAAACATGATCTATGATAGAACAACACGCATCAGCAGAGCCTCAGCACATACTCAGCTCTGATTTGTACCTGGGTATAAGTTTGTTGCACTCTCCAGGGTCAAGAGGATTAATATCACAGTTGGTGTAGTCAAAGGTGCCATTCCACAGGTGCTTTGCCAGCTGAAAAGCCACTTTTCTCTGAGCCAGCGTCACCTCCTTACCATGCCATACGTAGACCTCACTACCAAAATCCAACACCAGCACCTAGATGTCAAACAAGAATAAAATGTTGGTTTACAAATGAATAAGCCTTTCTATTACTTTAGTTTGAATTATATACTATAGCATTCAGCAGAGATGCACAATATATTGCCGACCATATTGATATGCAATTTTCAGATATTGGCCCGAGTAGTCTGATATATATATATATATATATATATATATATATATATATATCTGGTTATATATATATTTTAAATCATACCAAAAATTACATTCTAAAGCAAGTTATCTATCTTTCTTGTTACTTCAATCATGCAAAATTGTATGTAGACTGTATTTTGATTAAAGTGTAAATAAGATTAAATTAGTCAATAATTATGTATGTATGCATGTATGATTTTCAAGTACTTCTTTAGAATTAAGCATGGTGCAGCGAGGAACTCGACCCCAGTAGTCATCTTCAGGAATAAGTTTATCCTCCATAAGCCTATAGATGCAGTTGGTTTCTACGACGGCAGTCTCATAGAACTCATCTTCTTCTGGAGTGCCAGCGGCTGTAGGGTACAGAGGACCATGTAAGTAAAGGTCATTAAACTGCAGTATTCCTTAGTATTATGCTTGTGTAAACAAATAAAATTGTTCAGTCAAATGCTGCGGAATTTTCATCAGATGAGGAACTACATAATATCTCACCTTGATAACTGGCTTGGCCACCGAGAATCTTCCAGAACTCTTTGGCAGCCGGAGTGTGAGTGTTGGCACCTTCCTCGATGGTCTGCACATATGACGCTCTGCATCCCAGGTCATGCTTGGTCTGAATGAACGTGGACAACTCTGCAGCCTGCATGATTGAAGATACAAGCACATTTAATTTGCATTTGCACCACAAAGCATAATATAATATAATACATAATATTCTCACACTGATCACAAAAATCCTCACATTTGCATTAATCCATAAAAAAAAATTATATATATACGTTTAAGACAATGAGCATCACATAGTAAGGTAAGATGTAGGTCAAACTCAGAGTTCAATGACCTGCAGTCTGGATTGAACAAAGAAAGTTGTGTGTGTGAGAGAGACACAGGAGCTTTTACAATTCACCTCCTGCTTCCTTTACAAAAATATAACATTTCCTTTGTGGTTAATTCTGTTTACTTCCTGCACGTGGGGGACTCACCGATATATGAATAGTACTGAACACACCAAGGCAGAGTACAGGATATGACATGTTTAACTGTAACAAAATCCAATTGAGAACCAGAAAACACAATTTTGATATAGGGGACTAATATTGACATCTAGTACATAAAGTAACAGCCAGTGTTACTTTAGTATTATTTATATACTATTATGTTATTAATTAATAGTTTGAATTAATAATTTTTATATTTTCCATTTTAATTTTGGTTTAGATTTTATTTTGTTCTTTTTGTTTTTTTAATATTTTATTTAGCTTTAATTTATTTTTATGTCAGTTTTAGTGATTTTAGCACTTCGACTAATTTTATTTCAGTTTGTTGTTCGGGCAACATTTTTTTTTTTAACTTTCATCTAATATTTATATTTTATTTAAGGAATTTCAATTAATATGAAACACTTTTTAATAGTTAATTAATAGTTATATTTAATAATTAGTTTTAATTAATTTGTTTTAGTTAACAAAAGCAACACTGCTAACAGCTGGAGATTAAACAACGTTAAAGTGATAGTGTGATGTGCGTTTGTTGGTACATGCATGACACTCACTTTGGCCTTCTCAATAACATTAGCAAATTCTCCAATCCAGATGAAGCAATGATGGGGTGTAATCAAGAGGAAGCAGTCACCACTGTTCAAGGAGGAAGCTCTGGGCTCAACCAGTCTGGTCTGAACGTGCCGACGACCTAATTAAAATGCACAGACAAATCGGGACAATAACAATGTGAGTCACATGCTAAATCCCCTGATGTCAGGAGCAAAAACACAAAGTGATTTGTTTTGATTGTACAGCATTATCTCGGTTAAATTTCAAACTCAGAAGATAATTATGTTATGATATAAAACACAAGATGTTATATTGTAAATGTTATAAATTGTGATCTGACAACAGATAAAATCAGAACGTCCTGGTAAGCAGAACATTACAACAGTTAGACAATGCTGTTGTTCTTAGACTGCTCACATGTTGCTCTCTCCATTAAGTCTATCTGGTTTGTTTCTCTCTGTTTTGATTAAGGGAAGTGTAGAATGTTGTTTTGGGAACATGCAGGTGGGGTTAGATTGAGAGGGATGCCTTATGAGGAATTGGTATCCACAGCCATTCTACATCCTACAACAACAGCCCCTACAACAACAGCCCCCACAGCAGCATCTTATGCAACATAAGTTCTCCCATTTACTTTTAAGTAAACAACACTATTCATGGCTGTCTCCCAGCCATCTCTACAGGAACACACAGATACAGCACACACTATGGCCACGTTCACATAGCAACAGAAAATGGTTGTCAGTTCAGTGTCTATATTTGGACTAGAGTAGAGATCTGTGCAGGACTGTTTTTTCATCCCGCTAGGTTCTATTCCGCACCCACCCGCTCTCCCGCTTAATATTTCTTTCTCTGTTCAGAAATTTATTTTTCCCCGACCATCCCGCTAATTTTAGATCTCGTTTCCAGAATCTCACATTTAAATTTCCCCTACTGAAAGAGAGATTGGATATAACAAATATAAAATGAAAAATAAATTAAATACGACATTGTCACTCAAAGTTATAAACGAAAACCATTGGCTTATAGCTATGGCGAAAATCACTTTTTGAAACAATTTAACATCCATGCAAGAAAAGAATGTCATGACGAGAGCCGCAGAATGCAGACTGGAGTGATAAAACTTTTCAGTTTTATTGATGGTGCCATCTATGATATTACACACTCTCCCTATAATTAGTATTAATATGGGCTTGACTCCCGTTGCACATTCATACAGACACATTCATACATTTCGAGACACAACTTTAAGTAAATGCGGTTGTCAATCCCAAAAAATGACTGTGCATGTAGCCTATATGGCTGGCTTCTAATCAGAGACCATTATTCTTCATAATCAAAAATAGTTGTGAATAAAACTGTGCCAAAACAAGGTCAGAATGGATGATGAATATTATTGACCTCTAATGGCTCGTTTCCACCGAGCGGTACAGTACAGTATATGATTTGGGAGGGTAAACCCTGATCAGGCTTGCGTTTCCACCGGCAAACATACCCTTACTTGATAGATGTGGTGTAGAGATCAACGTCATTCTTGTGCGAAGAAGAAAACGACATACAGCAGATCTTGTTCTTGCTTCTCGGCATGTGGCTGTTTGTCACAAGACAGCTTTGTTTGAGCAAAGGCTGCAGGGAAAAACAGCCGAAAAAACATGCACAAGTGACGATTCTCTGTCAACCAATCAACGTTCTGCAGTGAGTCTAGCTCCATCCTTTAGGTACCGGACTACTGTGCTAGGTACACCAACGGAAGGGTTCCAAAAAGTGATACGGTACGGGATATTTGGTACCATTCACAACTTCTGACAATCGAAACAAAAATAATTGTGTACCGCTCGGAGGAAACAAGCCATTAGTCTGCAGTGCCATCTGTAAAAAGAGTCCTCCATCCTGTCATTGAGCTCAAACATTGCAGATCACAAACAGATGTAGTTGTCACTGTCACTCACCTTTGACCTGAATGAGCATGAGTTTTTTATATGGCATGGCACTGTTGTTGGAGCTCTGCTCAGAGGCGTTCACACTTCGCAGACTCACACTGCTGAAGTTTTCCTTACTCGCCAACCCAGCAAGAGCAACCTCAGAGAAACCGCTGTTCTTATTCACTATGAAAGAGAGGACAATAACGAGAGAGAGAGAGAGAAAATGAGAAAGTGCAAAAGTATGAGCTATAGCATACCACAATCATTAACTACAGTATTTGAAATAGGTATCTTATAACATTCTACAGTCAATTTATTTAAAGCATCGATTTAATTTAATCAATTTAATGCATCCTTGCTGAATAAAAGTATTAAATTATTTCTTTATTTCACTGACTCATCTGAATCCACGAGCAGTAACTTTACTTTTTTCTATAAAGATATTTCTAATTAAAAGTTGCTGTTAGTTTCAAATAAAAGTTTTATTAGTTGTATTTCTTGTAAATAAAACAATTATGCTGTTATGCTAATTGACATCATTCTTTTTTTAGTGGCCATTCAAGTGCAAGTAAACGCGAAAGAGGAATAAATTCAGTGTTCGAATCCCGTCTCTCTCGCTCTCTCTCAGATAACAGCACGCGAGTCCCAATTTTTGCCTCTTCTTCCCCATTTAAAATTGTTTGGAGTGTAAATTGGCAAGACGAAACACGTCCAAATGATAAACTTTCACTCTATGATGGTTAAACTTAGCATCTAATCCGCAAATCACATGCATGCCGAATCGTGGGGCACTCCTAATGATTAATGCACACACTTATCATGATTGCTATCTTACCAGAGATGGAGAAAAATCCTACTCCAGTCAGTAAACGTGTCCATGTAACCAAAAATGTTGGTACTCAAAAGCGCTTCCCTTCACGTTTTCTACAGAGCAGTTTATTTTCAACACGCATGCGCACCATTTATGTGCACCCCTGATTATAAATGTGTAAATATTGGCAATAAATTAAAATGTGCATATTAAAAAAAAAAAAGTGTTCATAAACTAACTACTCCACCTCCTTCATTCACTCACTCTTTTCCTGTTTCATCCTCTTGCTCTCCAGAAGGCCGATGTTTAGCCTCTGTTCTGTGTATTCATGTCTGATGTCCTCCCGAACAGCCAGCATTTTCAGAGGGTTTCTGGATGACTGAACATTTCTGGTTGGCCGTACCGCCCGCTTGTGTTGCACCATCTCTGAGGTCAACCTAAAAAAACATGTCAAACAACGTTTCAGGGATAGTTCCTCAATCTCACGCTTGTTTAATTGCAAGCTGTAAATAGATAATTTGATTGTCAATAAAACAAAAATGGCTGGTTAGTTAATGCTAGAGAGATTATATTAAACTCCTCTACTGTAATAGTCACACTTTTTTTGGTTTTACCTGGGCAGCTCCACTCCAAAGATGGCATCAAAATCGTCATTGATTTCCACTCTGCTGGTAATCTTGGCTATATCCTCTGTGTGTCGATAAAACTTATCGAAGGTCTCATCATCCAGAGTCATGACCTCTTTAACAGACTTCTCTGTGACTGCGATTGTGGCCTCCTGAAGACCTGCAACTAAGAAATGTATAGGAATACATGCATTAAAAATAAACTGAATAAAATAATAAGTTGATATTGTAACGAAAAAGTCCACTGAGTCGAGCGTAGTGAGAACCCAAGTGCAGTTTTTATTAACAAAACTTGAACAAATACAAAAATAAACAGACGTGGCTTGACTAGGCTTGAGTATGAACATGAAACAAATTGGAACATGGACATAAATTCAACAAACAAGGGTAAAGGAAACCAAGCTAGAGAGAGACAATGGGAACATGAGGGCTAATTATACACATGGACTACTCACTAAACAAGGAACACCTGAACACAATGAACCAATAAACCAATGAGAACACAACACACGAACCGATGGAAGCACATGACAAGAGCGCATGAGGAAACAAGGAATCACATGACATGGAAACATGACTATGTCTGATTACAAAATAAAAGACATCCAAGCATGAACTTGAACAGAAACCAAAACCAACCGTGACAGATATCGGAGAAAATATGTTCTCTCTAAGGTGCAATACACATGTTCTTATCGTACTCACCTTTACCATTGAGACGACCAAGGAATGACTCCAACTTTTCCAGCTTCATGTCTGACTCCAGCTTCATGTCCTGTTTGACTTCAATCTCTACAGAAGAAAATGCAGTAGTGATATAAATATGTATGATATGCATATAAAAACATATATTGACCGACATAGAAGAAAGAGGAAAGGAAATCTGATTGGAAGAAAGGGGAGTGGGACCAGGAAATGACACAAGCTGAATACATGTATGGCTTCTCACCTTCGTGTGGCTTTGAGATTGTATGGGAGGCATTCTTGTTTTTAGAGGACAGAGGGGACAGCACTGGATTTGTAAGAGCAGAAGGTGCTGCCAGGCCTTGGAAAGAGAAAACATAGGGGAAATTGTTCTTAACTGCACATTGTTTATCCACACAGTACAAAAGCTCAATTGTGTCAATGCAGTAAAGTAATAAAATATGAATGTGTGCATTTTTCACTGACCTTTTTTAACCATTCGGCCAGCCACTGTAAACTGAGTGGAGTCATTGGCTGCTCTGTAACCTTTGACCTTCCACGCATCCTCTTGTGAGGTGATGAGCTGCTTGCGTTCCTGAATAGACATCTCTACTCGATCACTCCGCTGGCTTTCCACCATCTCATTTCCCATCCTCTGAGATGCCAAAGGAGAAACTAAATTAAGCATCTGAGCAAGTATTTATATCATTGTCAGGGCAACTTTTTTCACACTTCCGCCAGTAACATTCTTCAAGTTTAAATGGTAACACTATTTTACAGTGTCCGTGTTGCACGTTACATGTAGTTACTATAGTAATTACTATAAATTGTGCATAATTACATGCAACTAATCCCAATTCTAACCCCATAGTAAGTTCATGTAGTTAATTATTATTACTCAGTACTAAGATGTATAATTACACTGTAACACGGACACCTTAAAATAAAGTGTAACCATTTAAATATCTTTACGATTTTAATCTAAAAAAAAGGGATGCTCAGTTGATAAATATTAAAATTGTAAAAGTAGTGAGAGAAACAACATCTCATAAGAGATTTAATAAAAACAGTAAAAAAAAAACAATTGTGAAGTGTAAATTATAATTTTCCTAACATTAACCTGCAAACAAAAATAATCCAAAAGCCTAAAATAAACTGTGTATATACTGTATATAGCCAAAATAGCTAGTAACTGACTCCAAAAAAAGACACACACACACACAAAAAAAAAATCCTACAAACACACTGACCATACATTTACATACATTACAACAACAGTCTCAGTGTTGTGTTATGGAGGAATAGTGGATGTGTGTTTGGGGGTGAGAAGCACCTTCCGTCTCCAGGGGTGACGCTCATCCACCTGCACGGGCAGGGGGGTAGCCTTCACACGGAGGGAAGAGCAGGAAGACAGACGGGAAGAGAGAGGGATGAGAAAAGAATGGAAAGAAAGGATGAAAGATGAGAGGATGCATTCTAGACTTGAGAGGCTATATTAATAGACAGAGGAAGGTGATGCTTCACTTGAGATCTCACCACTGACCAGTTAAAAGACTCATTTAGATTTACAGTTAATCATTGTTGTCTTTAATTATACAGGATTGTAAGCATCCTATCATTTGGTCATGATAATAAAGATAGATAGAAGGATTTCATTATAATATAAAGGTTTCAAGGTTTAAGCAAAGTATATAAAAACATTCACATTTACATACAAAGCCATTTTAATATCAAGAGTTTCCAAGAGTAAAGGTTTTAAATGTATTAAAATAAAGAAAACAGATTCTTTATGGACTGAACTTCAGTCACTTCATGGAAGACGACAAGAAATTGTTAAGACAAGAACAAAGCAGTCGAGAGTTCTTATCAAATTAAATATGCACAAAATTGCAGTTATGTTGTATTGTTCTGTTAATTTTATATCCATATTTAATTTGATAAGAACTCTCGACTGCTTTGTTCTTGTCTTCTTGACAATTTCTTGTATATATATATATATATATATATATATATATATATATATATACACACACACACACACATAATATAAAATATACAGTGAAATGGTAACAATTGTTTATGTAAAGCAAAAAGCATGTGTACTCATACTATTATACTATTTCTTTTTTTTTTAAATAGTAAAAGGATGTTCCCACACATCTGTGTTTGACATCACAATTGTTATCTTTAAAGGGTTGGTACAATGCCTTTTTCATAAGATGTCAAATAAGTCCCCAGAGTGTGTATGTGAAGTTTTAGCTCAAAATACCCCACAGATAATTTTATATAGCATGTTAAAATTGTCACTTTTTGAGGGTGAGCAAAAACACAGCGTTTTTGTATCTGTCCCTTTAAATGCAAATGAGCTGCTGCTCCCACCACAGGGGGCGGAGCTACAACAGCTTGTGTCCTGAAAATTTCAAAAACTGTTAGCCTTTTATGTTCAAACCGGAGTCAGACAAAGATGGAGAGACTCAAGAAGAATTGACAACATTTCTGAATGGTTAGTTGATGAATTTATGTAGCTTATGTGTAGTTATCTTCTGGTCATTGATTAGCATATTCTGTCATGATAATCTATAAATCATGTTCCCGGGGGCGGGGTTTATGTAAATTTTAGGGTTAGCGATGTCACTAACCCGGTAGGAATGTTGTGTAGTCCCTACAAGCCGTTTGTTGTAGTCCTTAAAGAGCAATTTCTTTAAAAGAAAATATCTCCCTTTGCTTTGAACTTTGAGCGTTGTAATTTCGCAGATGTTGTTTATGCTCAAACAGCAACATTACACACTAACTAAAGTTAGAAAAGTGAAATCATAATCAACCACCCCTTTAAAATTTATTTAAACACTATCCTGTATTTTGTGTGATGGATTTATGGAAACCTAACAGTTTTTACCATAAATTTGATAGGATTTTGTACAGTGTGAAAAATAACACTGGAAAAAAAGAAAGACAGGCTGTCAGTATCAGAGGCTGGAATGTGGAGGAGAGCTTACATTGGGTAGGTGTTTTTGCTCACCTTGGGGAGGATTGCTATTTGATCCAGTGGTTCAGATGCACATGAAAAGGAGGAGGAAAAGACAGGATCCTACAGGACAGAAAGGGGAATCAAGACAAAAGATGGAGAGACATATGACAAAGCAGGAAGGAAAGAAGAGGAAGTTCAGGGACAGACATCAGGCAGGTGACATTGGTCTAGTCTTAGACACAATGCCACCTCTAAATAACAATAGGTTACTGTCGTAACCCCGGTTCTCTGAAACATCGAGTGGAGAGATCCACCTATGGGAAGGGCATCCGTACCTGACCTCTGCAGAAGCATCCAATTGCACCAAGTCTGGCTAACAGACAGAAGCGCGCAGCCAATGCCAGGTGAGGCCACACCCCCTTACCTACGGGCATATCACAGCTGGGCGTGCTGCTATTCCTCAGTAAGTATATTCGCTTCTCATGCGGCAAGCGGGGCAAGGCTGGTGGATCTCTCCACTCGATGTTTCAGAGAACCGGGGTTACGACAGTAACCTATTGTTCTCTTTCATCATCTCGTTTCGAGATCTACCTATGGGAGAGACATGGACAGCTCCCCGATTGCCCAATACACTCACAGTGAGGTTCTGAAGGCCAGAGAAGGACGGTCACCTCAGAGAGGCAGTGCCTGACACGTCCCACAAACATGACCCTGCAAGTTTTCCGCCACGCTAACTGCTGTGGACAAGCAGGGCATGAAACATGCATGAGACACATACATGATAATGGCCCCCGCACCACCAATGCACATAGCTAAACCCAAGAAGGAATGCGAATGCTTGGTGACAGGAATGAACATGGCCAGCCGGCCCATTCACTCCTCGTTGGTTAACCAAACGGGGCTGTGGGAAAGGGCTAAGAGGACCCTACCCCTAGGACCGAGTGTGCCACCGAAGTTCTGGTGACATCCAACCGGTAGTAACGCTCAAAGGTATGAGGAGAGGCCCAGCTGGCCGCGGAGCAGATGTCCTGCAGTGGCACTCCCCTGAACAAAGCCCAAGAGGCGGCTAAGCCCCTTGTGGAATGAGCTCTGATGCCCCTTGGGGCTGCACTCCCTTTGCTTCATAAGCCATAGTATAGCGTCCACAAGCCAATGTGAGAGGCATTGCTTTGAAATGGGACTCCCCTTGTGCAGGGGAGCCCTTGAAACAAAGAGCTGGTCGCTCTTGCGGAAAGCACTGGTCCTGGTCATTATGCTTGCAGAGCACGGACGGGACACAGAGCATTCAGTCCCTGATCCTCCGGGGAGGCAAAGGGTGGAGGGTGAAAGCGGATAGCTCCAAAACCTCCGACGTGAACGCAGGGAAGCATTTCGGCATGAAGGCCGGGTTAGGCTTAAGGAAAACCTTATCTCCACTTAGGGAGAATTTGGCGCACGAGGGGTGAACCGAGAGTGCATGTAGCTCACTGACCCGTTTAGCAGATGCCAAGGCCGAGAGCAAAGCTGTCTTGAGGGACAGCAGCTTAAGGGAAATACTCCCCAGAGGCTCAAAAGGATACAGAGACCGCGCTTCCAGCACCATGGAGAGGTCCCACTCTGGGACAGATTCAACAGATCTCCTGATGACCAGCAAAGAGCGGCGTGCACCCTCCATAAATCTGCGGGTTAGAGGGTGCTGCCTGACGGTGGAGCCCCAAAACCCACATGACAGGCTGAAATCGCAGCCAGGTAGACCTTAATAGTGGAAAAGGACCTGCCTCTTTCCATGAGGTCTTGCAGGAAACACAAAATATCAGGCACCGAGCACTGATAAGATGTGAAACCACGCCCATCATACCACCCTTCGAACACTTGCCACTTACAGCCATATAGGGATCGCGCGGAAACGGCCCTGGCCTTCTGAGTAGTGGCGATTACACGCAGCGGGAGCCCCAGTGCATTTTGGTTCGTCCTCTCACGGGCCAGGCCCAGAGAGCCACCCTGTCCGGGTGGGGGTGGTAAATCTCCCCGTTGGCTTGGGACAGTATGTCCGTGCGAGGGGGGAGGCGCCATGGCTCGGCGTATAACAGAGGGATTATCTCTGCCAGCCATGGGGCTTTGGGCCACCTGGGTGCTATCAGAGTGAGAGACAGGCCGTGCTCTCTCACCCTGGCCAGAGTGAAAATTATCAGGCACAGGGGAGGAAAAGCATACAACAGCACTTTGGGCCATGGGTGGGCCAGTGCGTCTGCCCCGAGGGGCGCGTCCATGTCCTTTAGCGAGAAGAACATAGGACAATGGTGATTTTCACGCGAGGCGAAAAGATCTACGGCTGCCTGTCCAATCTCATCCATAACCTCTCCACTATCTGCGGGTGAAGACGCCAATCCCCGTGGATTGGGTTTCCCCTCGATAGCAGATCCGCGCCTCTGTTCCGAATGCCCGGGACATGAGTCACGCGTAATGACAGAAAAACCTGTCTGCTCCACACCAAAAGCCTGTAAGCTAGAGCGTGGAGTTTTGACGAGCGCATGCCACCCTGACGGTTGATATAAGCCACTACCGTGGTATTATCGCACCGTAGTAGAACAGGATGTCCCTGCAGGCAAGGCAGAAAATGATTCAGAGCTTTCCAAATAGTAAAAGCTCTAAATAGTTAATGTGCGCTGAACGTAGTCTGCTCAGCCACAGACCGTTCACCGTTCTGCCTTCCTGGGTGGTTCCCCAGCCTGTTAAGGACGCATCTGTCGTCAAAACTTTTCGCATCGTACCGTCCCGAGGGGGGTTCCCCGTGCGTAAAAGTTCTCGCTCTCCCAATGGCGCAAGGCCGCCGAGCAGGCGCGCGTCATCGTTACCGAGCGGCAGAGATCGCAAATCGGGCTGAAATGTAGTGTACAAAACCCATTTCATGAACGTTCTCATTCTCAGGAGACCAATGGCACAACTTGGATAGATGAAGCCATGAGATCCTGCAGCCTGAGGCATGTGCGATATTGTACTCTCGCCCCTTCACTGAACTGAGACAGACAGTCCATCAGCGAGCGAACGCGCTCTTGAGAGAGACGCGCTCGCATGGAGACTGAGTTCAATTCCAAGCCCAGGAAAATGACATTCTGACTGGAAGTCAGTTTTCGCTCGCATTCACCTTGAACCCGAGGGATGTGATGTGCGCGAGCACCCGGCCGGTGTCCAGCGACACCTTCTCCTTTGATTTGGCTATGATGAGCCAGTAAGTCAGAATTCTCAGCCCTGATAGTCTCAGGGGCGCCACGCCCACCTCCACACACAGACAGAAAGTTCGGGGACTCAAATTGCGCCCGAACGGAAGAACTGTGAATTCGTAACAAACGCCTTGGTAGGCGAAACGAAGATATTTCCTGTGTGGAGGGTAGATGCTTATGTGAAAGAAAGCATCTTTCAGATCGACTAGTCGTTCTGCTTTATGGCACAGGCGAGAGAGGCTTGTGTCACATTCTGAAATTGAATTTCCTCAAATGTTTGTTCAACACTCGAAGGTCCAATATAGGGCGGGGGGGCGCCACGCCTTTTGGAACATGAAAATACCAGGAATAAAAACCATGGTTTATCAGATTGGGTGGCACCATCTGAATCGCTCCCTTGTTAGGAGGGAGGAAATTTCCTCTTTCAGAATGTGTGAGGCATTTTCTTCTGTGTGAGAAGAGAGAACGCCGTTGAAATGCGTAGGTTTTATTGCAAACTGCAGCTTGTAACCCTGGGTTACAGTACGCAAAAACCCACTCGGGCGCTGAAACGGCTTGCCAAGCCGCTTTGTGACTCGCGAGCGCCCCCGCTCGGGCCGGAGCGGAGCTGTATGGGCCCAGCTGGTTCATTTGTGATGCAAAGGCGCCATCTAGTGGGAACACTAGAGGCAACATGCAGGGGTTTGGAGGGATTTCCTCTCTCTGCAGTGAGAAGTTTTCTTTGCGGAGAGAGGTCTTCTCTCCAAAACGAATTCATTTGATTCGTAGCTTTGTGTGTTTTGTGTTGGGCAAACACTGGGGCCAAAGCCTTTATTGACAGAGTGAGGGAAACATAGTGTGGTGTCCATTGTGCTGAACTTTCCCTCACAAGGTGCCCCCAAAAGTGGGAAAAACACATATCTCCTGAACACATGAACTGGGCAGTCTCAAGTGCAGGCAGAAAAATAATATCCGCGGAGAGAGATACTCTCTCTGTAACGGATTCATTTAATGCGTTTTTTTTTTTTTTTTTTTTTTTTAAGTGTTATTTAGTTATGTGTGTGTTTTGTGTTGGGGAACACAGGGGCCTTACACACACAACGTCCACTAAAAACACATCGGCTGGACAGCCGCAACTGAGCTGTGTGAGCCCAGTTGGTTGATTTATGAGGCAATGGCGACCTCTTGTGGACGGACTCAGGGCGACATGCATGGGATCAGAGAGATTTGCTCTCTATGTTGCCGCTGGCAGATATATAAATCTGCACGAATTCATTTGATTCGTTATTAAATGTGTTGTTTAGTAATGTGTGTGTTTTGTGTTGGGAAACACTGGGGCCGAAGCCTTTAATAACTGGGTGAGGGGAACCAAGTGCGTGCGGTGTGGTAACACTGCTATGTACTTTTCCTCACGACAGCCCCCTCCCCTGTAACTTGTTGTTGTGGGGGGGAGCGGGAAACCCACACACAACGTCCACTAACATACGGGCTGGGCAGCCACGAGAAGGGATTAACCGACCGTAGGTGAGAGACCCTGTTAGTTAACGTTACTCCCAATGGTCGAACAACAGGCAGGCCGCTTGCGTTCGGGACCGCCTTCCTAGGAAGGCATAAATTGAAAACCTCAACACGTAATCGTAACAAATCAAGGCCCGTGAGACCGTGTTAACAGTCTAGCGGGACGCTCCGGCCGTTCAGACTGGGCGGTGGTCCCAGCGTTTACCCGTCGTACATATTCCTATCCTGGTCGGTGGCGCTCTGTGGAGCTGGCCACACAATGTTGAGACGAACGGCCGCTCGCTCACAAACTTCCAGGAGGATGGACGGAGGCAAAGCCGCGTGAACGCTAGCCTAGGGAACGCTAAAAGGACCGCGTCATCCCCGTCGCCGGAACCGACCGGTTCGTCAACGAGAGTGAGGTTTTCCCGCGAAGATGTCCTCTTCAGGGAATGCGGATTGGGCTGATGTCAGCTCAAATATTTTAGAGAGGTGGCGCTCCGGGAGTCCCCCGGTAGCGCGTCATCATCACCGTGTCTCTCCTCCGAGTCAGAAAAGCCGAGCACGGCGCGCTGTGTCGTGCAACTAAAAGCCGGCTTAGTAAAAGCTACATGGGCAGCAATTACAATGACCGCAATTCCCCGGGTTCTCCAAAGCTTGAGCGTGTTAAGCCCAAGCAGACCGCGCAGAACGAGAGGGTCCTTATAGCGGCGATGAGAGCACCACACGCGGCCGGGCAGGCTCGTCGTGATAGGCTGATCCCCGGGGGAAGCGGCTGTTTAGACGGTCACATAGCCATGGGTGGGCCAGCGGTGAAGAACTCGGAAAAATCCGTGGCGGGCAGCCATGTAAAGGAGGAGCAGGTGAAGGACAGCGAGAGCTCGGGCGGCTCCGGATGCAAAAAACACAGCGGATAGGCTGAAGAAACGACTGTCACTCACGTCAGGCGGAGGCTGATCTGGCGATATGTCCTCCTGAAGACTCGAAAGTGAGCAGCGTAACGTTAATCCAACCGAACTGTGTCAATGCAGAGATCGCGAGAAGCGAATGTCAACTGAGGAATAGCAGCGCGCCCAGCTGTGATATGCCCGTAGGTAAGGGGGTGTGGCCTCACCTGGCATTGGCTGCGCGCTTCTGTCTGTTAGCCAGACTTGGAGCAATTGGATGCTTCTGCAGAGGTCAGGTACGGATGCCCTTCCCATAGGTGGATCTCGAAACGAGATGATGAAAGAGAACCATATGACATCAAAGTAATTTGCTAGAATGCTATGGTCAAATCTAGAGTACAACACTCAACCACCAGCCTCGCACAACCACCCTGAATCTGAGTATACTCAAATCTTTCTCCAAACTAACTATTGTCAATCAAGCAGCTTCAAAAGAAACCACAATGAAAAGTGCAAAAGAAATTGGTGGGCAGATACAGTACTATAAATAAATATATTACAAATTCACAGGCTCATCGTTTAAATTTTAAATGTTTGACTGATACGGTCCCAGAGGAGGCAGATCAGTAGAAACTAAAATTGGGAGTAACATTTAAATCTAAGTGACTAAAGCTAACTAAAAGGCTGTAGCCTTATCTAAAAGAGTGGTTGAACAAGGCAATTAACCACACCATAACCGTCACCACAGGGTAAAATGACAAAGTCACCAAAATGGCTGTTAAAATAAAACAAAAAAAATACTTCTTGGCATTTCAAAATTCATACCGTCACCATGGTAGTTATGTAAGAGGACCAAGCAAATAAAAACCACCACAAACAACTGGCTCATCCTGAGTTGATGACAAGGTCCGAAAACCAGGACAGCACACAGACATCACCATGATTACAAGGTCAAGGATTAATTAAATACAAACACAAAACCATAACCCTCGTACACTGGCAAAACCCGTGCTAAGCCTGTTAGCATGGTGGCTAACGGCTAACAGCCTTACCCAGAGTTGATCAGACACAGCAAAGTCATCTATCATCATCATCCCATCATCCTAGAAAAAGGGGTAAAATGAACAGGGAAGAAATGACCCCGTACTTAAAGCTTGGAAATTAAAATTAACAGTGAATATGGTTACTGTGAGAAATAAATATTTCATAATGCAGTTTGCAGTGGCTAACTGCATTGATTATAAACATAAAACACTGTGATTCTTGATATTATCGCAATCTCATTTGTTAACGCAGTATAAAAAAATGTAAAAGGTATTTAGATGTAAAAATGTCTTTAAAGTCACAATAAAACAGAAGTAGGAAGCGACAGATTTTTTTTATGAAATGTGACGTATATCAGAGTGAAACAGATAAGCAAAGAAAGAAATGCAGGGCAGGTTCTAATGTTCTATCCATTGCTTTTTGATTGGATGGAGGCATATCTGCATGCAAGCTTGTGTAAATGGTTCTACTCGCACCGTTTTGAGCGGGATTCAAACCAGTGTCACCGGCATGGGAGGCGGCCATTCTAACAAGGACGCTAAAGACCGCAGCCTCTAGTGTCAGTCGCTAGTGTGACTCTTGAGATTAGAGGAGTGAGGTTTACCTGCACAGCCCTTTACTAGCTGGCCTTCATTACATTCACCCCCCTAAACCTCACTCCCATTCGGGTCATGGCACCAACTTAACCGGTCCTACTCGCACCGCTTCGAGTGGGATTCTAACCAGTCTCACTGGCAAGGAAGGCAGCCATGCTAACGAAGACGCTATCCGGCATGAACCGGCAAGGGAGGCAGCCATGCTAACAAAGACGCTAAAGACCGCAGCCTGTAGTGTCAGTCGCTAGCGTGCCTCTCGAGGCAAGGGGAGTGAGGTTTACCTGCACAGCTCTTTACTAAGTGGCCTCCGTTACACTTGCAGTCGACTAAATAACTGGAGAAGTCTGGCATACATCACCAAAGAGAAGTCTATCATTTCCACAGAAGATCGAATTATATTTGAATGCAAAATTCATTGCGTGGTCAAAAATAAAAAAAATAGATAAAGATAGATAAATCATTCACAATAAGATAGACTGTGTGGATTTTGACTTTAAAAGTTTCTCTGTCACCCTCATTGCTTAAGAAATTGTGATTTTACAAAAACTGATCTGCCAGATCATCAGCTAAATATTGGTTATAACGATAGCTAATTCCCTTCTCTGAACTAGCATATGATAAGTGATGTTACCACATTACAACACTTACGCAACCTGCAATGAAGTGACTGAAACAGTCTTCAGAATAAATCCAAACAGAGAATGGCACGTGAAACCTCACCCCATTCCCCATTGCACTAGAGAATTACTATGAAGCATGCAAAGATTTTAAACATTTTTTATTACAATAAATTATATTATAACAATAAAAACACAAAAACATGCAGTAAAGAGGTGGAGTGGCAGAAAGACAGATTCATGCAAGTTAAGAACACATACTGTCTCAAACATACTAATAATCCAGATTCTATTGCTACAAAGATGTACACATGCATGACCACCAACGCCCCTCTAATAGCCCTACCAAAAACAAAAAAGCAAAAGGATCACCCATTAATGCTCTGGGACTAACATTCGTGCTGTGACTTTTAAAATTATTTTCTGATGTCAGTCACTATAAATCAAGGGTGCAAAAATTTGTCTAATTTGATCATTTCCAAACATGATTAACAATGAAAAAGTCTACACCATTTAAATTAAATGTGGGGCAGCTTGCACTGAGCAAACAGAATTAGTGCAAATTAGTGTTCTTGAGAAATAAATAACATTGTGAATATGACCAAAAAATGCAAATAGAAAAGGACAGAACATAAAGAAACGAAGAAGACAAAAATAATGGAGAGCACTAGGGTTGGGCAATATGACCAAAATCGTATTTCACGGTATGAACAATTTTATTTCACGATAACGATATCTCTATTTTTATTTTATTTTTGTAATTAAAAATAAGAACAACCATTTTCTCTTTGTCTCAATGTTAATCAAACAACAAAAGACAGACAGACAGCTCCTTTTAAGACAGAATGCAGGATCCAATTTACTGACACGCATCCGGTTTTCACCCAATTATTTACGTCAATGTAAGACATAACCGACTGTTTACGTGAATACTTCACGGGCATTCTGACATTATTGTACATCTATATGACAATTTGAACGCAATAGCATGCGATCGCAAATTAAATTCTCTTTCGCATCTTGTCTGAGAGAGGCGGCTTTCTGTGCGCACGCTTTTAGTGTATGTTAGTCTCAGCCTTAGACGTCACGGCAACGGACCGTTGGCTGAATGTCTGGTGCAAATGGCACACAAAATTGGAAACCCTTGAGGAGATTCAAAGTCTTCATCTTATTGGTTGAATTCTACAGGGACACGTGTATCGCGTTCTTTAATGGTCCACCTGAACACAAAGATGATGTGACCCCAAACCCCCTTATGGAAGCAAGCCGTGTGTTTACAACTGTGACAATGAGCGCTTATCAAGATCAACTAAACGCTGGATTTTCAAAAGTATGTGAAGTACGTAAAGTTCACGGCATAGACTCTTTAAAATACGCCCAAGAGTCTGTTATTGACATCGACGTTACATTTTCATGCCCCTAAACATAAGGAAAAAAACAAACTGTGATTGATTGCTTTACAAGTCAGTCAGGTGGCCTCTGGGCGGTCGTTGGCCAAAAGTCTGGCTACGCGAGCACCAACCGCATGGAGTTCCTTTTCACATCTTATTGCGCTCAACATCAAGCACGTCCCACTCTTTATTTTCTCATTCATGCATGTTTCTTTATCACTCTTACGTGTATACAACTTTAAAGGGGTCATATAATGCCATTTTTGTACAAGTTAATATGAATGTTTAGGGTCTAAATAAAAACTTTGTAATATACTTGTATTAAAGATTCTCATTAGTATTTTAAGAAAACACTAATTTTACCTGGTCAAAATCAGCTCTGTTTTCAGCACGCTGTTTCAGTGCATATGCCTTTAAATAATAAACCCCGCCCCTCTATTCTGTGGGTGTTTAGACAGCGCACGTGAAGTGTTGCCTTGACAACAGTTGAGGGTATATTTTGGAGAAAGAATGGCAGTCTCTTGGAGTCTCTTGAGGACACATCTGTGCAATCGTATCAGTTTGAACCAGAGTCGCACCCGGAACAAGATGACGGCCGCAAAGAAGTTCGACAATTAAAACTCGAACAGGACGTTTCTGAATGGTTGGTTAACGTAATGTCACTTTGATCTATCTTTGTATGCACTGGCAGGGTAGAGTAGTGAGATACGAACGCTGTGTTTACTGATGTATACGTTAGTTCATTGACAGATTGACGTTACAACTAATGGTCATGAAAACCTTGTTCCCGTGATTTGCAAAGATTAATATAAAGGTTAATACAACTTTACACTCCCTTCTTCTGGAGGTGCAGAGGGAACATAAATAGTTGGTACCGATTATTTTTTCAGGAGCAGCTTCTTAGCAAAACCAGCTTTATACTGACCCTCGTTTATAAAGAAGTCTACGATAAATTATTCGCGCAAAAATATTCCCATCGTAAACAAAACTCAGCCACTGCGTCTTCAGCGGTTCAAATTTAGGAACATCAAAATGATTTCTGTGTTTGTTATTGCACCCAAGAACAGAACAACACAATCGCTTAGAGACCATTCTGCTCCAGTGTATCAACAATGACGGACTATGATGAGAGCTCGCTCAGGGCGAGTCTGTGTGGAAACTGCTGTCAATCAACAACCGTGGGAGGGGCGTCACACGGTGAAACGGCTCGATTTGAGACAGGGGAATCCATATAAGGAGATTAAAACAAAACCACTGGATGGATTTTTATCATTAAATGATGGTTGTGTGCAGGCACTGCCAACACACATTGCAGTACAATCAACTTGTAAAAGTGCATGTACCATTATATGACCCCTTTAAGTAGTGCTGTGCTACGAGGATATATTTACATATGGCGAAATAAACTATATAGTAAAATCTCTCGGTTTATACCGTGGACACGATATATACCGTCATAATGCCCAGCCCTAGATAGCACACACCCTTCTCTGTTTAGAGTTACTCAACTGCACAAAGGCCAATTCTATGCTAAAGGATGAACTCTTCTGAAATGCTAAACTATGCAACAAATGCAAATAAAATGACTAAAATCACACAATTAACCAGTTGCATGATATTTGCTCTGAGCTGATAATACAAGATGCTATTCATCAACCTAACAACAGCTGTTGAATACACATGGCATACAAAATTAGACAATGAACCGTGACCTATGACCTGTACAGTCAGGTGAGACAGTTCAAGGTTCAGAGGTTACCTTCTTCTTGAAGCTCTGCTCCACTTCCCATAGCTGGGCGTGTCTTTCAGACACAGCAACCTGCACCACATCCTGTTTTTTATTTATCCTGTTCCTCCAGTCTTCTTCTCCACTCTTCTTCAAGAGGGCCAGCCTGCAAAAGACAGAATCTTATGAACTCTTGCAGCCATCTTAATTATTAAATGTGTTGCCTTGTGAACACATTTGAGTTTATGATCTAATAAAAATTATTTACAATTTTAAATGCTTGAAATTAATTTTGTAGATGCATTTGAATTTATCCTACTTACGAATTTCTTCACAAAAATATTCATTTACATTTTAATGGATGAAAAAGACAGAATAGTGAAAATAAAAACAGCTAACAAGAGCCAAACATGCATGGGAACTGCTGGAAAAGCAACCCAGGAGGACACCTCACAAATAACGTCTAATTTGAAGAAGCTAACTGAAGAAGAAACTGTCATTCGTTAAACGACAGTAATTCGATTACCAATTTGTTTTGATTAAGTTACATTGAACTAAAGTCTGTGCCCCAAGCTTAAAATGACACTTTTTTGACATGGACATTTTTGTCATTAATGGACCTATGTGTAACTTTTTTTAATTGACGCACAAGGGTTAAGTTTAGATTTTTAAGTTTATTAAGAGTATTTATGTAATTTCATCATTTTAATAACTTTGCTATTATTTAAAAAAAAAAGGTAAAAAATTATGGTATATTTAAAAAAAACAATTGGGTGTGTTAAAACTTTTGATTATGATTGTATAACCAAACATGACAAACAGAAAATTATATTGCACATCTATCTCTGTTGAAAAATAAACAAAAACAACGCATAGGCATTTTTCATGCTTATTCACACACATTTAAGCCAACTCATTTCAAGTGTGGGTACATATTTGTATCTGCATACAGATGAGTGGTTTTCATTATGTCATTATTAATCAATTTAACCAGCTTGCGTCAGCTTGCTTCCTATGGCAACAGACAGCTGCCCATCAGTTACACAATACTTTGATCTCTAACCGTACACAGCAGTCCAGATCTGACTAAAACAAACCAATCAATGAAAATACACAACACCATATAGAGTTACACTGAAATGGAATATCTGTCTCTCTTCATCTGTATGCTTAATGTCAGACCACAACACAAGGATGCAGTCAGACGGTATCATTTCTATTAACAATGAACTAGTCTTAAGTCAAAAATTGTATAAGGACTTTGAGCATCTGATACGTTTCCATTTCTAATGTAATTTTTTATCCTAGCTCTCACTCTAAATGGAAAGGACAATGCAACTATATTTATTTGACATATATTCAAAAGACACACAGAGCAACCTACTTTCCACAAATAGTCAGTGGAACACAGTTTGAAAAGACTCCGGCACCCTCAAAAAATATACAATTTACAATGTCCTGCTTTATACAAAAATGGAGGAATATTTGTTTTCAACATCTATAGTTTAAAATACATTTTCCTATTCCAAGGACAAAACAATAATACGACATTCTTCTAGCTGACTTCCATATAAAAAACAAATCACAAACTTTTCAGAAATATCATTAGGGATATTTCACACTTTCATACACTGACCTGTCTTTGATGGACATCTGTCTGGCAGACATGATGTCTGAGAGCTGGTCTCCCTCCTCTGATTTAAAGTCTGTCTCCTGCTCTTCTTCTCTCCTGTCGTCCTCTAGGAGGGGTCCGGCTGACTCTGCGTGTGTGTGTTGTGCAAGAGAGTCACTCCGTAATGAGGATAAGCCCTGCGATACAGCTGGCGCTGCACGTACTGTGGCTGTGTGCACAGGAAGATCTGTTGAACACAGACACAGGAAAGGGTTAGAGCAGCTCCAGTGATACCATCAATAACAGCTCAGTGACAGGCGGAGCCACCACAGACACCCAAAACACAGCAAAACTCTCTCACACACATTCAGTCCTGTCAAGAGATGACGCTCACGTAAGCATGCGAATACACACACAGTAATGAACACTGTGATGAATAAGAACTGCTACACAGGAAGTGAGTGTCAGTTTCTAAGCATAAAGGGAAGCTTTGTTGCCAATGATGTGCAACATGTGGCTTACACAGACATCTTTCTGTCTTTTTAAAGGGGGGATCTTTAAAACCATCAGCCTGCATGACAGACACAAAACAGGAAGACGCAACAGAAGAGACGGACATCACATCCTATCCACACCTATCTGTTTTGTAGTCACATTGATATCAGCACAGAGCACATGTACAGCTGTCTCTGGAGGAAACCATCATAACAAGCCATCCCTGATAAAACAAAGTACGGTACAGTGTACATGATTGTCTGAATTGTAGAGTACGATTGGGTTAGATGAACTTTAATTTCCTCTTAGCCACATGTAACTAAATCTAAATGTTTTCAAAGTATTTTTTTTTATGGGGATTTGCAGGCACATTATTATTATTATTATTATTATATTTTAAAAGGTAAAGTTTGACACTTGGGGTAAGATGCAGAAAAAGCCTCCACAGGGTATGGTGTAATTTTAAATACTTAACTGGAATTAGCATTTACTAATTCCATATAACTCATCTTTTACATGTTTTCCCCCCTTGATTGTGATTGAGACCATTTTAATTTGAATGTTTGATTTATTCTTTTTAATTAAAGACACTTTTTCAAAGAATAGACAACAGTTATATGCTGTTTTTGAAAAGTCTCTTATACTCACTAAGGCTGCATTTATTTGATCAAAAATACAGTAAAAACATTAATATTGGTAAATATTATTACAATTTAAAATAACTTTTATTTTAACAAGCAAAGCTGAATTTTCAGCATCATTACTCCAGTATATTCAGGGTCACATGATCCTTCAGAAATCATTCTAATATGCTGATTTGGTGCTCAAAAAACTGTTGTGCTGCTCAATATTTTTTGTGGAAACAGTGACATTTTTTTCAGGATTCTCAGATGAATAAAAAAAGTTTAAAACAGCACTTATTTGACATAGACATCTTTTGTTACATTATACATGTCTTTACTGTCACTTTTGTACAATTTCATGCATTCTTAAGTATTAATTTATTTCAAAAACATCTCACTGACCCCAAAGTCATACTTGGCAGTGTAAATTATTAATAATGACATCAGATTTATTTAACATATTGAGCAAATATCAGATTATTGCTGGGACCTGACCCTTATCCCAGGGGGCTTTCTGCCCTATTTAGGGGCTCATCTTATAAGTGAGAATAATATAATATAATATAATATAATATAATATAATATAATATAATATAATATAATATAATATAATATAATATAATATAATATAATATAATATAATATAATATAATATAATATAATATAATATTGGATGATGTGTCTGTGTCACCAACCCGTACACACATCTCTGTATATGTCACTATTTACCAGTAAATATTCACACTGCTCTTACGGAGAGCATTTTTTCTTATTATTAAATAGGAAAATGAAAAAAATGAGTGCATAAAATAACAGTACAGACACACAGAAACAGGTCTACGAGGAAAGATGGCACTTAAAACACAAATCAAATACACCACCAATATTCCTCTACCTGACATGGCTGCCTTTGACTTGTGCTCTCCATCTGTTTCTGAGAGGTCCTGAGAGGTCACCAGCACCTTATTGTGCCCTTTAAGCTCCTCCCAGTCTTTGGCTGGCTGAGCGTGTGGTGTCCGTTTCATGGTCTCTGGAGAGGGCAGCTTCCTCTTCCCCATGTTCAATACCAGTCTTTCTCCTTGGGTCACCAGGGACACATCTGGACTCTGGTGTGACTGGATCTCTTGGGCAGGTTGAGGATGGTGAGGTGGGGAGAGGGTCTTCTCATAGTAGGCAGGGCCAGATACATTGGACATGGTCAAGTGGATGTCCCCAGCATGTTCAGTTGAAACAGTGGAGGATCTCAGAGCCGAGGTAGAGGTGGACGCAAAACGAGCTCCACCCGCAGGCTGCAGCTACAAGAGGACAACAAAAGAGTGATGGAGGACAGGAGCAGATGGTATTATAGGAAATAGAGTAGAAGGGAAAGATGGAAGGATTTGAGAGTAAACCGTGTGAGAAAGAAAAAGAAAGATAAGAGCAAGATGGTAGATTGAGGGGAAGGTGAAAGAGATGGGGTGAGAATAAAAATTGAGTCAGCAAGGGGCAGGAAACAGCACATTCATCAACAGTTCATCAGCACACGTGTCGATCATGCTGACTAATCAGAGGCTGACTTAGTGCATTTCCTGTAGCTGAAAGGCAAGCATCAAATCAGCCAGCCACTAACACAACCATTCACAAAACCATGCCCTTTATGCACTGAACCAAACTGTTCCCATCATGCCCTCAGAAACAGACACATTGAGTCACAGACTCAATCGATAATATGTCAACTCTACTGTGTCAGCAGGGCTTTAGGCAGAGCTGTGCATTCAGAACAAGATCACCGACTTCCAACTGAAGTAATCATTTAGCAAATTACGCTGACTCATTTGTCCTGTTAGCTTAAAGGTACACTGTAACTTTTGGAGCTCTAGCGGTTAATAAACAAAACTGCACTTGCCTTGTTGCAGAAGAACATTGAAGCCAGAGCTACTTCTCTCTGTTTATGTGTATGACAAGTCACAATACTGGGCTACTCCGCAGCGGTTGGTGTCCCGCTCGGCCTAAAATAGTCCGAATATAAACACTTATAGGCCGTACCGTAGTGATTCATAAGACAAAAACCGTTTCAAAGATGCATTCATAATGTACTCGCTTATTAAATAAAAGTTGTAAATTTGGAGAAAAAAAAAAAGTTACACAGTGTACCTTTAAAAACACTCAAAATCTATGATAAATATTCACATGATAACACTCAAAATATTAATATGATAGTAAAAATAGAAGGGAACAATAATGCATAGGGGTGGGCAGTATGATCAACATTTGACATCACGATACAGTAATAGTTTTTTTGCTGGTGTATATTTTTAGCTATGTGGTAATGCCCATTATTATTTAATGTAGCAGACAAATTCTTTGAAAATTAAAAGTACTTGTTTTGATTGATTTTCTCTTTTTACTTTACATTTTTATTTGTTTACTTGATTGATGCAAACCGAAAAAAATATATGATTGTACATAAGAAAACTCTTTTAGTTCTTTCATTTAGGGCATTTTCAGACCTGTAGATTGTTTGCTTTGTTCTGAAACCGAGACGTAAATTGTTACAATGTAGCATTTTCTTATCAGTCCATTTCGCTTTCACAATTCAACATTTTAAAGCATACCCAAAATGTGTTTAATCTAATTACATGTGAAATTGGTCCTGAGAGGACACCTGTTTGCGTTTAGAGATTCCACTCAATAGTGGTCATCCATCACAGATATCCAAATGTATATAAGCCTTGATTACTGTTCCAATTAATAAGTTACAAAGTATATATATGTACACCATATATATATACACACATTCACACATACACTGTCACTTGGGCAGTTATTTACCCCTAAATAGTACATATTAGTACCTTTTGAAAGGGTACCGCCCCAGTGACAGCCTTTGTACGTTTTTTCCCCTGATATATAAATAAAACAGCATCTTCCAAATTATCAATATGTGATTATCAAAGACAAAACATTATGACTGTTATTTCAAAAGAACAAAGACTGAAGCCTGTACTCGAGCTACCGGCAATCTGGAAATACATTCATATAGCAGCACACCAAGGATGATAACTGTAACAATAACGATAAGATACAATTTTAAAAATCATTCTAGATTTAAAAGAAAAGTCCACACCACGACTATAATGATAACACAGAGAAATTATTTTGGATTCACTTTAAAAAAAAAAAAAAAAAAAATCCAGCTGATGAATGATAAAGACTATTGAAAGCCAATCAGAATCCATTCTGCTTTAAAGACAGATCTCAAACACAGTGTTATGTTTTAGTGTAGTTATTGTAATAGTTATTGTTCTTGGTGTGAACAGGCCTTTAAAAGACTTCTTTGGGATTGTAGGATTTACATTTAAGCAAGATGCTTATAAGAAATTCCTGAATTCAGCCTACTGGCACATAGGGACATATATGCTGAAGCATTAGAACAACTGCTTCTAAAACACAGGACAATGGTTTTACTGCAGGCAGTGTAAAACCTTGGGTTCTATAAAGCATCATATGATTCTAGAGGACTCAGGCATCCTCACATGTTCCAGATCACTCAGATCCTCTGAGAACTCCGATTCCTCGTCAAACATCTCAGAACCAGAACCATCCTGCATCAGAAATAAACCCCTTTAAATGCTCAAAGCTCAATCATGTGCGTGTCTGTGTGTGTGAGAGAGAGAGAACCTGTGTACATTGTGTACCTGGCTGCTAATTGTTCAATCGACAAAATTTTTTTTTTTTTAAACCATCAGCTATCAAAAGTTTGTGGAAAGACATTTGTCAATGGTTAAGCGGTAGGGTTAGGCTGTCATTTTATCCCTCCGATTTTTTTTCCTTTTATAGTCAAATTTAAAATAAAGTGTGTCTAATAAGATTGGACTCTTTTTTAGGGGAAAAGTATTCGGATGACCTACTACTTTGCCAAAGATTCTGAAGGGCGTCCAGTGGACACTTTACTATCCCATTAGGCCACAGGAGAGGATTTGTGAATGTGGACGCATGTAGTGCGTCTGGATTACATTCATACTACACATTCATACTATATTGAATATAATCGTAATGAAGTATTTAAAAAAACTGTAGTGCTGCATCTGATTTTGAATGCAGCCTATGACTTCTACTAAACATCCTTTCTCTTACAGGATATGCATTTGTTGAGCTATGTCGGTTTCTGTCTGACTGGCTTTGTAGCTTCATTGTTTGTTTGCTTGTTTGTTTATTTATTTTTTGTCTTTTCTCTTTACCTCCAGTATTCAATAGACATCCACTATATGGCCAAAAAGCATGTCCACACCCAAACACCACACTCATATGTGCTTAATTTCATGACCAGTCATGATTCATGATTTAAATGACATGGAGTAAAGTACTAAACTGATGCAATTCTCATTTGAAACATGAATAAGCATGGTTTAATTATTCAATGAAGGGAGAGACATGGTACGTACCTGTTCAACCTCTCCAAGTGTGATTGGCTGAGTCTGGTACCGAGTGTTGTTTCTGCGCGCACGAGTGTCTCCTCTGGCCCGAGGGCCGTGGTTGGAAGGCTGTGCTAGGCGATTGAAGAGTGCCATCTTCTCTGCCAGAGTGAGCGTGGAAAGGTCTGGTTCCTCTTGGCCATCCTCCCCTGGGGATGCATGGCGAACTTGATCTGTCTCTGCCGCCTCTTCAGCCAGCCGAACCTCTCTGGCCTGTTCCCTCACCATGGAGGTTTGCTGAGACGATGCCTGCAAGCTGTATGACACATCCACAACAGACTGCTCAGGAACACTCAATGCGTTTCATATGAAATTCATTACATCACCTGGGCTAGGCGGCATGACTATTTACAATGTGCAATAAAGATAATAATAAAGAAACAACACCATGTTATCAAGTTACATATTATAGATTAAAAACACATGCATGGATAGACTATACAAGCAATTGTGATTCATGTAACAATTTGAATAAAGCAGTATAAATGTAACCACAAAGAAAAATTGGCAACATTTTGGATGTGTTGTTCATTCCATAGACATGTATTCATTTGTGTGGATAAATGGACTGTTAAACATTTTCATGCATAATTAATTCTCTTTGCATTAACATTATAGTAGCATGTGCAGACAAACATGTCATGCTGTTTTATATGCTCAACATGTGTCTGATGAAGCAAAAATAAACAAGTGGCATGACTTGAATCCCTCCCAGCAATGTCTCATACTTTTTCAAGCCATTCAGACCTAGTTGAGATGGATTTTTATTATTTCATGACTTTACAAAGCCTTACTAACAATTCCCTTATGTATACAAATCCGTGGCTAATATAATATAAAGTACTATCTAGATGCTTAACCAATACTGTAGTTCAACACAAGTCAGTGAAGATCAGAATCAGTTTATTTGTAGTCATTAAATAGTGGGTGTGCTAACTAAATTCTCACTCTTAATTCTAATGGTAAATTTAAGCATGACTTAATGTTAGACAAATGTTCTGTGTTGGCCTGACAGTACCAGAAGAGGGTGCTGCTTCTTAATTACGTCTGTCTTCCTACATAAACCACAATCCTTTGACAAGCACATTTTTAAAACTTAAATATATATACTACCCTTCAAAATTTGGGGGACAGTAAGATTTTTTTTATATAAATTAATACTTTTATTCAGCAAAGACTACACTTTTCTCATGGTGCATGGATCTACAGAGATTCTCTCAGCATGCTTTCAGTGACAATCATTAGTACTTGTAAGTGTGACTATGCCTGTATAACACACACGCTCATGTGAGTGTTTATATGCGTGTTCTGAGTACCTGAATTTGGTCACAGAGCTGTTGAGTATAGTGTGACTAGGAACACGCGCTACAGAGGTTTGTACAGTCGCGGACTGTGACAAGTGGCCAGGGACACTTTAAACCACACAGAGAAGGAGGAAAAGAAACAGAGAAAAAGGAAAAAAACTGAAGGAAACTGAAGAAAACAGATCAGAAATACATACACACCACATGAAGTAAAAGGAAGGGATAGACGTATGAAGGAAAAAATAGCATTGAGAAGAATGTACATCCATATTAATTTGTTTATAGATTCATGTTGTATGATGCTTTTCATTTTGGGGTCAGATTTCTTATCTTTTGAAAGATATGTACACTTTTATTCAGCGAGGACACATTAAATTGATCAAAAGTGTCAGTAAAAACTTATATTGTTACAAAACGTTTCTATTTCAAATAAATGCTGTTCTTTCGAATTTTCTAATCATTGACAAATCCCAAAAAACAGTTGTTTATGTGGTTCATCATGGTTTCAACAAAAATATTAATATATACGTTTCTTGAGCACTAAATTAATCATTTCTAAAGGATCATGTGACACTGAAGACTGGAGTAACTGCTGAAAATTCAGCTTTGACATAACAGATTTTTAAAATATATTTAAAATAGAAACAGATATTTTAAATTGTAATAGTATTTAACAATATTACTGTTTTTACTGTATTTTTGATTAAATAAATGCAGCCTTGGTGAACATAAGAGACTTCTTTCAAAACATTAAAAATCTTACAGACACCAAACTTTTGAATGGTAATTTATCTTGCCAAATTTTCATGTTGACTGTAAATGTGGAACCTAACAAATGTAAACATTTGAGTTTTCCCCCTCTAACTTAAAAAACTGCCTCACTTGAAAGATCTAACGGGTCACATACAGTATGAACTTACGTAGCAGCAATGACCACTTCCTCTGAGGTGACCGGCTGAGTGCGGGAGCGATCCTGACCTCTCCTCAACCTCCGCTCAACGGCAGGATTACGGCTCCATGCCTTCAGAACTGAACCATCTGAAGTCTTCTCCAGCTCCTAAGAAATAGTAAGACTTCATAAGAAATAGTTTTACACAATAACAAACTTTAATAAATAAATATAAATTATATATATATATACATACATATACATATACGTATATGTATATGTATATGTATATGTATGTATGTATGTATGTATGTATGTATGTATATATATATATATATATATATATATATATATATATACACACATACAGGATATCAAATCAAAAATTCCTTCTACTCAAGTTTTTACTGGACTCACTAAATTGTGTTTTTGGTCACATTTTCTTCTGGAGTTTTAAATGTCATATTGAAGGAATGTTGATAATAGTGGGGTAAATTGACTGAGGTGTGTCCTCTTTCACACACTTGGAATGCAAAATGAATAAGACCATTAACAGAAATACGAACTGAGTACTAGTACTGAGACCTAGTTATTTTTATTGGTGGCATTTTATTCAAATTAAATGTTTGTGAAAAAAAAAAAAAAAAACGTTTAGATATCAATCTGCATATGCGATGGACATGTGTTATGCTCCTCTTTGCTCACTTTTTAGGGTATCTTGAGTAAAACAGTTCTATATTTAACAAAGCACATACAAAAGGCCTGGACCGGAAGTGATGTGACATGTTTTACACAATACAGAAGTTTGTTGCGCATAACCTCCATTGTTAGGCACCATAACATGTTCTGAATCCAAAGGCTATTTTTAATGTGTGCTTTACGTAAGGGGCGATATATGAGTGGTATGCATGAGTGACCATTGATGGTGTTGATACCAACGAAGAGAGTTTCAAATAAATCCCCAGCAGAAAGAGCAGAAGCACTCTTCAGGGTTTGGAACAGAAGTACAGACATACTTAAGCACCACATACCCTGAAGAGAGAGCGTTTGGCAGCGACACTCAGCTTTGCTCTGTCATCTAGCTTCTCTTCATCCACTGGAAAAACAAAGTAGAGATGAGTCAAGCTTTTTCATGAGAACCATTTCATGAAACCCCATGACTTTCAGAGGACAACACAATACTAAACACATGGTAGAAATGTTACGCAAGCAAGTTTCTGCTTCTCCTCTGCTCTGAGGTTAACCTTAAAGGCACAACAGTGCAAAATAAATGCAATACATGCAATGTATTACATTGATATATTTTCTAACAAAGCCTAGCGTGACTACTGCAACACTAAAAGGGGTCTTATAAATTCATCCTTTTACTTTTAGCCAGAGGTCCACTTACAATGCTGAATCAGTTAATATACACTACTACACTTAACTGTTTATATAAAAATATCAAGGAAAACAGTAATATGATCCTTGAATGTTTTTTTTTTACATATTCATTGAGGCAGCACATTGAGTAACAACTGTTCAAAGGTCTGGGGTCAATATTATTTTTATTTTATTTTTCAAGAAATTAATACTTTTATTCAACAAGGAAGCATTAAATAGATTGATAGAAGTGAGTAAAAATATTTAGAATGTTACAAAAGATTGCAATTTCAAATAAATGCTGTCCTTTCAAAAAATCCTAAAAATGTTTTCTACAATGTTTGAGCACCAAATCAGCATATTTTGCATTTCTGAAGGATCATGTGACACTGAAGACTGGAGTAATGATGCTGAAAATTCAGCTTTGCCATTACAGGAATAAATCACATTTATATTATATTAAAATAGAAAACAGTTATTTTAAATTGTTATACAATTTCACAATATTGGGGTTTTTACTGAATTTTTTTATCAAATAAATGCAGCCTTGGTGAGCAGAAAAGACTTGCAATAAACATTCAAATAAAATCTTATGGAGCCCAAACTTTTGAACGGTATAGATGTTTGTTTCGGTGAACACTACATTGCGATGCAAGTTGACATTGCTTACACATACAGTATGGTTAGAAAAGCAAAGCAGTAGTTTTAACAGATCCAGAGGCCCCAGAAAGTAGGTCTGTTGCTCTCTGGAGTATTCATGGATTCACTAAACAGAAGCAGTTTGGCAGAGTTATCTTTAAAGTCACAGTGCCATGTCTCCATAAGCTTTTCCAAGTGAAAATGTTTCCCAGTCAGTTTAGACTCAGATTAACAGGAACTTATTGTATGTAATATTAACAATGTCTATTTATACAACAGTGGTGCACAGATATGAAACAAATGCAAAAGTTATGTAATGTTATTGCATCATCCTGCACCATCACATAATAAATCTAAGACAGCATCTAAAGCTTGCTAGAGTGACTTTCCATTTTAAAAAGTCATAATAGGAAAACATGCTGAAAAAACGATTTTGTAGTGTATGCAAGCAAAAAGACTTACCCTCAGGGCTTAGTGATTCAGGGCTTGGACAAGACCTAAAGAGAACAAAAAGTAAAGTCTTACAATTAAACTCTTATAATAATTTTCCAATCCTTACCGATCTGTTTAATTGTATCAACCAGCTGATTAGGAAAAAAATTGCAACAAATGCAGCAGCATATTTAGGAAAAGAGGAATCAGGAAAACACAGCAGCTAGTGGGAAGGTGCAGAAAACACATCAGAACCGCTTAATCCACAGCGTTAGACAGAATTATAGATTTCGCCACATGCCACAGAAACAAGAGAGGAAAAAAAAATACAAAGAACCTTTCATAAAAACCACTGACCAAACATTTGGATTAGAATCCACTACACATAAAAACATTATACAGCGTGTGTATTATATAGCATTAGAGATAGTAAGCCAAAAGCTAACTTTAATCAGTGAATTTGTAAATACAGTGCCATTAGAAAAATAAAAGTACTAGACATGACACAAGCCAACGTTTTCTGGGTTATTACCAAAAACAATTTATTAGACTACATCAAGTGTAATTTTAATGTGCACTCCAGGCTAAATCCACAATAACGTGCATAAATCTACTCATGAGGCCTACCGGTCCAACTGTTCACGCTCAGTTGATGTGATTGGCTGAGTTCTAAACCTCTCAGATGTCTTTCTATTCTCAGTGGGACAAATATACCGCAAAGGGCGACGAGATAACCGATCTTTGACCCTCTCACTTCTCCAGGGTGCCTCTGTAACCACAGGCAGCTCTTCTGCCCTATTATGTCACAAAGCAGGACTGAATGAGGCAGCATTGAAGAATGGCAGGTGCATAGGCATGACAGAGCAAAACACCAGAGCTTGATGAACTATTCATCTGAGCATCCTCATAGTGGGTTAAATGAACAACTGAAAACAAACATCAAAAGTGGTTAAGAATTATTCTGTCAGCACATTTAGCATAAACATCCAACATTGTCTCTAGAAAGGCAAGGATGCCAAGCAAAGGTGAGACAAAAGACAGGAAGAGATGGTTAATTATTATTGACAGTGCACACTAGTCAAGCTGAGCAGCATGATAGCTAAAGGAATAGAGCATTCAAATCTGCTGGTTAACTCTGAATGAGCGATTCCTCTGTAATATTACGGTATTTTCCTTCATTTAATTCTCAGAGCAATTACATTATGAGATTTTGATTGTTAATCGTCAATGTTAGACAGGTTAGTAAGTCGATACATCATAATAATGTACCACCACCTACAGTTCGGCTTTCCGGGGACTCGCAACACTTTCCAGATAGGTGTGGCGAAGTTTGGCCACTGAAACCCTGGCATCATGGGATAGGTGATCGCCATTGGGCACAGCCTCTCTGACTGGGTCCTGGATGGGGTTCTCTTGAAAAGCTGTCTTTTGGACATTTCTAACATCCAGGGGTTTGGATGAATTTGGCATACATCTCCCTCTGGAGGTCTGAACTGGGGCGTAGCAGCTAGCGTCAGCCCACTTATGGGCCTCTCGAGCTCTTGCTTGCATAGACTCTTCAGCCTGAAGACGGGACACATGCTCTGTGTAAACTTCCTGCCTTGACCGACCTCCACGCCACCCTCTGGGGTCATCTACAACACCCTCGCTCCTGTGCCCACTGATGCCTGGATTTACCTCCATGTTGTCAGCACCTCCATGGCACGAGTCTTCTGTGCTCCGTTCTTTATGTCGAATCTCAGAGGGTAAAACGGCCTTCCTGCTCCGCAGTAGCCCCTCTGTCCTCACATTCTGTTTTCCCTCCACTTCTTCAAGTACTTCCTGAATCTCTAGTTTATGCCTGGAACCAGGTTCACTACCCATAGAAAAGTAGCTCTGGCACCCCAGGTCATGGCGTTCCTCTTTCCCAGGGTGGGTCAGCCGCTGCTTGGCTGGAGCATCATGGAGGGTCCGAGTGTGTGGGTGATATTGAGGGTATGCCTGGTATGCCTCTGTTGTTTGACCCCTGTGAAATGGCTCGTCACGGGCCAGTCTCTCCCTAACTCGGATTCTTCAGAAGAAGAGAAAAGGGTTGGTTACTTAGAATAAAATGAATAAATAAAATAATTTTAAATAAAATAAAATAAATAAATAAAAAATAGAACTGTTTCATGGGCCTGGAAGTAAGTGAAAGAGAAAGAGTCTGATCCAACCAAAACAACCCTTAAGCCACAGAACCAGTTGAAGCATCTCAATATGGTTTGTGCTTATTAGAATGTGGTTAAAAGCAACCTTGACAGTATTTGGAATAAAAAGACACTAAAAGTGTGTCAAAGTGGATGTTCTCAGTGGTCGAAATAAGTAGAACCATGTGAAAAATTGTTTCGCTCACTGTAAAAAAAGAAAATCAAGTAGCAAAACAAAACAACCGTGATATGAAACATAGAACATACATCATGTTAAAACAAATAACCATCTTGAAACAATCTTAAAAGTGGGGTTGTAATCAAAACATTATAAACAAAGGTTAGTTCTTTGGTTCAGGGTTTTTCTTACTACTTGATGCGAAAGATCCTTAAATATGATGTTCTTCTATGCAAGGGACCCAATTATTATAATATAAATCAGCTATATTTTCATGTATAATGAGCCATTTACACTGTGTGAGGAAAAATAAAGAAAACATGTTGTTTGCTAAATTAGCTTTGATATTTGTTTTTTTATTATTTATATTCATATTATATCAAGGCCAAATTAAATTAAAATATCACATGGGAAAAATATAATCCGTTGTCCTTGATGTATAAACCAAAAGAGAAATAATTTCAGCTTAAAACAAATATTTGTAAATATTTTTTTCTCCCAAATTTTCTGTGGACCCCAATCACCTTGCGGCATCCCGGACCGCAGTTTGAAAACTCTCATTCTGACGACAAAATTCAACAGATTCTGCTTCGAGGATTTTGTATAAGTATATTTATGATCCTCAAACCATTTTCAACATTTTGATACATAAAGGCGGTTTCTTCCCTGTATATTATCGTATAGATTTCTAGCTATGGGCACCCTAACACCCAGTTAATTTCACACTACACAGCGTTTTATTACATGCTGGGTGAGGTTTGCTGATAAACTATGGTAGCTTAGTTTGTGATGACTGGCTCTTTAGGTTTAGGTCAGCAGAATCAATGCTCTAAGCAGGGGGAGGCAAAAGACTCTCTCATCCAAAACCTTTTGCAGTTAATGCACTACCAGTGAAGTGAGAAAAGAAAATCTCCTATAATACTTTTAAAAGACATCTGTTTATTTCAGAGTTACTCTCTGTGTCTACCTCTTCTTTTCCACCCATTCACCCAATTAAAAGCTCAAATTCCATTAGCTGAGAGCTACAATACTGTTAAAAACAGACTTTTTAAGCAACCCAACCATCTACACATCACATCCTTTTGTATGAGTTGTATCCCACACTCCACTAGCTGCTAAAGTCTGTTTCTCCTGACCCAAGCTTGACGGCTGCCATCTATACACTTACACTACAGTTTTACATGTGGTAACATGCACTCTTGCTGGGCTCCTCTGGAACCCTGTTTAAGTGAAACCATGCTCTGCACTGTAATTGTTGAGTCATGTGAACTGTTTTTAACCTCATCTAAGTGGACTGCATTTTCAAGACTAAATTAGAAAAATGGCTGTAACAAAATGCAGCCAAAAATTATGTTTGGGATATGGTTCATGAAAAGGAAAAAAAAAGTGGTTGAAAAGAAATGTAGCTGTGCGGTAAATGCAAATATAAAGACAGAAGATCATTTCTGTTGAAAGGGGTCATGAACTGCATTGTTTTATAATGTTTCCTGGGGTGAACTTATGTTATTATGATTTTTGTAATTTAGAAATAAAAGGCATTTTTCCAACCCTGATTTTAGCCTTCTGATTTGAACGCTCCGTTTTAAGGGTCGTGTCTGCAGTGAGACTTCAGTGTAAACGCCCATTGCTGTGATTGGCTGACATCTTTGCATATAAAATAGCTAGTATTACAAGCGGAACTCGAAAACTTTTAGCACGTTTTTATTATTACAGCTTTCAAGGTTAAAGGACAACTCCGGTGCAAAATGAACCTCGGGTGTAATAACACATTGGTACAGACTAAATCGTTCCCTGAGATTTGTTTTCATGATAATCGAATATAAAGAGTTTTATCTCTAAAAACAGTTTAGCTTATAACGCTAGTATATTGGGCATCGAGTAAGCAAAAAGAGATCGCTAGTTAATACCATTAACAAGGCTCAAATTAGCCCCACACTAACACGGCAGCATAATGAGTGTCCTTACATGCAAACCGAAGCATTGAGAACTTTGTAAGTGTATAGACAGTTTAATAAGAAGATACTTTACACAGACAGTACAGTTAGCGCATACAGACAGCAGCCATCTTGGAAAACAGCCTCGATCAATCGAACCACGAAGGTGAGCGAACAGTACGTGTAGATATTGAAGATAAGATAAATTATATATTTTTTTTTATTTTCTCTGTTGCGTTCAGTGCTTCTCTTATGGGCTCAGTGCTTTCTTCCGGAAACAACGGACCATATGAGATTCCAAGTCACAGTTCAGCTCACGTATCACCGTGTTCGTGGTTTGACTGATCGAGACTGTTTTCCAAGATGGGTCCTGTCTGTATGCGCTAGCTGTACTGTCTGTGTAACGTATCTTCTTATTAAACTGTCTATACACTTACAAAGTTCTCAATGCTTCGATTTGCATGTAAGAACCCTCATTATGCTGCCGTGTTAGTGTGGGGCTAATTTGAGCCTTGTTAGTGGTATTAACTAGCGATCTCTTTTTGCTTACTCGATGCCCAATATACTAGCGTTATAAGCTAAACTGTTTTTAGAGATAAAACTCTTTACATTCGATTATCATGAAAACAAATCTCAGGGAACGATTTAGTCTGTACCAATGTGTTATTACACCCGAGGTTCATTTTGCACCGGAGTTGTCCTTTAACTAATCGTGAAAAGTTGATTATAGCATTATACTTAGATCTATGGCATTATATTTAGATTGTTGCAGTGATGAGCAACAATGTAGCCGATCACAGACATGTTGAGCGCATGAATGCAGTGATATCGTCATTGCAACACGATTTCTGGGCTCTAACGAATACTTATCATTCCTAACAGTGAAAACACAATGTTAATAAGAGATTTGTTGATTATAACCAAAGAATATAGGAGCCATTCTACCGAAAGGGTGACATTTCTGTCCTCAGGACATTAAATGTATAAAATTGCATGAAATTTAACTCTAAAAGACATTTTATTATTAAGCAAAATGTCCTGCACATTAAGCTAACTACAAATTTAAAATGTATAATTAAAAACATTAATAAAAACTACATGGAACACTAAAAAAATAGCATTTTCTGCATGTCCCCACTCTTTATCTCTAAAATTTACCATGAAATATGATGATTAAAATCCTTCAGAAATCTTAATTTGTTTGCATTGTTGTGTGACTTTATATCCAATCTATGCTTTAAAATGTTTTTTTTTTCATGAGAAAAAAATATTTTATCTAATATTTTAGATAAAATACAATTTTTAGTCCTGTCCCCGGGTTTTCACTCAGTCCTGTTATCCTAACACATCCCCCCCTCTGAAAAATTTGGAATATTCCACAAGACACATTTTCAACAGGAAGTTGGATCATCTGGATCTTCTGAAGGCAATGGGAAGACCATAAGTAAGTCCTCTCATTTTAATTTCTGTATATTTGATGAAATTGTAACTATGACTGAGAAGGTAAATCTCAACATACTGTCCTGTTACCTAAATTATTTCTTAGATTTTATTTGTTTATTTTAAAAATATGAACTTTTGGTAAGTCACTAGAAATTGCTCAGTGTCCTCATACTGTTAGCATGTATGCTATGTGACCATATGGCATGTATTTGATAACTTTTTGCTTAAAAACTCAATCCTGTTACTTTCAGTCCTGTTGCTTATATGAATAAATAACAGGAGTGAGTTAAAGTAACAGGAGTGAGTAGAGTCCTCTGTTTTGTTGATTTAATACTGTAAATATTAGTTTATATAATACTATTCACCTGAATTATGAGTTTTAAGGTTGCAATACTTATATTGTAGACATTAGCATTAGTTTTATAATGTGAACACCATACTTCCAGGAAGCCAGTCCACCACGAGGTAACTTAAACGTTGTGTCTTTGTCTTTCTTATATTTTGTAGAAAATGGAGAAAACCCATACTATGCAGGTGCCAGAAACACACACCTATGGCATATTGCAATGGAAGGAGCGAAACCGCAACCCTCTCTTTTCCCCCTTTTTTGTCTTAACTTCCCTCTTTCTCCCTCCATCTCTCTTCTTCTCTCTCTCCTTCTTTCTCTTTCCACCTCCTTCTCTGTGAAGTACTTCTAGCACATAGTACATCACTTCAACACAGAAATCTTATGCACACACAGTCATGTAGACTCTCTCTAATACACACACATATGGACGTTCATTCCTGTTACCAAGTGTTCATTCCTGTTACAATGTGTTCATTCCTGTTACTATTTTTTTTCTTTTTTCTAAAAAAATAAAGTTAAACCAGTGTTTTTATCAGTTTTGTTTGGTCCATCATTTATACAATAGTTTAATAAATTAAATTATTAAAACAATTGTAAACTTGAGGGTTTGGTCTTCTTTAAAATGAAAAAAATGGCTTTGTGTTTTTTATTAAAATACACCTTGCCTTAATAAATAGTGATTTTTTTCCACAAATATCAATTATTTAAACATATAACCAACAATTTCTTTAAAATAAACACTTTCTTGTGGGGAAAACAAAGGAATTAATTGACATGCTTTTAAACATGCTTTTTAAATGGCACATGAGTTTCGGTAACAGGACTGAGAAAATATGTGTCCATCTTCTGCTTAAACCTTGTAAAAAAAAAAAAAAAAAGTTGGCTGAGATTGACCAATACACATTTTGAATAGTTAAATATGTGTAGTATTAGATTCAGTGTTGAAAAAAGATAAAAAATCAAGTTTAATTTGGAGAGTTACAACAAGCAAATGTCACCCATTCGGTGGAATGGCTCATAGATAAAAGGGATTGTTATAACGGGAGTTTTGGCGAGAGTCCAGAACTCAGTCACTGATAAACTTGAGCGGTTTGAGAGCTTCAGCGATTTTAAAGGAAGTGTTCTTTGATCACTTTCTATATATAACTTAATCACAGTTTAAATAAAAGATTATTTTCATCATACTAAGAGAAACAATGTGAAGTTGACCGTTTAGTCACTGCTGGTTTGATTTACTGACACAAGGACAGTAGGCTACATGAATCATTAAATATCAGGAATCACTGGTCACAGATCAGGCATTAAAATGAACAATTACTTACATGTGGTCGCATTACTGTCGAGTCCATATCGTAAAAGTCTGTTTGCAAAGCCTGCGCCGAAATTGCCACTGATTTACCAAAGAATCCACCGTGAAATATACTGAATACATATAAATAATGCTCAACTGAGACATTCACATTGTTGAAAATAAAAAAACACTTTTCTACCATTAGGATCCTTTTGAAGGTAATGTTATTTTTATTCCAGTGATCCTGTATCACTCTTCTCTCCTCATCTCACTAACGCGCGAGTGGGCAGGGCCAAAGTTGCATTGATGAAGTAGGCATTGATTTTCTTCTGCAGAGGCTCTCTTTCACCAATGCGTCATTTGCTTCTTTGGACTAACAAGGACGTTTCCAGTTCTGAAACTTACAGGATATTCTTTTAGTATGATGACCTCTTATATGTCAAAAGCTCAAGGAAAATTTGATTTCTCAGTTCATGACCCCTTTAAAGCTACGAACATTAACATTTTAAACATTTGCAAGAAACATCCAAAGGCCGGGGAACCTAACAGACAAATAAATAAATAAAGATAAATTAGATTAACTTAAAAAGCATCTACATCCCAGACTTGATCACTATAACAAAAGGAAACTGTAGTTTTGTACTTTTATTTTTAGAAGGTTATACTTGTGCAAATACTCTGCAGAATCAGGGGATGAGGTGGAGATGGAGAGCCTATGCTACTCTATTTTCACTCTATACAACTCTTTTATCTATGCCTGGGTTTGTCAATGTCAGCAGACATTAAGTGACAAGGAATTGCAGAGGAGGAAAAAGCCCACAGTAAATAAACCACTAGACTAGTAAAGTCTGGGGAGGAACATAAAAGAATAGAAAGTTAGAATGAGAGAATAGGGGCAAAAATAGAGAGAAAACTGGTGAGAAATGGGAACACAAATTGTGTGTGAAATGATTCCCAGAAAATGTGGCTCTGGTGTTTTGCATGACTGATCAAGTTATCATGCTCTCCATTTGACATATTGAGCTAATGCAGGCCGAATTATCTACATTTACATTCTTGTCAAGTTTGGTGACTCATAGCTCAACAATTTTCTCACCACAGTATCACAAACACAAACTCAAGTCACGCTTGATTCAACAAGGTACTGAAAAGCAATATGAGAACCAAACCTGCCATGTAGGGATAAACCACACACATTGGACTCATTGGACAGTGGACTGTGAATAAAGTATATTAGAAAAAGTTAAAGGTACACTGCAACAAAAGGGTCTGAATGTTCAATGATCAAATTCAAACCCACAGCACTCATTAACAGTGTGGATGGGATGAGTGGTAGAAATGTGTGCGAGGATGGCCATTTTGTTACTGAGATGATGAGCCCAACTCAAAACCACTCCCTAAGCCCTTTACCTTGCTGGTTCCAAGCAACCTGACAGACTAAACCAGGGGTTTCCAACCTTTTCTTGAAAGCCAACCCCCCTGTGACTGAAAATATTTAGGCCCTATTTGAGGTACCACCTCAGATTTTGAGCAATGTATAACAAAAATAATACATATCACAACATCTCTGCATATTCACTTTCTTTAATCCAAGTCTGGGGTCGGTAAGATTTTTTTTTTAAATGTTTTTGAAAGTTTTAAAATGCTTACATTTTCACCAAAGCTGCATTCATTAGATAAAAAAAATAAAGTAAAAACTGTAAAATATATGTGCATTAAATTGATCAGAATGAATTTCTTCAACCCCAAACTCTTTAAACGGTATTATATATAAAAAACAAATTACACCTTTTATAGTTTTCTTGTCACTGGCCTTTAGACCGGAATCAAAAATCCATGCTTTGAAAACAACGCCAAGACTACGGCAAGAGAGAATAATTAAAATGGAATTGATTTCATCATCATACAGCACAACTGTCTGATGCATTTTACTTACAAAAAAGGCAAGAGCTGGCTGACGTTGCATGACTAACAATTTCCAGGAGTTAGTTTGCACAAGTTTTTATTAGCTCTTTGTAAAACCAGGTTGCTACAATGATCACTTAATAACTACTAGTTGCTTAATTTACAACTTTGTCTCAGTCTTCCAAGCTAAGTGTGGTCCCTAGCTAGAATAACGTGCAAAGTGGACCAGACTTTTTTTCCCAAATAGTTAATAATCCAATAAACCACTAGAAAACACATGACTCCTATCATATTGTCACTCTCACCTCAAAATCCAACAAGGACTTTCATAGGACAGGACTAGAGGAGGGTTTGAGATAGGGCCATGAAGTTAGGTGGGACCACTGTTAAGTGAAGGGTGTCAAACACACCCATAAATCCCAAATGTATGGTACCTGGAAGGCCAGTTGATTGGAGAGAGGGTGTCTCCTTCTGAATCAGTCTGAAGTGACCATTGGTTGGCTGACTGGCTACGGGAGCTAAATCAGTTGAGAAACACCCAAAATAGTGAACTACTCAACTGTTTATGCGTAGGGAGGGGGAGGGGGTGGTTCGGGGGCTTAAAAAAAAGAGGGGGAAAAAACTTGAGAAACCAGGTTCCTGAAAAGAAAGTAGGCCCTCAAATAAATTATGAAAATGAAGTCTGGCTTGCTGGGAACTGGGTTTTAAAAGGCCAAGTCCTCATTTGTTGATATTAACTAGCCAATCTAACTTTATACTGACATTATGAATGGGCTCTGGGTCTTTCCTGAATATCATTCTTTATCATATTCATTTGTAATTTTTTGGCTTGACTTCATGCCAGGAATTTAAATTTGGCTGGAATCTTTTGTTGCTTAATTTGGCAAGCACTTTAAATCCAAAGCATCACACAAAGCATTGACCCATGCCATAAAGAAACAGCTGCCAAATGACAGTAAAGGTCAATGCTAATGTTTCATACTGAATAGAGCCCACCCATCTTTAAGGAGTAGTAGAAACATTCCTAACAGTATGCAAGCCAAATCCTGCAAACTGACGGCTTTCTTTTGGGGAAAACACCTGTGAAAGACAGATTCAGGGGAATACCAGCCAACATTCTTTAAAAACGGAAAGAATAATAGAAGAAAATTAAGATACTGACATATCAAGATTCTACTTGGTGACTGTAAGATGGAGAGACAAAAAAAGAAGAAGAAACAGCTAACATGTTAAGACTCACCTGTGTCTTTGAAGGATGTTTTGAGCCTGCTGCTCAATAAAAAGATCACCAGGAGATGCTTCCTGTTTGGGAGATGGCATCATGACCCTTCGACCTGTATTAGGCGAGCTGGGAACCCCCATCGCCCCTGGTTCCCTCCCTGGAACCCTGGCAGACCCAGACACATCCATATATGCAGATGGGTCAGGTGCAACCCCTCCACTTTCATGCAATCTATTCCGCTCTAGGGCCCTCCTCTGGTTCTCCAGATTCATCATCCTTTCGCGCTCAGAGATGGAGTCTGTGCGTTCTCTGCTGTATTTTGGATCGGTGTGAATGTGAGAGCTGGCCCTATCTACATGATGGCTGGTGGTGTAAGCATTTTGCTCCACTCTGTCTTCTCCTTCTACACTTGACCTGTGTTGTCGGTCTGAGCTGTCGGGCTCTCTGGAGGTTCTGGAGTAGCGAGCGGAATAGTCGGTTTCTGTCTCCTGATCCAGAGAGATGCCATAGCGCTCTGCTAGTTGACGGCGCCGTTCTGCCTTGTAGCGAGCAATCCTTTCAGCTTTAGAGTCCAGCTCTGCCACATGAGTGGAGCTAGTGCTGTAGACAGACTCCGGTTGGACTGTGTAGGTTCTGGACTGAACCTCTGCACTGTGCGGATTTGGGAAGTTTGGGTCATTTTTGCTATAGTGCTGAAGAGAAACTGCGATGAGAGAGAAAAGAAGGCAGTTTACACTAAATCAATTTGCCCAAATCTTTAACTTTAAGTAACCAAACACCAGCTAATCAACCCAAACCTATCATCATGTGTGTTGATATGCACCATTTAATTATTATTAAGGGTGTACTCACACTAGGCACAGTTATCTTGTACTGAGTGCGATTGTCCCCCCTCCACACTGCCCCGCTGGCCTGCACTCACATTGCACTCAACGTTCCGGGCCGGAACACACTTACGTCATTTACGTTACAACTTTTTCTTTTGAAGAAAAGCGTTTTTCGCAAATAGACTTATCTAATGGATTTATCATTTATGCCGCGCAGTGATTTTTACTTTATTGTGCTGCACATATCAGCGTATCACATATCACATATCATATTATTACGGCGGCAGAAGACTATGGAGGAATTTGCAGCTATACTCGCAAACTACAAATCCTGTTCGTCAACAAGGTGAGAACCAGACACAAAATACTCAAATTAATTAAAAAGTGTACTAAGTAATAATGGAAGATGTTTGCTGTCGTAATAATGATAGTAGCGCACACGAATAGTAGCCGTTCCGTGCTCCGGGCCTACGGAGCGATCACATGCGCTCGGGCACGTTTCAGATCGCCATGTGTGAGTACACCCTAAAGGCCTGTTCACACGGGACGAATTTCACGCGCGATATTCGCCAACGTTTAATGCCTCGTGACTAAACAAAGGGCGCCAATGTGAGTGTGCACACCAACACGAAAAACGCCACGCGTAAAAGCGTCATTTTTTTAAAAACGCCTCGGGTTCGTTTTTTTAGTTTGACGCGCCGCGTCAAAAACTATCCGACCAATGAGATTGGCGCTTTTGCTCACGTGTCTGGAGCTTCTGAAGTTACAGTAAAACACAACTTGGGGGTGCTCAAACACAAAACGGTCTTGCCGAGCACACATATACGTAACGGCAAAGAAGATATACGCCAAGTAGCGTCTACACTGCCAGGAAGAAATAAGACGAGGAAGATGCAAGGCAAGATGAATGTAGAGCTGCTGGTCTCGGAACATAAAGAACTATATGACAAACGCGACAGCGACCACAAAAACCTTGATAAAAGAGAATGTTATGGAGTGGTATTGCAGAGCAAATGGGCGCCATCTAATGTCAGGGAATGAATTTGCATGTTCACTCGGCTCATCGTCAGCGAAAATCGCTTGGGTGTGAACAAAAAACGCGTTGAAAAACGCTGCCGAATAACGCGGGCCGATATTCGTCCCGGTGTGTACGAGTCTTAAGATGTTTAGTGTATGTCATTTCTCATTGAGTTTCATTTCTCACTGTTATAGAGGAGTGAACAAATCTATTAAAAAATAAGCACATTTCTCACCTGTACAGGGGTCACAGGTGTCTGCTGCACGGGTATATCTAGGAGTGTCCTCCTCTAGCATTCGATTGGTTACTAGACCGCCACAGCCTGGGAGATTTTGGAGAACATCACCATCGATTCCCTCCAGACGCCGTGCAATTCGTTCTTTCCTATAAACAGGAGTGCTAGTGTTAAGGATATTTCTCAATCTAGGAAAAACATATAATTACATATATTTTTAATGTTTCTGAAAGTAGTCTTTTGTCTTTTAACAAGGCATCATTAATTTGGAATTAAAAATAGAGTAAAAATAAAAGTAATATTTTGAAAAATCACTGCAATTTAAAATAACTTTCTATCTGAATATATTTTAAAATGCAATTTGTTCCTGTGAATGCAAAGCTGAACTTTCAGCAGCCATTACTCCAGTCTTCAGTGTCACATGATCCTTCAAAAATGTTTATTATACATTTAATTATTTTGGGGCATGTATGCTACTTTAAGTCTGATGAAGAGCATAAAGCTTGAGAAGTTGTGTAGTGGGAGGAAAATTAAAGTGTATTTTGGCAATAACAGCATGCAGGCAATTTTGTGATTATGTTATTCTCACCAAACACCAGCAATAACTGAACTTTGGCTGTGCATGCTTTGTAAGACTGATTTAACTTCTCACCTGTTCATGTCCCAACTCTGACTCGTGCTTATACTCTCAAAACGTTTCCTTAATTCTGAGACTAAAGAGAAAAAGAAAAGTGATGGATGGGTAAAAGAATGAGACAAAAGAGGGAGGATAAATAGGATAAATCAAACCATTACAAATAGTGAAACATATTGTACTTTATATCACGTATTTGTGATATTTCAACTCAGAAATGTAAGCAAAGCAATCAGAGCTTACTGTATACTGTAAGATGCACAATGTTTCACCCAACATGAGCACAATCTAAAGACTGGATAGTAATCCAATTTTTACACAATTGAGCTTTTCTGTATTTAATACCAAGTCAGGTTTCATGATGTATCTGATGTATTACACTAACCCTCCAGCCTAGTAAGTACAGTACACTGCTATGTCCTTTCAGTGACACATTTCCAATAATAGTTGAGGTGACAGAAGTCCAGTGTGTTATCTGAAACAAAAGCTGCTTACACTTAAGTCGTCTGACATTAGCTAGGAGAATGGCTGCATTTCCACAAAAGTTAGCCAATCATAGGTGCATCCTCAGTGAGTGTTGTTTCAGCAGCATGGGAATATGACACTCAACTATGTCCTGTCACTATAGTGACCAGTGAAGTGATTGAGAGGGGACTCATCATGGGCTAATGTGTACACGACACACTAACAGTGCTTCCTTAGCCTGGGGCCTATACCATGAAGCCGGTTTAGGTGGCTAGCCAGGTACATTTCAGTTTAGTTAGCGCCAACCCTGGGTTTTAGGCACCATGAAAGTGGTCTGGCTTTAAGCAGTGTTCATCACCATAACGCTCCACGGATAACCTGGTCTGGGCCAGGTAATGTTCCAGGTAAGAGGTTGCAAACCGAACTTGGGCCAATCAGCTGTGAGGAAAGTGACATGTCTGATGCCATAAAATCACTCCACCTGTTTCTACTCCAAATTAAAAGGTCACTACATAGCAAAGGATTTTAAAGGACAAAATCGTCTGGCTTTTAGTAATGCTTGTTTAGAATAATACATTTTTATGATTTAGATATTATTTATGTAATTATTATACCCTCAATCGATCACACATGTACAATTTTAGTTCATCAATTATTACGCAGAGTTTAAATGAATAAATATATAAAAAGGTAATATAAATGCGCTTTAGAATCAATAGATGAAGCTATAAAATAATGACGTGAGCTTAAATGTTCAATTCTCTCTATACCTTCATCAACTGTATAAACTAACTTCACAACTTTTACTTGCACTGATATACAGTAGCGATACTTTTTCTTTTAGTTGTCCTCTTTCATTGACAGCTATTTTCTTCTTACTGTGTAAATTTGTTTAAATTCTTAATATTTTAATACTTTTATTTAATAAGTGAATTTTATAAAAATGCTTCTCTCGCAAGAAATGAATTTCAATTCAGTTTTGAATGAGTTTCACTCTTTCTCAGCGTGATTGGCTGTTCGCTACTGATGTCACACCTAAACTCCTTAAGTCAGGATCAAAGCCTCAGTTGACAGAAAGTTGATGATCAGCATCATGGTACCAACAAAGCCTGGTTGGATTGGTTTGGTCTTTTCAACTCAAAACTAATCCTGCAACCCTGAGTTTGTTCAACTACCATCATGGTACAGGCCCCTGGTCTCTTTGGTATTCAAAGCAAATATCTGGGTGGTGCAATGAAAAGGATTTCCTTTTTTTCCCTTTCCCTTTCACATAGTCCAGTAAGGCTAAAGTGCATCTTACAACTAATTGCTTAGCTTAAAGGCACAAAATGTAATTTGAGACGCTAGAGGTCACGTTCAAACAGGCGTATAGCTTGATGACACTGTGAAGGAGCTTGGAATGATGGGAGCTGACGTCCTCAACTCCACTGCTAATTAGGGCTGCGTGATATGTTGAAATTATCGAAATATCGCAAATATACATATCGCGATATGCATATCGCAATGGCTTGCTAGAAACAACAGAGTGGCATGCTAGACGCTGCAACAACTACTAGGCCTACTGTATTTTTTTTTTCATGAGACTCACTGTATTGCCATGGTATCTATGGCAGTAAAAACCATTTTCTGAAATGGGAACACCTACTGTTACCTCATCAAATAAACAAATAAATTAATTGATAAATAAACAAAAGAGAGAGAGATTCACATTGTTAGCCTTTGATCAGATTTCACGATTCAATGTGGATTGCCAACCACAATCCGTTTTATCATAACAAAAAATATTTCTCAGAGTGACTTGATTTCATCCATCAGGAATTAATTGGATGGTGAAAAGTGTTATGTACTAGAATGGAGCCAAACCAAATGTAAGTTTGTTAGAAAATGTATTTTTTGACAATTTTGCTATTAGGTAAATATCCAATAAGTGACATCAGCAAAAAAAGGACAACAATTTAAGTGAAACAAAGTTATTACATTTTAATTGAAGATTACAAAGAGAAACTAAGCCAAAGTTTTTCTTTTGAATAAAATGCACAATGAATCATTCACAATAAGACAAATATGGTAAATTTTGTTTTCTTTAAGTGTTATGACATCATTAAAGTCAATAAAAAACAACAGTCTAATCAGAGACTGACGATGTGTTCTAGCCTATAGAGTGGTGCAAGGATTACATCAAAACCTGGAAAACTAATTCGCCAATGATTCCCTAGAGATTTTTCTATGGGTTTTTCTATATTTAAATAAGGTCTGTGGCAAACCGAAGCGGACAATACTGTGACGTTTTGTTCTACAACGTAAATTATACACACCCATTCTGAAAACACAAATTTTGAAGCAGTTATGTTTATTTTTTTTAATGTTTCTAATAAGTAACTAGATAAGGGAGTGTGTGCAGATTAAGTTGTAAAACAAAACGTCAAAGTATCAAGTCATGTTTACTACAGACTTAATTTTACTTATGAATTGAAAAACCCCCATTATAAAACCCCATAGGAAAATCTCATAGAAACCACTGGTGAATTAGTCTTCCTGTTTCTGACGTCATCCCTGTTCCACTGGGTAAACGTAACAACTTCGTTAATAATAACTAAAAGACAAAAATGTCTTTTGGGGCTTACCAGAAGCAGGCTGCTCATGCGAGAGCCCCACAGAATCCTGTTCGCCCACTCTCTTTCACACAACTATCACATTTTCAGGGCTAATAAGCAAGACAACAACAGGTGGCCCCATGTAGACCAAATATAGGTCATCAGTGTCCCATCCCCCCTAACACATGTGTCCAGCACTCATCAAGACAATGCTAAGTGAAACAACATACAGTCTTGAAGCAACTTGTAAGAACTTTGATCAAGGCACTATTACATACTTTGTTACTTGCCATTTTAGTAGACAGTTGTCATCTAACGTGAATACAAAATGTCTCATGTAAATACAGTATATCAGGGACAGCCCTCCTAAAATTAAGTGGGCCTAAGAACCACAATGATCATTTAGTGTTCAAATTCTCTTTGAGATTGAACCTTTGTATTAAAATTCTTGACCATAAAACACCTCCATTAAAAGTGCAGAAGTCAACTGAATCTTGCCAAGTATATGACAGAGCTCCTGACTGCTAGTTTAGTGAGAGTCTTCACTGTGTAAGTACTAAACTAGTATATAATAGCCATGATAAAACACCACGCAACTGTAGTGTTGATGTAATTTGTACTTACCCTTGGGTGTATTTCCCAGCAGACTGACATCTACTTCTTTGTTGGTTCCCTCGTCTTTCTCCTCAAACGAGAACTCTTTCTGGAAGCTGGACAGAGTGAACCAAATTTAAATTTCAATATATTTTGCATATAATACAACAGAAACAGAAGAGGTCTCAGTATTGCCTGCTTTTGTAAAAGCAGAACCTGAAAAGGCATCTGAATCTTGGCAGATATCACAGTTCCAACTTCCATCCCAAAGAAAATGTGAAATGCAATATCCTCACTTAATTTTCTTTTTATAACTGGATTTTTTTTTATTTTTTTTTAAGAGAAAATATTTTCCTGACAGGAAATAAGGTCACAGGCTCAAAGCATACAAGAAAAGGGCAAAAAATATATATAATTAGCTGGGAGAGTAAATATCACACATTTATCTAAAAGTGTAGACACATCCCAAGTTGTTCAAGTGAATACACCATTTTAAAAAGCATGACTACATCTGTACACAACAGGTACACATAATAACATAGTCCTCTTAAATTGTTCAAAACTTATACAAGACTTTCAAAGACTGAGATACTGTTGGTGTGGATATTTCCCATGGAAATTGTACAGTAAATCAAACCCAAGTTACATAAACATTCTACATATTTGCATAAAAATAAGGATCTTACCTAAGAGCTCTCCGTTGTAGTTTGGTACTGTCAACTTTAGGGGCTGTTTCTCCTGTGAAGCCTGTGCACACAAAAGAAAGCACAGCCTTCAGACAACAAATACTCCTGCTGGTGACAGGACTGATCAGCGAAAGATGTTTCAAAGGCCCCATGTGAAGGGCAGGAACGAAAACAATAGTATCCATTTCATGGATGTCAACATGGTGCTGTGTCCATAGGTGAACAGACTTATTTCTGTATGCACACATACATCTGTATGCACAGAGTCAACTGCCTGGGCCCATGTGCTGAATGTCGTTTCAACAGCTTTGTTAGTCAAAGTGACTACCATGTAATGCGCAAAGTCATCTGTATCTCTGAAATTATTCTGCATCCATAAAATGATGCACAAAACACACTCACAGACCTCCATTATCATCAAGTGTAAGGCAATAAAAAGAATGTAGCAATACAGTGATAATGAATTATGCCAAATACTAATAATAAATGTTCATTTTACATTACGTATATTTTAAAAGGTAAATAAAGGGATAATATAAATCAATACCCTTATTATTATCATTATTATTATTATTATTATTATTATAAATAAAAATAGTTGTGAATGCAAAATAAATTGTGATCTAGGGGGAAAAATAGTAAAATAAAAAAATAGAATAAAATAATAAAATAAATATAAAAATAAAATACTTATTTAATATAATAAAATAAAAATATATCAAATCCAATAATCGCCGATAACCAATATACAAGCATCCCTTCAAAAAAAGAAAAAAAAAATATTACTCTAAAGGGATTCATTTAACAATGTTTTGTTATTATTCACATGAGTAATGCAAAGAAATGACTAATACTGTTGTTATCATCTGAATAAGCACATGGAGATCTGACATCTGAGCCTCACAGAGGGATCGGAAGACCAGAACATGTGTTTCCACTTTACCCACAGATCAATAGCCTTACCACACACATTCATCCAGACTAAACAACCTTTCTGACATCTTAAAAATTTGATATTCAAATATTTTAATCCAAATTAAGGACTGTGGTTAGATGTCATTTCCTCCTCTCCACAAACACTATTTGAGAAGAGAAAGTGAATAAAAGTGCCAACTGATGGACTCTGGTTTGGTACAGAGCGAGTTTTCACAGCTGGGATGAGTATCTGCTAAAAACATTCCCCAGCGCATAAAAATCTCCTCTTACTTCAGTCAAAGGGCCTGCAGATGAGACAACATCAACTGAAGGTGGAATGAAAGAGAACAGGAACATTTTGGAAGGAACTTATGAAACTGGGTGGAGGCAAAATAATGTGGGGATTTGTGCCGTTATGCCTAATAGAAATTGTTGTTTTTTTAAAACTGTGAATTCACAACAAATGACAGAAATCACTCTGTTACCCTGCACTTCGTGTACCATTTGTTACTGATGTTTATTGTTGCATCTGGGATAATTCAACTACAAAGCTATTGCTCTTCAGGCAAACTAAGTGATTAATGACACAGCGTTGAAAACAAATCGTTGACAGATTTTCCAATGTCCTTACAGTAAATTAACACTACTGAGTAAATGAAAAGTTAATGACAATGTTTCCCATGCAGAAGCAGGAACAAAAACACAAAACCATCAAACAAACTGACAGTTAGTAATGCAGATAAAGTAGATTGATCACTCAAATTTTCCTAAGCACTCATTATGTGCATTGCATGGTCTTGTTGAGAGCACCCACCGCTAACAGACATCCAGAAAACATTGGCTCTGTGCCCTCTTAAGTACAGATGCTAATCAGACACAGTCAAGTGTGACATTTACAGCACTTGAAATGGCATGCGTGTTATTCCACAGCCCTGTGACACACCAAAATACCTCTCTGATCTACAACAACCATCACATTAAAGCTGATCGCACTGCTCTGAAACCTGTTCAGGTTCATTTTTATGTTCCAGCATATCACACACCTGTTTTCCAGCACAGTCAGTATCAAATAATATGGTGACTGATAAACTTGCATAAATATAGGATTCAGTCATTGATATCTGGCATTAGTCGGAGATAAAGCACATGGACGTGATACAGTTGAAGCAAGTCAAAGCCTGTACTTTGGTCATATGACCATAAACAATCTTGGTCATATGACCAAGATCATAAATCCAAAGCTTACAACGATTGAAAAGTTTATCAAGGAACATTTAGAAAACGTTTACCACAATGCAAGTAAATAAAGTAACTTAAAATAAGTTAAAAATATACATTTTATTTAATATTTATTGTATTAATAAACTATGTAATTAGATTTAAATTAATATGTAATATTTAATACATTACATGCATTTTATTTTGTAATATTTATCAATAATAAAATACTTTGATATTTATTAACAATAAATTATTCAAAAGTTTGGGATCAGTAAGATTTTCAACGTTTTTGAAAGAAGCCTGTAAAAAATGATTTGTTAGTTTGACAAAAAAAAGTAAGTTACCTGGTTGCCTTAAAATTTTGAGTTAATTGAAACTAAAAATGTGAGTTTTTACAACAAGCGATTTTGTTGTCCTAACTTAAGATTAAATATTGTATCAACTTAGTCAAGCAATTAAAGGGATTAAGTTAACTTACAATTTTAAGTTCACTCAACTTAATCTTAACTACATATAGTTTGTTGTAACAATGAACTAAGAAGTTTAACCGGTTGCCTTAAAATTATGAGTTAAATCAACTTCAACACAACTTAAAACAACAAAAGCTTTTTTGTTAAAAGAAATTATTCTGGAATAACAGCACAAATAAACCATAACTTTAACATTTATTATAACATTCACAAAAATATGAATTAATTGAATTGTCTGACAAGTATAAATTATACTTATTAAATTATAATTGTATTATAGTATACATTAGTATGATATAATTAACTGCTGCTTGAATAAAAACATAAAAACACATTAAAGCAACAATACAAGCATGCTATAACTGTCAAGCATGTGCGAGAATAAACAAATGTCAGTGTGATGATATTAAAATCAGCTTGAATTGAGTGCAATAGAATTAAAAACAAAAACCCATTTAATGAACATGACGCATGAAAATCATTTTCTCAAAACAATATTTTATTTCTCAAACAGTATTAAAAGGGTTAGTTCACCCAAAAATGAAAATTGTCATTACTCGCGCTCATGTCATTCCAAACCTGAAAGATATTCATTCGTCTTTGGAACACAAATTAAGATATTTTAATGAAATCTGAGAGCTTTTTGTCCATCCATTGACAGCCTATGCAACTATCACTTTCAAACCCCAGAAAGGTAATAAAGACATCATTGAAGTAATCCATGTGACTCCAGTGGATTAACCTCAAGTTTATGAAGCGATGTGAGTGCTTTGTGATTCACTTATTGTGATTCAATTATTTTAAAACAGTAATGCTTTAATAAATGTAGGTCTTGGCCACGTCAGTTTAAAATAGCTTAAAATTATTTCAGTTACTCCAAAGAACTTTACAGTCTACCTGGGGTAGACCCCCTCCCCTGAAAAAAAGAAAAGGTATTGGCCAACCCCAATGTTTGCACAAAAAAATTGTGAACGTGCGTTGGAGATTGATAGATTCATATTTTGTAAATATTTTTATTTTTGTGTGCAAATAAAGCACTCACATCACTTCCTAAACTTGAGGTTAATCCACTGGAGTCACATGGATTACTTCAATGATGTCTTTATTACCTTTCTGGGGTTTGAAAGTGATAGTTGCATAGGCTGTCAATGGATGCACAAAAAGCTCTCAGATTTCATTAAAATATCTTAATTTGTGTTCCAAAGACGAATGAATATCTTACAGGTTTGGAACGACATGAGCGCGAGTAATGACAATTTTCATTTTTGGGTGAACTAACCCTGCGAAACAGTTTTCTTCATCTATTCCACATTTTCAAAGACTTACACCAATTCATAACATTTAATAATGAATATTAAGCTTACAACAGTTTAGTTACAAGGATATTTCATTTGAACTCAAAATCTCCAAAAAACACTGTTGCAAACACTGTTTTTATATGTAATTCAATGAGTGAGTGTATGTGAAGTGAAATGTGAATGGATGAGCGAGTGCAATGAAAGAAGAAAAAATAAACACTTACATTAATGAAAAGGAGAAAATCATTGTGTTCAATGATATCCAACTTCAGAGCTAGCAAAGAGTTATATTTGTGAGATTTTGTTTTCAAAACAGACGAATAAAAACATGTCAGAATGTCAGTGAGTGTTGAGTAGGGGAGAGTAAAATCCTCTTCCACTAAACACTGAACAGTTTGTTCCTTACTCCATGAACTCTGGCCGAACATACCTCGCCACCACTTTTTGGAGTACTTCAAATGTATATTTGACCTCCTTGGGGTAAGTGATGTTCAGAGCATAAAGAAGCCCCATTAGTATAGCAAAGGCATTTGACACGTCCGTTAAGCCATCAAGCACAATCACCTCCTCTAACACCACAGCCACATCGATTATTTCCTTTGGGAGGAGGTTTGCAGTGTTCGCCTCTGTGACCACCAAGAGTCCAACATTCATCCCCTTCACCACCTCTTCCTCATCAGTTGGCTAATAAGAGAACAAGGAAATTACTATGAATCACAAATTTACAAAGCCTTTGTAGGTTAACAATGAATGAGTTTTAAACAGAGGTGTGTTTCCATTAGAATAAGGGTATGTGAATAATCTATAGTACAATTAATGGTAAATGTTCTTTAATGTTTTAAATATATCAAACCAATAATGCTTTAATAAATGTAGGTCTTGGCCACGTCAGTTTAAATAGCTTAAAACTATTTCAGTTACTCCAAAGAACTTTACAGTCTACCTGGGGTAGACCCCCTCCCCTGAAAAAAAGAAAAGGCATTGGCCTTATTAAAGGCATTATTAAAACAAACATGATATTTACATACCTCACAAATTTTGATGAACTTGGAGGGTTCCTCTTTGAGGAAGTAAGGAAGCCAACGAAGGACAACTGCTCTTCTACGTTGGTTTGAGCTCTGCAATGAATAACATTGTTTTAAAGGGTTAGTTCACCC